GGCGGCGGGAAAGAATGAATCTGTCCCATGGACCTGGGCTGGAACCCCGGAGTTGGGGTACGTACGTACACGTACCACACCACACCAACAGCCCATAGCGTTCCGTTTCCGGTTCCGGCCCGTCGGTACCTTCGGATTCCCCAGGACCTGGTACTCGTCACGTTGTCTCGTCGTACCCTCGCCGTTGGGACCAACAGCCAATCTGGCTCGACTCGGACAATACGAGATGGCAAAGCGAAACAAAAAAAAAAAAAAAACGGCGGGGTCGGCCCCTGTTCCCCCGCGCGCTCAAGAGAAGGGGGGCGGTCGCCGGTTGCAGCAACAAATCACCTGATGGAATGACCTGGCAGCGACATCCAAATAGAAAAGAGAGACAACAAATGTGCATAGGTAGGATTTCAGCGCCTTGGTGTTTCGCGATGATATGGGAGTGACATGGGAGTGACATGGAGGTGACATGGAGGTGACATGGGGATTACGCGTTTGAAACCCAACCTGTCGGGTTACACCGAGGTGTGACAGACAGCCTTACTCTTTCCCATTGAGGAAGGCGACAGGTTCCTCGTCGTGCTGTACCTACGAAGTAGCAAGCACGTCTTCAGCGAGACGAAACACCTCATCCCGTCGGTACAGGTGCAGGTCATGTACGGATACTCTGAACAGGGCCTCCGTCACCCCTTACTCTGTACAATGGAGAAGACGGACCTAACATGCGGCCTGGGGTATCCTATCACCCGGCCTCCCTGCATGTTGGATTCCTCTATCTGCCTACATCGCTATATCGTTAGAACTATGACGGAAGATGATAATATTTTTCGCCTCGTCTATCTGTGCTCTTGGATTTATCCCGGTCCAAAAGGAAAATGACATGAGCTGCCCGCCTGCTGCCTGTTTGACTCGCCTCAGCCCACCCTCTTCTCTGCCCTGGTAAGCCTTTGGAACAAAAAGAAATGAAGAGAAACAACCCTTCTAGGTTGCGAGGAACGTGAAGCGCACGCCCCCGCCTAGACAGTAAATATATCCGTCACACCGCTCCATGCCCCCTTGGAACGTTCCTCCCAATACGAGTCCTTGCCCGTTCGAATCTTCCACACCTCCTCGCCCTCCGGCCCGTTCGCCACCTTGACGAACCACCGCGGCCGATGCTCCGCGCCCTTCTCCTCCAGCTCCCTTCGCCGCGCCCGCTGCCCCTCCTCCAGCTTCACCTTCCACTCCTCGGCGCCGTCCAGGTCGCCCTGCTCCGCCAACCGCTGGTCGGGCCGCAGCCGCGTGTCCGTGGGCGGCAGCCGTCCCTCCTCAATCGCCGTCACCTCGTTCATCGCCGCCGCGAACCGCGTCAGCCCGTACGTGTTGGCCGCGTTGTCCACCAGCCCGCCCACCTGCCAGAGCGCGTCCCCGACCGCCTTGCCGTTCTCGCTCCTGCGCAGGCCGGCCGTCCACGTCCCCGTCAGCCCGCTGCCCGTGGCCTCGCCGTCCGGCCCGAGCACGTCCACCTGCACGTCCTCGCCGCGCCCGCCGAACATGCCCTTGCTGCGGAACTCGACGCACGCCCTGTCCCCCGTCGTGTCGTTGCTGACGTGCATCGTGCCCACGGGCTCCACGTACTTCTCGCCCATGACCACGTTGCGCAGGAACATGGTCGCGTGCGTCCACGAGTACAGCTCGTCGGTGCCGCCGCCGCCGCCGCCGCCGCCGCCGTCCGCCACCCGCAGCACCACCCGGACGCGGCCGTCCGTGGTGATCTCGGCGCTCTTGCCCCAGAACTTCTGCGACGGCGCCGGCGACTGGCTGAGGGACCAGCTCGCCGCGTCGGCCTGCATGGCCAGCTGGACCGGTCGGTGGCTGACCTTCTCCACGAGCAGGCGGAAGCCGCCGGGGACCTCCTGCTCGGTGCGGAGCATCTCGTACGTCTCGCCCAGCAACGGGTTGAACGGCTTGCGGATGGCGCGCTCCTTGGCGCGCCCGTTGCTGAAGTGAGAGACGGCGAAGGCGGCGACGTACAGCAGACGGTCCCTGGCCGTCTTTTGCTGGGCGGCCTGGTCCAGGAGTTGGGCATATTCGAGCTGTTCGGCGGACCGCTGGAGCAGGGACAAGGGTTCGTTGGCCGACACGGGCATGCTGATGGTGCTGAGATCCTTGCCGACGTTCTTCCGTACGAAGGCGATGAGACTGGGGGGCTGAACCATTGCCGGAGGAATTGTCGCACGCCTGTCGACGGAGATGTCCACGGGTAAAGGTGCCAGGGATCTGGGTCTGATCGGGTAGTAGGTGTCTTCTCCCTGGCCAGACATCTCGTCCTCCTCGGCAGAGGATACCGAAGACGAGTCGTGCACGTCCACCTCGTCGACATCGTCGGACTCGGGGGTCTCGTCGTCGTCGCCGTCGTCGTCGTCGTCGTCGTCGTCGTCCCCACCCCGATTAATCCTCACAATCTGCGAGCCTGTCTCTCCGACCTCGGCGTCGAAGAACTCCTCGGACGAGGTGGTCTCTACGCTCAGTCTGGATCCGGCGGCCGACAGCGGGGCCGACATGCGCCTGCGCTTGCTGTGCCCAATCAATACGGTAAACTCGGCCACCACCGAGTCTAGATCGTTTAACAAGGCCGCGCAGTGGTCATGCATGCTCTTTTCTTGGTGCGCGAACCCCCTCGATTTTTTCCTCGCGTGGCTCGGGCCGTCATTCAAGTTGATGGTCGGGGCGAGGAAGGCGGGGGAGGAAACAGCCAGGGCGGACGACACGGTGGGTTGGAAAGCCGCCTGTGCAGTGGATGGAGTGGCGCTCAATCTGCGTTTCCAGAACGACCGTTTGGGGCCCTCGGCAGACAGGGAGGAAGATCCGTCCTTTTCCTCCCCGGGCACCAGGACCGAGGGGGACAAAAAGGTGTGTTGACTATTGGTCTGAGCAGGTTTGGGAGCCGTAGCCATGTCCTTGACGAGGCGTCGCAGGGCATCCCGGGTGCCGACCATCCGACTGACCAAGGCCTCTACCTGCTCCCACTCGCGGGCTTCTGGCGGATTCGAATGCGCAGGCCGCGACAGGCTCGTAGACAGCCTCGGCGTCCCATCGGGCTTCTTTCTGGCCGAGGCCTTAGAAGAGGGATCCTGGACGTCGTCGGCGGCGGCGTCGTCGAGGCCGCGGGCGATGCGGCTGGCTTTCTCGAGGGCCCGCGCCCACTCGTTGAACTCTCGCGCATTGGAGGCTCGCAGATGCCATATCTCGGCACCCGAGTCGATGCTGATTTCGCGACGCCGCTCGTCGGCGGCGATGGCGGCCAGGCTGAGGGGGATGGCGCCACGGAGGGCCGAGGAGTTGCGGTTATAGTAGTAGGACAGAGTGCAGGACGAATAGTCGAGGGAGAAGAAGCGACGCGCGTAGCCCTGACCCTTTTTACGCCTCCGCTTGAGCAGGTTCCCGACGTGGTAGTTGGCGGTGCCGTCGCTGCGGCCGGAGGTGGAGGCGGTGTTGCCGCCGGGGAGGTGGCTGTGCAAGCTGTCGACCGAGTCGGCGGCGACGACGTTGCTGTGGACCTTGGCCAAGCTCGTCCTGCTCCCGGTCTTGGCCGCAGTGGTGGCAGCGGAGAGCGAGAGGTTCGGCGGGGTCTGGTTCGTCGTCGGAGGCGGGGAGCCGGTCGGGTAGGTGATGAGGAAGAGGGAGGCGGTTTTGGCGGTCTGCTTGGAGAAGGTGTTGTCGAAGACCAGGCCGTACATGCCGGTCTCAGCTGGAGGCACGTCGTAGGTGCCTGTGGACACCTTGTCGGGTTCGCATCGTCCTTGCCATTGTATCGGGATGAAACCCTTGCTGGCGAGCTGGTCTTGGGCCGTGATGGTGTCCTTCCTGGCAAAGCGACTGTGTTTTGTTTCGCTGACGCCGGATGTTACGCCGGAGAGGGGTTCGGCGGCATCGGATTGGGAGGAGAGCGAAGTGGCGCCGGTGCCGGGATGCTTGACGATTCCGAAGTTGCTACGCATCAGGCAGGGTCAGTGTATGGGAAGAGCAGAGGGAGGGGAGGCGACGTACAGAGACTTCTTGTGAGGCTGGACGCTCCAAGAGATGGTGTGGCCCTCACTGACCTTGACCCAGCGCACGATGTAGGACTGTAACGCGTCATGGGTTAGCGGGTGAAGCCCTCGAAGGGGAGGAGAAAGATGGTTGACGCAGGACGAGAGGAGAGGAGAGGAGAGAATTGGGGTGGCGAGGGATCATTTCTAGACGGACCTTGCAGTGCACCTCCAACTGTTCGACGGCCATTGTTTGCGGAATGGAGAAGGTGATGGTTGTTGGAATTATGACCCGTTTTCTAACATTTGGTAGTCGAACATGGCGGGGGGTGTTGAGGGTTTTCTTTTTTTTCTTCTTTTTTTTTCTTTTTATCTTTTCTTTTTCTTGCTCTTTCCTTTCTCTTGTTCCCCCGCTTGCGTGGTTGCTGCTTATTATTTGTTTGGTGAGCAATGACGGGGATGTACGTGTACTGTACCTGGCTCAGGAACAAGAATAAGGTATATACGAAATACGAGGGAGGTAACTCCGTACATACGCACTACAACGTACGAATGCTGGCTGTTGTTGCCGGTGTCCCTTTCAAGCACTGTCACGTGAGATTATTGAATGATGACGGTGTTCGGAGCGAAAGACGGACCGTTGATGACACTCCGTTGTACAGGGACCCGCCATACCTTAAGGTAAGGTACCTTAGGTACCTACCTAGACTGGAACCGCTTGGGTACAAAGTACTCTCTGAGTCCTTTAAAAGGGGCCGTAGCGGTGCGGGAAGGACTGGCCCTCAGCCACCTTATCGAGGTGTGAGGTACGAGGTACGGACATATGTTTTACGTCCAACCAGGTATCTATACCACGAATAAAAGGACGCAGTACTAAGCAGCCAAGTACCATATTCGTAATTCGTTCGACCGGGCTTCCATCGGAACATCTAGAGTCCTTTTTAGCGTACCTGCAGAATCTCGTCTCTCCCTTCCCTGCTGCTTCTTCCTTAACCGGGGGGCGAGGGGCCGGGCCCCCCTTTTCCACACTAACTCCATGGATGCATTCCCGTTCATTCGCCATTTCCCGCCTCTTCCATTCATACCTTCGTGTACCAACCTACATCCTATTCAGAGGAAGGTCATGTTGCGTCTAGCACAATCCTTGCCCCCCCCTTTCTTCCACTCTTCATCTTACTCCTGAGCGGACCTTACCATTTCCCCCGTCTTCCCTCTTCCCTTCATTTGCAACCTTGGCCGGTCCGTGGACCCCCAAAATCGAATTACCTAACCCGTCGAATATCACGCCCTTCGCTTCGCCTGTCCGCGCCGCCACCGGCATTGCTTCTACATCGGCACGCGACATGGCCTCCGCCCTCAGCAAGCGCCAGCAGGCGCGGAACGAGAAGGTCCTCCAGGAGCTTGTTCACAACGTTCCTGGGAACAACATGTGCGCGGACTGTCAAGCTCGGAATCCAGGTGCGTTGTCTCTCATCTCTCACCCGCCTTTTTTAATTTCTCTCCATCTCCCTGGACAAATGTCGCTAATATTCTTGTCGCATCAGGATGGGCATCATGGAGTGTATGCTACCCCCCCTCGTCGACCCTAATTCCCCTCCTTCCTAGGAACCTTCAACCCCGGGACTGCGTTTCCGAATAATCATCATTGATCCCGCATATCTCTCACGCACGGGGTTGGCTGACTTTGGATCTCAGCTAGGCGTCTTTCTCTGCATGCGTTGCGCTTCCATCCATCGCAAGCTGGGCACGCATGTCTCCAAGGTCAAGTCCCTGACCATGGATGGTTGGTCCAACGAACAAGTCGAGGTCCGTCCCACCAATTTTCCTTTCCTTTGTCTCTTGGTCGCACACACACAAACTGACAGGACTCGAGCGAATGCGCAGAATATGAAAAAGGTTGGCAACGTCACCTCCAACAAAATATACAACCCCGAGAACAAGAGACCTTCTATCCCGGTCGACGCCGACGAGGCCGATTCCGCCATGGAGCGATTTATTCGGTCCAAGTATGTCAACAATTCGAACCATACTGCCCGTCAAAAATCAGCAAGGGCCCTCGACGAAGGCACTCCCCCTCCTTTACCTCCCAAGACGCCCAGCAAGTTCAGCTTTCGATCCGCTTCGTCCATCCTGCCTCTCTCGTCCCGCTCCAAAAAAGAGACCCGCAGCAATACCTCGTCGCAACCCAACAGTCCCCGGGAGGCCCGACGAAGTCCGTCCCCGGCGGCGGACTACCGCTTCAAGAATAAGCCTTCTCAGGTGTTCGGTGCCAGTGTGCAGCACCACACCTTAGGGGATGATATGGAGACGAAGCTGGCGAGCTTGCGCGACATGGGTTTCACGGATAGCCAGAGGAACGCCGCCATCCTAAAGGGCGTCAACGGAAACCTGGAACGGGCCATCGAGACCCTTGTGCGTCTCGGCGAGGGTGATGGGAGATCGCCGGCACCGCCCTCAACAACAACAACAACAACAGCAACCGCTCGCACTTTGCGTACCTCGCGATCCATGACCCCCGTGGCCCCCAGCTCGGCACCGCTCCCTCAGCATGCCACCTTCCCGGATCCTGGCCCACTCACTCCCTTGAGCGTCTCGAGCAACCCGTTCGACATGCTGCCGCCGCAAACCGCCCAGTCGACCGGGTCCCTGCAGAATACGAACCCTTTCCTCAACACCAATCCCTTTACGTCTCATCTTCAGCAGCAAGATGTTAGCCAGACCTTCCACAACCTATCTCTCGCCCCGCCACGACAACAACAACAACAACAACAACAACAACAGCAACAACAGCAACAACAGCAACAACAGCAACAACAGCAACAACAGCAACAACAGCAACCTCCTCTATTTCCTCATCACACCGGTGGCTTGCCCGCGCCCTCTCCCGCTCCGCCGCAGCCCTTGTACCAGCAGATGCTCACGACCCAGGCCCAGAATTATGCGACGCAGAATTACGCGACCACGCATCTTACCCCCAGCATGACGTACCCTCAGCCCCTCCCACCGCAACGAACAGGGACCAACCCTTTCTTGGTAGCCCAGTCCCAGCCCCAAACACAGCACCCCGCAATGCTCCAGCCGAACTTGGGCCTGACTATTACAAACGGCTCGCCGTCCAACTTTGCCAATAACCCTTTCGCGCGCTCCCCCACCAAGGTTCAGTCTCCCAACCTGGGACAAATCCCGGAGCAGTCCCAGTACACCTTCACTAGCTCTCCTCAACCACTTTCTCCAACAGCCGGCAACCCGTTCTTCGCACAACCCCAACAACCGCAACTTCAGCCTCGACAGCAGCCTATAACCATGCAGCAAAATCACAATAACCCTTTTGCGCTCGCCGTCCAGCCCGCACCCCACTATCAGTACTACAACCCCCAGCGGCCCGACAAGGCGTCCATCCTCGCTCTCTATAATAACGCCCAGCCACACTACGTGCCCCAGTCGGATCTCGCCCAAGGCCAGGCGCGGTCGCAAGCCGCAAGTCCAGCCGTCGAGATTACCATGTTCCAGACCAGTGCGCCGCCTGGTCACGCGATGCCGCAGCGGAGTGCGTCCATGCCGCTCCCGCTCCCTGCGGCAAACAAGAACCCGTTTTTCATGAACGGCGCAACGGCGTCTCCGGTGGAACCCGCGTCCGCGACGACTGATGTGGGCGTATCCGGAGTCGCGGCGCAACAAAAGCGGAATGTGAGCCGCGAGAGCATGGCTTTTGCGGATATGAACTGGACCAATGGCCGTCACAGTCCTGATGCCTTTGCCAGTTTGAGTTCTCGGCAGAGGTGAGGAGCTCCGAGAGCACGGCAATGACACTTGGAAAGGGAAAGGAATGCATTTGGGATTCGGGAATGGGGAACCCCGGGAGATGAAGCGGGGGGGTAGGGGGCCGAACTCGACCAGGCACATAAAGCACCTACACTGTAAAGATTCTTGTTTGTTCTCTTTGTATAAATACACTGTAAGCATTGGTTCATTTTTGTTCATGCCATGTTGTCGTCGGTTCTCTGTCTCATGTGGGTTTCCTAGCGTGTCTTTTGAGTCCATCACTTTCCTGATTGTCAGCTCAAAGGAATACCACCATGACATGATGGTATTCCTCTCCTCGGACTATATAAAGACGTTTCCAAAAGTCTAAGAAACGAGGTGCTGGGCGCTTCAACCCTCCCAAATGGAGCACCGCATCTTTCATTATCAACGCTACCATGCCCATCAAGCCCCATCATAAGTCCAAAACGCCAGGGGTATCTTGTCCCGTTATATTCCACGTTCTCCAAGTCGAAACCGCACGATACGCCCGCGTGGTGATCTTGTAATCCAACCTTCCCACATCACAGCTCGTCCGTCTCGTCGTCATCAGAATCGTAGATGAAAATCGAGCTTCGTTTCTTCTCGGACACGGCGGAAGACGACGATGGCGGCGGCGGCGGCGGCATGGCTGGGACCTTCCAGAGGACCGACCTTCCTTCTTCCTTCACATCATTCTTGACTTCCGTCTTCGTCTTGTCGACAGGAGCTGCCCCATCGGTAAAGACAGAACCGTGGCCTTGTGGACCGCGGTGTAAGGCGACCGAGTCCAAGCCCACGACGGACTCGCGATCCACCGCCTCCTGCGCGAGGAGCCTCCCCTCGCGGATCCGGTAAAAGGCATCCAGGCAGTTCCGGCGCTGCTCCTGCGTCCAGCTCTCCACGACCAGCGCAAACTGGGTCGCCGACGCGAAGCCAAACTCGCGCGCCATGGTGCAGAATTGGCGGCGCATCACGTCCTCGGGCGGGTTGTACCGGTACAGGAACCCCGTGCCCCGGCCCCGGCCCCGGCCCTGGCCCCGTGTGCCGAAGATTTCCCTGGTGAACGCATCAGCCAACAGGGCGCTGTCGCCGTCCACGTCGTCCTCGTCATTTGTGCCGTCTCCACTGTCGCCTCCGCCTCCGCCTCCCCCTTCCCCACCCTGGGCTGCCGCGACCATCTCTGCCGCGCGTGATAGTTTCTCTTCGACTTTCGACGTGCCGATCACTTCCGAGTTCTCGTGCGTGTACTCCACGCCTGCAGAGGCGAGGATGGCCTGGATGGCGTCGCTTTTCGGCGACTGGTGGGAGTCGTGACCATTCTGCTGCGCCGGTCCGTGGCTGCCGCTGCTGCCTGTCTTTTTCGTGATCAGGGCCGCGAGCTGGGACATGCCTCCGTCCTCGGCGGATCCCGCCGCCCCGGCGCCTTCCCCCGGCGCCGCTTCCTGCTTGATCCACTGGAGCTCCTCGTCGTTGACGGCTTGCTCCATATCCAAGCCTACCAGGGCGATACCGGTGCCGGCTTTGGCCTCGGCTATGTTCGTCTTGTTCACGATGTCCCGGATGACGAGATGGTCCTCCCGGTACGCGAAGAGATTGGCGAGGCCGAAGATCTCCCCCTTGCGGTCCAGGGTCTCCTGCACGCCTTTGAAGTAGCGACGTTCGGAGGACGCCGTGTACCCGATGTTGGCCTGCTGCTGCTTGTAGATCTGCCGCGCGTAGACGATCTCTTCGATGGTGCCCGACGAGACGAGGCGGAAGACGTCGACGTCTCGCCTCTGACCGATCCGGTAGGCTCGGTCCTGCGCCTGGAGGTCGTAGGCGGGGTTCCAGTGGGGGTCGAAGATGACGACCTTGTTGGCGGCGGTGATATTGAGCCCGACGCCCCCCGCCTTGGTCGAAATGAGGAAGACAAACTGGGTCGGGTCCGAGTTGAATTCGTCCACGGCCCCTTGCCGGTCCGCGTACGAGAGCGATCCGTCCAGGTAGGTGACGCTGTAGCTCGTATTGCGGAACAGGTGCTGGAGAATGCGAAGCAAGCGGACGCTATGGGAAAAGACCAGCACCTTGTCGCCGCTGCTGTGCCAGAACTTGAGGAGCTTCTTCAGCACCTTCCACTTGCCGCAAAACTCGGGATTCGCCAGGTTCATGATGGCGTCGCGATTCGTGAACAAATAAGCCCAAGTGTCGGGGCAACACGTCCTCAGCGTCGCCATCTCCCGCTCCTGCTTCTCGCTAGGATCGGCGGCAGTTGAAGAAGGCACGAGCAGTGTGAGATGGTTCGCCAACTTCTGCAACGTCATTACGCTGGGGAAAACGATCGACTTCCAGTGCTTGCCGTTAGGAAGCCGCTCATCGCAACACCAGCCGCGGGCAGCGCCGGAGCCGCACTCGCAGCGATCCCCGACGGTCCGGAGAAGGTCAAGCTCCGGCGAATCGATAAGGTTTTTGTAGGCCTCGCGCTGTGCGTCGGTCAAGGGACAGAAGACGACTCTGTCGCTCTTTTTGGGAAGTTGGTGCGCAATAAGGGTCTTCACCCGACGCAGAAAATAGGGGGGGAGGAGGTTCGTGACTAGTTTCTTCGCTGTGATCCGACCTCTGCTCAGCTGGTGCAGCGTCGCATCATGAGATTGGCCTAACCTGAGCGGTTTGGCGATGGTTCTTTCCCACTCGGACCAGGTGCCGAAGTGCCCTGGGTTCGTCCAGTTGAGCAGGGTCCAGAGCTCGCCGTAGTTGTTCTGAATAGCGGTGCCTGTTAGGCCGATCCGGCATAGGGCGTTCGCCTGATCCATAGCCTTCGTGACTTCCGAGCCTGGACGCTTGATGATGTGGCACTCATCAGCCACGACTACATCCCACTTGACTGTATTGACGGCGTCTTGCTGCATCTTGTACGTCTGGTACGTCGTGATCATGATCTCCACCATGCCAGCCCTCGCCGCGCCAAGCACATCCTCCTTCCCGGATCCGTGATACACATCGACGTGCCACCAGCCCCACCGATGCAGCTCGTTTTTCCAGTTCTCCAGGAGAGAGCCCGGGCAGACGATCAAGACGCGGGGATACCAGCGGCGGGCGTCTCTGCGCATCTTCCTCATCCGCTTTTGGTCACGCTTGGTGCCCGACTTGCCGAACGCCGCAGTGAGGAAGGCGGCAACCTGGACCGTCTTGCCCAGACCCATGTCGTCGCCGAGGATGCCGCCCTCCTGGTAGACGAAAAGCCGGTGGAGGAATCGCACGCCAGTGATCTGGTACTCTCGCAGGTACTGGGCGATGGGCGCGGGTATGACGCCCGCCGAGGATTCGAGCTCGACGTCCTCATAGGGGCGGCACGGTTTCACGCCGGTGCTGTCGTCGAATTGGGGCCGTTCTTCCACGGCACCGCGTCCGGGTCTTTCGCTCTCGTCTTCGTTGTCGGTAAACTCAATGCCGGTGTAGTCGGGTGGCAGGAGCAAGCCCGCTTCGTGCAGGGATTCGCGGGTTTTATCGAATTCCTGTCTCCTCTCCCGCAGATAAACCGGTGCGCCCGCCATGGCATAGTCATCTTGGGCACCGGCTGAGATCGATGGTTCGCCTTTGACATCCTCGCGATTGCTATCCTTCTGCGCCTTGCCTTTGCCCTTGTTTTTCTCCTGGCCTTTATGTTCCCGTCCTCGCTTTTTCCCCCCTCTACGCTTTTTAGATTTTGATGCCAGCTGAAGGCCGTCATCGGAATCATCATCCCATACCACTTTTTCCTCGAAATCGGGCCTGACTTTTCGCTTGCCGAGAGCTTTGGTACTTGAGAAGGGCGCCCTCGCAACTTCGGGTCCAGAGTCAGAGGCCGTTTCGTCGTCAGATAATAATATTACATCGTCGCCGTTTTCGGTCTCCATACTGGCAGGGTCTGCATACTCGATACGATGGGGAAGGACGTTGCTGGGAGTGATAAGGGAGAAGGGAGAAGGGAGGAAGGAGGCGGCCGTAGGCAGATGGGAGGGGCAAGTTGGGTGAATCGCGGGGTGTGCATAGGTAGGTACATGATAAGTAAGTACAGATAGGTACAGATACGGATCCGGAAAACACGCAAAGACGCGTTGCTTTCACCTTGATGGCTGGCTTCTTTACCTCAATGAACGAAATCATGTGACATGATTAATAATCCGGTGGGCCTTTTTTTTTTTCTTCTTTTTCTTTTCTTTTTTGTACAACACGTGATGCAAGTTGAGGCTCGAACTATTCACAAGTATGTGGTGGTTCATTGAAAGGTTCTCGTCACTTCATAGCTATTGATACATCTGCAGTGAGATGATTACATTAGGAAAAAGTGCAAACACAAAAAGGACGCAGACATAGTAGCCCAACCCGCATTATATCCCCCGATACATCTCCTGATGGGTGGTGCTGCTATTCCTCCGGGCGCGATTATGCCCAGGGTCTCCATGCCGAATGGCTGGCTCGCCGCGATGTTCGGCCATCACGGAAGGCGGCACTTGAGCAGCGTCCATGGGATCCCGTTGCGACGTGGCAGCCCTTTGCGAAGGAGAAGAAAAATCCATGTCAGTCGACGAGCTCGGGTCCTTTTTTTTCTTTTCGTTCGCTAAAAGACAAAGTGCATGCAGAAAAGAAACGGCAGGCGACTAGACAAGACGCAAAAGAGCAGCGACACCGAGGCACCAAGTTTTTGATGATTGGGTGCCCATGGGAAAAAGGAAAAAAAAAAGAAAAAAGTGTAGGGTCACGCCGCCGCCTCGGGATGCTGTGTGTGTGTGTGTGTGTATTTTGGTGTGTGGCTTACGGGCGAGAGAATGTCTGGTCCTGTCCCATGGTCTTCGAGTTGTCGAGGTCGGAGTCGACGCGAGGGTCCATCTTGTTCAGCATATCCTGCTTGTGAGGACCGGCCGTGTTCGGGGCGGGACCCGGGTTGGTGGATCTGGTGTGTCCAGCAGAGCCGAGGCCGCCTGCCGTCGCGCCGCTGTTGAACTGATTGCCGCCCATAGAGGCGCCGGGGGCAGCGCGGTTGTCACGGTCCGAGTCGACGCGGGGGTCGGCCTTGTTGGCCATGCCGCTCTGGTGGGGGCCAGCCCGAGTGTTGGAGCTGCCGTAGCCGCCGGAGGTACCGGTGGTGCCGGAGCTGCCGTAACCGCCGGAGGTACCGGTGTTGCCGGAGCTGCCGTAACCACCGGAGGTACCGGTGTTGCCGGAGATGCCGTAGCCGCCAGTGTTACCGGTGTTGCCGGAGCCGAAGGTGTTCTCGCCGCGGGTGGTGCCGGAGGTGCCAGTAGTGCCGGAGCCGAAGGTGTTCTCGCCGCGGGTGGTGCCGGAGGTACCGTAGCCGCCGGAGGTGCCAGTGGTGCCAGTGGTGCCAGTAGTGCTGGAGCCGAAGGTGTTCTCGCCGCGAGTAGAGCTGCCTAGACCGGAAGTGCCGGTGGTGCTGCCGGGAGCGCCGCGGTGGTCACGGTCCGAGTCGACGCGGGGGTCAACCTTGTTGGCCATGCCGCTCTGGTGGGGGCCATCCCGAGTGTTGGAGCTGCCGTATGCGCCAGTGGAAGTGGTTCCGGTGGTGCCGGTGGTGCCAGAGCCGCCAGGCGCGCCAGTGACGCCAACGCCAGCGTTGCCGTAGTTATCGGTGGTGGAACCGGTGCCTTGGGTGGAGCCGGCGCCCAAGTTGGAGCCCGGGGCAGAACGGTGATCACGGTCAGAGTCGATGCGAGGGTCAGCCACATTGGCGGTGCGGGTCTCATGGTGGCCGTGGGAACCAGCAGGGTCGGATTCGGAGCTCTTGTCGGACGTCATGGCGTCCTTGATCTTGTGAATCATGTTAGACATGTTGGATGGTGTTTATGGTCGTGTATATTTTTGGTATCTTAAAAAAGGAACTTGATGAGTTGCGATGAGTGGGTATTATCGCCGTTGGTTTTGTTAATTGTTCTTGTTGTTTTGTTGTTGTTGATGATGAAAGGTGAAGTGCAGAGAGGAGCAGCAGATGAAGGAGGAGAGGAGGGGGTTCTTATATATCAGCGTTTCGTCACGCATTTGCTGGAATCGACTTGGGGCGATGAGATCCAAGTGGAAACGTCAGGTGATACAAGTGTCTGACGAGAATGAACGCAAAAAGTGATCGACGACAGGACCCTTCCAACCATTGTTCATACCCAACTAAAGATGTCACCGTTAGTGCCGCAATCCAGGTTGAAGCTCATGTCATGGCACCTCAGACTAAGCTCATGGACGTCATAGGGCCTGGGGACCAAATGCAAACGGGATCTACGAAAAGTAGTGTACACTTACTGCCATTACTCGTGTCGTGGTTTGTTTCGGTTTGCTTTTTCACCAAGGTATTTTTTGTAGCAGCAGCACAGCCACCCAGTACCTACCTGAGGTAATAAACACGAAGTACCGATAGTCCATCCGTACCTTAGGTGGTACTCCGTACTTCGTACTTCGTACACCGGGCGTTCACTGAAGCCGAGCCAGACAAGGACCGCCAGCTCAGCAACGCGTTCCCCGAAGTAACAATGTCATGCAGGTAATCCCCAATGGTCCTAGCTGTCGTGAAGCTATCTCGCAATGGCCCCCTTCTTACGTCATCCCCGTACCCCCCATGTCGGTGACGTTTAGGGCTGGCTCGCCAAGGTTGGCCGAAATGAAACGTCGAGGGAAGCGACAAGGGTCAGGAGGCAAAGCCAAAGATCGTCGAGTTGAGCTCCGGGGACCCAGGGACGCAGGGACGGGAGCCACTTTTACTCCGTACGGAATGGTCTCCAGCACGTCCGTGGGAGGACTGAACCCGATATGGGGAGCTTGAGAAGGCATTCCCATGCGGACTGTGCCACTGTGGAACTACGGATACAACGGGTGGGCTAAACTCGATGGGGCGGGACGGACGCGTGGCTCAATCCGTATTTCCATCACCTCTTCAACCATGATGTCGCACTCCTGGACCGCCTCCGAGTACCTGAGACGCGGTACCTTATGTATCCCCAACGTTGAATGGTTAGGTTGGTCGGAGGACATACCTACCGAGCAAGCGTGTCCCCAGAGTTCATGACGCCATCAGATTGCAACGCAACAAGCTCTGATTGTTGTGGTTGCGTTGTTGTTGCCGCGAGACCCACTGTGGCTAGTGATGTGGAGGAGATCCAGGTTGTGGCGTCACCGTGCGCCGCATCTGCGTCATCGACTTTGCTAAAACAGATAGGGGTATGTACCTGCCATCTCCCATCTCCCATCTCCGTCTGGACAACAAGCAAGCCCATCATCGGACTTTCCTCGCTGTCCGTCGCCGTTCTCTCCGTAGCTGCCGATCACTGCCGCGCCGACATCGTCTTTTGGTGGAAAGCGAAGCTTTCCTCGTGATATCTGACCTAGGTAGTATCTGTAGGCCTAACCTCTAAGGTTAGGTACTGAAGATCTAATCACCCCAAAACGGAACGGAACCCTTCCACAGTAATACACGTAGACAGACAAAGACGGTACGATAGCACTTGAAGTCCATACGAGCCCAAGTCCGTTGTCAGTCGGTAACAACATGGACGCTCTACGGAGTATTCTGGAGTCGGGTATCTCGTTCGCATTCTTCAGGGACTTTGAGGACTACCTTGGGACAGATAAAAAGAACCCGGGGTCGTTTACGGTCGTTTACACAGACTTGGCCTTTTTTACACTTTGACGAATACATACATTCAAGATATGATAACGTTGGAGCATTGAATTAAAACTGTTGATGGTGAGAATTATGAATTTATACATGCCGTTGAGGCTAGGTGTATCACGGTATTAAGAGGGGTATCAACGCCCGCATCCTTCCTCCAAATGAGGCCACTCAAATATTCATCCAGTCGTGTACTCGGCTCAGTCTGCCCTCATCTTTTGTCACGACACATTTTGGAATTTAAGAAAAGAAAAAAAAGAAAAAAAGGAGAAGACAAAAAAAAAAAGCCAAAAGCTGTGCCCTAGGCCGAAACCCTCCAAAGAAAGTGGCCCCGTGAGATATTATAATCGAACAAACAGCTGGTGTGTGATTTGGCCGAGTAGGGACAGCTAGGAGCTAACAAGACTCGCGCTTAGACGCGAGAGCGGTACCAAGTGCGACGACCGTCGGCCGGGCGGCTATGGGTGGTGGTGGTGCGGCGGCGGGTCCAGAAGAAGCCGATGATGGCAGAAGCGAGCCAGCAGATGGCGGACAGGAAGGAAAAGGCGACGACGGCCTTCATGCGACCACAGGCGTCGTCTCCCGTCACGGTAACGTTGCCCCAGTTGAAGACGCCGCCGCAACCATTACCAATGAGCTGGAACACACACGTATGTTAGCCAAAGGAGGCCACTCATAATCATATCGGGCCGCTCAGGTCTTTTGTCTCTCGTCGAAGGGAGGATGAAAAGACACCAGAACAAGGGAAAGACTTACATCAACAAGCAGGCCGAATGCCACAAACCAAAGGATGGAGATGAAGAGGTCGACAGGCCAGTGGATGAAGGCGCTTGAGAAGGGGAGGAGCCACAGGAGGGAGAGAAGCATAGCCAGGGCTGCGACAACGATGGTGTAAATGTGACGGCCATTATCCCAGGCCGATGCCTCGGAGTTGTCAAGATAATGACCGACGATACCGGCAACAATGGCTGCAAAGGCGAGCTCGGCGGCCCGGAGGATGAAGCTGAGAATGCGGTCGAGAGCCATGATGTAAAAGGTGGTCTATGGTCCGGTGTGTGTGTGTGCGTGTGCGTGTGCGTTGTGCGTTGTGTGTTGTGTGTGGTGTGTGGTGTGTGGTGTGTGGTGTGTCGCACTTGGGTTGCGGATTCAGGGGGGAGGTTGGTAATGGTTGGGTTGAGACTGCTGGCGGTTTGGTTTGGTGCTTAGCCTGACCTGGAACTTGTTTTTCTAATGTTGAGAGAGACTACCGTTGGGGGAAAAGGAGGAACTTGTCGGCAAGGTTGAAGCGGCACGCTTCAAAGTATTTATCGATCATCTCGGGACAGTTAGGTTGACGTCAAACTACAAAATAAGGTAGGAGATGACTGCCAAGGAGTTAGATGTCATAATTCATGGCAAGGGGTTCTAGAATAGGACGAGCTACCAAGGATTGGGGGGGTCATGACTGGATGGTCCGGCGCGTCATTGCTATGGCCGTATGTTACATGTACGTGTAGTGTAGGTACGTTGTAGTGTAATGTACTTGTGCCAAGATGCAGGGTATTAAGACAGGCGTGTCCCTCGCTGGGCATTGCATCGTATGAAGAGCGACAGGCGTGGGACCGAATGAACGTCGCCTCGGCGCACCTGGTGTACAACGTACTGTACACGTACTTCAGTTCTGGGTACGGGTAGAGTGTAAAAGAGACGTCACCCAAGGCGAGTCCTAGACGTCCAGGTGGTCGTGAAACATAAGGTACGGTGGGTGGTTGCCGGATTGAAGACGATGAGGTCACCCGACCCAGGACGGGACTGTCAAAGTCATCACGCCAAGCTCTACCTTATTGTTGTGGCGTCGTACCTGGATACACTTGAGTGGGAAAGGAGACAGGGAAGAATTTATGTGCGCTGTATGATGCCATAGGATCTTGAAAGAGTTGCACGGACCAGAGTATCTCAAAGGGAAAGTTGAGACCGGAGAGACGGCGAGCTTCTAAGTGTTTCCATCTGAGGATGCCATCTTGCTGTGGATTGGCTGGAAGGCGTCCAAATGTAGGTAGCACCTATCACGAGGGCCCCTGGGCTTATGCGGTGGCTGATGACGCAGGCCGTCCAAAGAAAGGTGTGGCTGGTACTGCTGGTAATTAATGTGAGACGGCGCTGGTCATCAAGCCGGGGAAGTCTCGACCCGAAGGAAAGGTGCAGGGTTATCAAGTGTGACGTCACAGTTTGAAGTTCGACGCATGCCAGGGGAAACTGGATATAGGGAGGATGTTTTGGCATGTTCATCTGACTGTATCGATCCAGTAATCACCCACCGACAACACCGAGGTGTGACTACCTCGGTGTTTATCTACCATATGCCCCGGGCAGGAGCTTTCAATGCAGGACCATCGTAGGAAGGTTCATCCGACCACTTACACTACCTACCTGTACCTACCTACCTTACCTTAATTGATCGCCCCTACCTTGCCGACTTTCACTGCTCTCAATGTTATGGAAGCAACAAAAACAGGAAACCATGGGATTTGCGGTTAGTGGTGGGAAAGACCTCCTGTCTGCATAATAATACCTGAATACCCAACCCAGGTCATCTGTACATACCCCGTAAAATAGGTAAGGTGGCTAGGCTAATCTCGGTCAACCGTCCTATGATTTCACGGTGTTGTCCACTGATGGACTTGGTGCTTTTGTTAAATCCTCGTTGAATTAAATCATCAAAGAGTTCATCAATCTCATTCAATCATCCAACTCGTCCATTATACCGACATCCATTCGTACAGTCATGACAAGAAAGAGAAGAAAAAGACAAGCGTGAAACGACATGGCAGCCACGAAGAAGCGTACAATCCTGAAGATGAAGAAGAGATGAAAAAAATGAAAAAAAAAGAGACAAGAACGGAAAGAGAGAAAGGAAATAGTAGGAGAAGAAAGAGAAATCAAAAATCAAAAACCTGAATCTTGGCGAAAAAACGACAACATCAACATCAAGCCGTAAAGAACCGCTTGAAAGCAGCCCTAAGCCCATTATTCTTCTCCTTCTCCATCTCCTTGGCCCTTCTCCTTCTCTCCTCCTCCCTCGCCTTTCGTCGCGAGTCCTCGCCCCTCTTCGACTCCGACATTTCTTCCGACGACACCGTCTCTACAGCTGCAGCCGCCGCTGCTTTCCTCGCTGCCCTCCTCGCCTCTCGCGCTTCACGGGCCTCACGGGCCTCTCGCGCTTCACGGGCTTCACGGGCCTTATTGGCCTCACGAGCTTCCTTGGCCTTCCTCGCCTCCCTGGCCTCCCGAGATTCTCTGGCCTCCTTTGCCTGGCGCGCCTCTTCCGCCACAGCCTCCCTCGCCCGCTCCAGCTTGGCCTTGTCATCAGCCCCCCGACTGTGTCCGTTGCTGGAACCGTGCCGGGACCTGGTTGTGCTTGGCCTCTTGGTCGCATCCCGTGGCGGCGAGGGCGGTTCAGCCGTCTTGGCAGCCGTCTTTGCAGCCACCTCTCTCTCCCGGTAGCTTCCGCTGTCGTCGACGTCCGCGTGTCCGTCGTCTTTGATGATTTGCGGTGGGAACGTCGATTTGACTACGCCTTCGGCGTTCTTGATGTCGAAAAACTTCTTGCTGGTCGCCGATACCGGAGTCACCGAGGGCGACTCCTCCTTGCTGCCCGTGGCACTGTACTGCCGCGACGACCGTTGGTGCCGATGGCCGTCTCGGTCCCGGTCCCGGTCCCGGTCTCGGCCCCGATCTCGGTCTCGCTCCCTGTCCTTGTCCTTGTGCCTCCGTCGCTCCTCGTGTTCTCTCTCCCTCTCCTTCTCCAGCCGCCGCTCCTCTTTGCGCCTTTCGTGCGCCGCCTGCTCTTCCGGCGTGCGCTCGCTACGGTGTCGTCTGCGCGGGGAGTCGGTGGCTTCGGAGAAGCCGCTGTCCTGACGTTTCGGTGTCCGTGGCGGTGTGTGTGTTCCCGAATCAGACCCAGAGCGAACGGAGCGAGAGGCCCGCTCGCGGTCGTGGTCGCGATCCCTATCGCGCTCGCGCTCGTGCTCACGCTCACCATCTCGTGCCCGTTCGCTGTCGGTGCGATGGCGGCGGTGATGAGAATGGTGCGAATGGTGCGAGTGACGTCGACTCCTGCTCTCCCTGCCGTCGTCCTCGCCTCTGCTGCGGCTAGAATGGTGCGACGAGTGATGAGAATGTCGATGTCTGCGCCGCCTCTCACCATCTCGCCAAGATTCCGACTCTTTCTTGTCATCCCTATCGTCTGTGAATAGGTCAGCAACCGACTTTCGAAGTTCCTCTTCTTGATGCTCCGTAGTCCCTTGTGCATGAATCATAGGTTGGCCGGACACGAAAGGCGGATCAGAATCTCCTCCGCTTCCCACCATCTTCTGGGCTTGGACATGTGACAGATTGCGTTGTTCTGGACCGGACTGCGAGATTTCACCACGTAGTGGGCGCTGAGGAGAGCTCAAGACTTCGGCTGTAGCGTAGAGAACCACGGCGGCGGCAACCATTTCTTCCGCCCGAGCCATGGACAGCTTCCGCTGACGTCGGAGCGTCCTGGCCCTTTGTTTGGGGCTGGGAGACACATCTGACGCATCAGGCAGTACGATGCCTGGCGTCGCAGCACCGACACGATGCTCCGGGTCGAGAGGGGTAGGGGGCCGCCTTTGGGATTCGAAGAACGATTCGTCCGTTTGCGTACCCTCGTCTACCATGCCGGCTTTGGCCGGTGTAACACCTCTCTGCGTAATGGAGTCGTCACCAGCATGGCCATCCTTGCTCTCGGCGTCTTTGACGGGAATCATCGGCTCCGCGACTCTGTCTCTAGACTCCGAGACGGCGGTGGTTTGGTATGCTTGGACCGGTTCACATCCCTCCAGTGCAGTTTGGATCAGCTTATCCGAGGAACTGCGGCTCATGGAGGAAGGCACCGCGCGCGCTTTCTCTTCCTCCACAATCGGTTCTCGGACTGAGCCTTGGTCATACCCATCGTCCTTGGACAGCTCGTGTGCGGCAGCCCCACCAGCAACAGCGGTAGCGGCAGCGGCAGTAATGCCAACCGATGCGGCGCCTGCAACCATGACGCTTGTTTCGGAGGAATCCTCGATCGGAGCTGTAGTAGCGTCCTCTTCACTCGGCCGGCTGGGCCCTGAGGCGTCTCTTTCCACGATGGCGCTTTCCGTCGGGACACTACCACCACCGTCGCTGAGAGTTTCCTCGTCCACAGGCAATTGGGAAGACAGCCCGTCGCCGGGAATCTCCAATGTTTCGGAGGCATCTCCTTGGCCATCATCAGCATGCCGATGATCGTGTGAAGTGGGACTGCTTGGCTGTGCCGTCTCATCGAGCACTGACGCCGGCTGTTTGTCTTCGGAATCTGTCACTGTTTGATCTTCTTCGTCCATCATGTCGCGCTCAACGATGACTATATCGGAATCGCTGTCCCGCTGTTGGGCTTCATTCTGTTGAGAGGCTCCCGGCAGATCAAAGTGTGCATTTGAAGCGGCATGACCAACGCCGACTTTGTCCACAGGGCCTGGAGTTGGTGTGCTCCGGTCCCAATCGCCTTCAGAAAATGTAGACTCTGGTGTGTCTTGCGTAATGTTATCTCTGTCACTCGTATCCTGTTCGGACTGAGGCGCAGATTCTGTAGTTTCGACAGGCGGCGGAGTTCCGGAGCTGGGATTCTCGACGATTTCTGTCTCGGGCATGATGGAGGCTTCGCTGACAAATATCACAGAAGACTGGATCTCAGACTCTTCGACAGGGGGCAACTCCTTTCCAGATCCAGCCTGAGCGGATTCTTCCACGCTAACGAGTATCACAGAAGACTGGATCTGAGACTCTTCAACAGGGGGCAACTCCTTTTCAGACTCCGACTGAGCGGATTCTTCCTCGCTCACTGGTTGCAGAACAATTGGTTGTGCTTCGTCTGCTTCACCAGAGCTGGTTGCCTTGGGAGTGTCGAGCTCATCGGCAGTGATCTGGTCCTGGTCCTGGTCCTGGATGGCAGTGTTCGCAGCTAAAGGGCTTGGTCCCTCTGTCGAGTCGGGTATCCCCGCAGCTGCAGTGTCTTGTGTTGCATCAGGGTTGTCGACGGTGGCCATCACGGTGGCTTCCTGCTCACAACTTGGTTCCTCAACAGATGTAGACGGCTCGGTAGAGCTGGACTCTTCCGAACCAGGGGCTTCAGCATCATCCTGGTATATCGCGGGTGACTCGGGGCCGACGAGAATACTGTCAACGTCGTCTGGTGGCGTATTGAGTTCCTCGACGCGAACCTCAATGTCAAGGAGTTTCAGTTTTTCCTCGTCTTCAAGCACCGGCGGGGAGCTGGGTTCCGCTTCCAGCTGACGAACATCATTGGAAAGAACAGATGTCTCTGTCTCTGCTACCGGGTCGGTGTTTTCGTCTCCTGTTGCCAGTCTACCGGGGATTTCAGCAGTTTCTTCCCCTTGCTCAACGGGTCCCGCGAAAACATCATCGGGGGCTGCTTGGTCCGCTTTTGGCTCGTGGATGAGTGTGGGATTCTCCGGGGCCTCGTCTTGTGTGTCGGGATCTTCAACGATACTTCTCGGATTGGCCGTAACATCCTCCCAATCGGCAGTAGACTCGTCGTTGATCGTGCCTGGGGATAATTCCGCTTGTTCAGGCGTCGTCGACTCTACTTCAGGGGAGATTTGGTGCTCATCTAGTGCGGATTCCGACTCCGAGGGGTGTTCGGGATGTGATGACAGTCGAGTGTCGGACTCTTGTTGCATCTCGGCGCTTTCCTCTGCCAAGATCTCGGATACGGTGGGCTCATCGAGAGGGAGAGCCTTAGGAAGATCGTTCTCGTGGGGTTCGGTGAGGGTTATCTCTTCCGGACCTGGAAGAGCTGTCCCAGATGATTCTTGAGACTCACTCTCACTCGGCGGCGAAGCTGGCGGATCGTTGGGCTCCTCGGACTTCTCGGCTAGTACTTGCTCCGACTCGCCAGGATTTCTGGGCTGTGATTGAGAATCCGTTTCAACCGAAGTGACATCTGAGCCAACGAGCTGTTCTTCAGCGCCAACCATACATGTAGCATTATCGGGCCCGGCGAGAGTCTTTTCAGGCTCAGCAGCTATCTCCGCCACGTCTGCACGTGGGCACGAAAATGCCGACGTAGTGCTCGTCGCTACTGCTACGGGCTCGTTCGGCAAGCCCAGGAGCCCAGTCTGCGGGCTCTCGGCCTCGACGAGCGCATTCGGCGACGTCACCGGCGGTTCCGAGATATCCGCCAACTCCGGTTCCTGTTTATCGGTGAAACGTGCCTGGTCCACCTCCGTCGTCGGATCATGATCGACGCCGCTGCCTTGGTCCTTGAGTTCGTCGAGTCCCGCTGTCACTTCTGCGGTTGTTGAAGGCACACATGGAGTCTCCTGTACGGAAGCCGCTTCCGCCTGAGCTGCAACCACATCCACATCGCCGTTGTCTCGCAAGTCCATGCCACTTGGCTCCCAACTCGAATCCGCCAAATCTCGTGTGCCTCCAGTGGGGATGACGGGATCGGGGGATAGGAGATGGGCCTCACCTTGTATCTCTACTTTCTTAACCACAACGTCTGGGATCGGTCCCACCTTGTCCTTGCTCTCTTCCTCTTCGACGTCTTTAGTCTGTTCTGCATCGGCTGCTGGAACCGCTGCCGGTTCGTCGGCCGCTTTGGTTTCTGTGTCGGGAGCCGGTTCGTCTGCCGGCTTGCTCTCCGCCTCCTCCCCTGTGGGCTCGGCAATCGGCTGTTCCTCTGGCGTCTCCGCCGGTGCATCTGCTGCTGCGTCTGCTGCTGCGTCTACTGGGGCGTCTGCCGGTGCGTCTGCCGGTGCGTCTGCCGGTGCGTCTGCCGGTGTGTCTGCCGGTACGTCTGCCGGTGTGTCCGCCGGTGTGTCCGCTGGTGTGTCCGCTGCTGTATCTTCTAGTACCTCCGCTGCTGCTTCCGCTGCTGCTTCCGCCAATGCGTCTGCCGGTTCCTCCGCTGCTGCTTCCGCCGGTGCGTCTGCCGGTGCGTCTGCCGGTGCGTCTGCCGGTGCGTCTGCCGGTGCGTCTGCCGGTGCGTCTGCCGGTGTGTCTGCCGGTGCGTCTGCCGCTGCCTCTGCTACTACTTCCGCCGGTGCTTCCGCCGGTGCGTCTGGCCCCTCTTCAGGTTGAGGGGAAGGATCGCCTGTAGTGGCGGCAACATCTTCGGGATCCGGTTCTTTCGCTTCCTCCTGGGCACCTCCTTCCGCGGGGGCATCGCTAACATCCTGGTTCGTATCCACAGGAGGGGACAGTTCATCCTGCGTCTCCGAGGGTGGCTCCGTCTGCTCGGCTTGTGCAGCACCGTCCGTGTTCTCAGCTTCGGCCGCCTCAGCCTTCTCCGCCTCTGGCTCGGCGTCTTTGCCCGCGTCCGCGTCCGCGTCCGAGGTGACCGGTGGTTCAGGCTCAGCCTCCGCTGGCTTCGCTTCTTCAGTACTTTCGGGAGCAGTTTCGCCCTCAGTCTTTTCCTCGGCGTCGGTGGAAGTAGTCTCTGCAGGGGCAGCAGCGACGTCTCCGGCCTCTCCACTTTCTGCTAGTGAGTCGCTGCCCTTCTCAGCCTCGGCTTCAACAGGGGGAGGCTCTGCGTCGCCGCTAGCTGGTTCCGCGGCGGTCGGTTCAGGAGGCAGCTCGGCGTCCTGGCTTGCGTCAGCACCATCGTCCTTCGCGGTACCGTCTTCGACAGGCGCAGATTCGGCGGTGGCGTCCGCTGGTTCTTGAGAAGACTGGTCTGGTTCGGACGCGTCTTTGGCTTCCCCATCGGCAGGCCCAGGTGGCGAGTCGTCAGCGAGTTCTTGGCCGGCACCTTCAGCAGTTGTATCGGCCTCCTTGATTGCTTCAGAGTCGGCGGGAGGAGGCTCGGAGTCTCCGTCTGTGTTCTGAGCAGGGGCCTCTGCGGGTGGCTCTTCCGCTTTTTCCCCGTCAGCGTCTGCCGGAGCGGACGGTTCGGAAGACGAGGGCTGCTCATCCTTCGCGTCTTGGGCATTATCTTCCGCAGCCGGTGCATCGTTGTTAGCGGCCTCGCTTTCCTCGACTGGGGGCGGTGTTGCCTCTTCGGATCCTGGCCCTTGAGCGTCGGCCAGGACGGTGGCCTCAGCGTCGCCGACTTCGGGGGCATCTTCCGGATTCTCGGGTTCTTCAGATTCCTTAGATCCCTTGCCGACCTCGGCTCGGACATCGGCGTCCGGTGCGTTTACGTCTTCCGCCTTCCCGTCGTCATCTGCCTTGGCCTCGTCCGCTGCTGAGATCTCTTCTGGCTGAGGCTCGCTCTCTTCCTTGGGTTCGTCTGCTTTGGCTTCTGCCTCTGCTTTCGGCTCTTCGTCGGCTTTAGGCTCCTCCTCGGTCTTGGGTGTCTCCTCAGCCTTGGTCTCGGCCTCGGTGGCAGGTTCTGTGGCAGATTCTGTAGCGTCGGGGGCGGGTTCAGGAGCGGCGGAATCCTCAGCATTCGCATCGGTCGTCGGCGTCTCCTGTTCCGCACTCGGAGGGTCGGGACTGGTCTCTGCTTCAACACTTGGCTGTTCCTCAGCGGTTTCAGTTGTTGGAACAGGCGTTTCTTCCGCCGCTTCATCTCCCGGCTTGCAGTCTGCAGCTTCATCATCTTGGACAACGGTTTCCGCGAGCTCGCCATTTGCGGCGTCCTCCGATTTGGGCTCCTGATCGGCGGGTGCCGGGATTGCACCATCAACAGCTGCTGCTGGTGTTGCGTCCTCGGATACTGGGAATTCTTTGAAACTCAACTCCTTCCCGTCGCTTGGAATGGGGATGAGGTCTGCATCTTCAGGCAAGCCCGCGTCCTCTCCACTGTCCTGCATGTCAGCCGAGGCATCCTCGACATTGGGGGTGGTGGCAGCTTCGTCTTTCTGGTCCTCGCTAGGACTATCAGCGGGTTGAGGAACTTCCTCGATATCCGGACTTTCAGCAACAGGTTCGGCAGTCTTGGCCTCTTTTTCTTCTTCCTGAGCCGCATCTTGTCCTTCGGTTGATGGCGGCTCATCGGGTGTAGGCTCAGCAGCGGCTGCATCGACAGCCGATTCTTCCTGGTTGAGGGCCTCTTCAGCATTGTCCTGGCCGGGATTTTCGGACGAGGTCTCGGGCTCGGTAGTCTCTGGCTCAGGGGCCGGCGGCGCTTCGGCAACGGGGTCGCTCTTGAGTTCTTCGGCAGCACTGTCCGTAGTCGTGTTCTCGGGCCCGACTTCCTCTTGGCCAGCCGAGGAAGGCTCTGGAGGCGACTCTGGAGCATTCTCAACAGGAGGCTCAGAAGCCTCAATCTGGGCTTCTGGCGCGGCATCTGAGCCGTCTGCTGGTGCGTCTGCTGGTGCGTCTGCTGCTGCATCTGCCGTGTCACGGCCGTCCTGGTCTTGCTTGCCTTCAGCCTCAGTGGGCGCCTCCGGCTCGGGATCTTGTGGAGGCGCACTTTCTCCAGCAGGAGTACTGTCACTTTCAGCTGGCGCCTCAGCCGTGGCATCGTTTAGAACGTTTCCGTCAGGGTTGTCTGAGGTTTCTTCTTGGGCCTCCGGCCGGTCCTGCTCTGGTAGCTCGGGTGGTGCCTGATCGGAGGCAGGCTCCGGGGCGCTCTCGGGAGGAGTCTCATCCTTGACGTCGTTGTTACCCTCGCTCTCTTCTTTCGGAGGCTCTGAGCTATCGCCTTGGGCGTTATCTGTCTCTTCGACCGGCGGCGCTGGTTCAGGTGGAGCATCGGCGGCGGGTTGCGGGTCGTTTTGCGCATCTGAAGAGTCAGGGGCGTCATCGGGCTTGGCGTCATCGGCAGCGGAAACATCTGGAGCCTTCTCCTCGCCCTCGGCCGGGGTTTCAGCGGACGGTGTCGGTTCGGGAGCGGCTTCAGGCTCTGCAACCTCTGGATCCGGATTACTGGTCTGCGCTTCATCCGGCTTGTCGCCGTCTGTTCCGGCATCATCGGGTGAATCGGTTGTGGTTGGCGCCTCGCCTCCAGGCGTGTCGCCGGCCGGCGCAGCTGGTTCGGATGCAGGTTCCGGGTCCTCTTGGGGAGGCATCGGCTCCGATTCCGCAACCGGCGCGTCTTCTTTCGCGTCGCCGCTAGCTGGCTCTTCCGGGTTAGGCTCTTCATCTGTCTGGGCCGTCGGCGCAGGTGCTTCGGCGCCCTCATCGGCATTACTGCTGGGCTGGTCGGCTGCATCAGGGGGTGTGGCATCATCCTTGGAGGCATCGGCGCTAGGTTGAGCGTCTTCCTGTGCGCCACCCCCGGCCGGCTCGTCTTTGGGGGCGGGTTCCTCACTAGTCTCGGCCGCTACCGGCGCTTCTCCGTTGGTTCCGTCCACCGCTTCATCAGGCTTATCGGCTGGCGTGGAAGGGGCGTCCTCGTTGGCACCTTCAGCGCTGGGCTCATCGGCCGTGGGAGCGGATGCATCTCCGGCATCAGGCTTGGCATCCCCGGAGCCATCTTCTGCTGGGGCGTCTTCTGCTGCGGCGTCTTTTGCTAGGGCGTCTGATTGCGGAGGAACATCGTCTGCCGGTGCTTCTGCCGAGGGTGGGCTAGTGTTGTTGTCCTCGGGGTTGTTTCCGGCGTCGGCGTCGGCGTCGGCGTCAGGGGCCGGGGCCGGAACAGAACGCGAGGCATCGGCGGCAGGTTCCGGGTCCATGTTATTGTCCTGGGATTTCTTTCCTTTGGCCTTTTTCTTCTTATCTTTCTTTTCCTTGTTCTCCTTGGCTTTCTGGGCCTTGGGCTTGGGTCCTGGGGGGGCTCCTTCCTTCGCAGGTTCTGGACTTTCTTCGACAGTTTCAGCAGGAGGGGCAGCGGCAGCGTCAGCGTCCGCGTTGGTGTCTGCGTTGGTGTCTGCGTTGGTGTCTGCGTTGGTATCGGGGTTCGTGTCGGCGTTGGTATCGACGTTCGCGTTCGTATCACCGTTGGTGTTGGAGTCGGCGTTGGCTTCAGCGTCGGCTTCCTTTACTTCGGGCACTGGCTCTTGCTCTGGCTCTTGCTCTGGCTCTGGGTCCTTGGCCTTGGACCCCTTTGCCTTCTTTTTGTTCTTCTTCTTCTTGCCCTTGGTCGGCGCCGACTCCTCCTCAACTTCGGGTGTGGCCTCCGGGGGCTCTACAGGGTCATCAGACGGAGCGGCATGTGCTTGTTGTTTCCCCTTCTTGCCCTTCTTTTTTTTCTTGTTTTCGGAGACGACTGGGGCTGGCGGTGCAGGTTCGCCTCCTTCGCCACCGTCTCCTATACTCGAAGGGTTAGTTGGATATCACGGCTCGGAACAGGGCCGGATGTGGCGGATGTTGTCAACGCACCGTTTGCCCTTGCCTCTTCCTCCGTGTCGGAGGGCACGGAGAACTTAACATTGGAGAAGTCGACAGTCTGGACTTCAAGATTGGCCCGGTGAGGGCAGAACTCGACTTCCTCTTGCCACTCCATCTTCTCGTTCTCACTGGTCTCGCCCGGCTCGGGCGAGTGATGTGAGTGAGCAACGTGTAGCCTACAGGTTGGAGGGCACCTCCAGTTGCTCGCTCAGGTCATGCAGGTGTGCTCCCGAGTTGGAGGGCTGTTCGAAACCAGTGTTGTTGTTTTTTTCTTCTTCGGGCTATGGAAGAAAATGAAAGCCCAAAGAGCCCAAGCAGAGAGGTACTTGGGGGGGAGGGCAAGAGCAGTTGAATGGTGGTGGAGGGACACAACAGACACGGGGGTATCCTCAGAAATCGAACACGCAGAACAAGTATTAGAGAAGAGATGTGTATGTTGAGTGGTCGAGAAATTGAATTGAATTGCAATGGCTGATTCGACAAATGTAGATGTAGGCTTCGTCGAAGCAGGCAGTGAATGGCTTGGTCCGCAAGACGAAGAGAGTGACGAAAAAGGAGAAAGGAGAAGAGGGATTCGACGAGATTCACAACGAAGAAGTTGGGCAGTTTCCAGGAAGAGAACAGGGCGACAGTTCCTATTGATCCGAAGCCTCCAAGCAAAGCGAGAGAACAGAACGGACCGGACCTGTCACCACATCACGCACGGGGGGGGGGGGGGGAGAGAGACAAAATCGCCATGCAGCCAAACACTACTGCGTACTACTGCGTCCTACGGCGACCCCACGGCATCCCCCCCATGCAAAGGGACCGGCCGGTTAGGGAGAATGGATAGAGACCCAGTGAGTACGAAGGAAGAAGCGATCGTGCTCGGGGATCATTGGCTCGCGCAAGACTGGCATTGGGGCCACGTCGGTCCAAGGCCGAGACGTGGGACGAGTGGCTGCAAAGGGGGAGGGGGGTGAAATGTGACGATGGGGACGATGCTTCGAAGGTCGACAGCCAGAGAGGACAGGGCGGACTCGGACCACAGGACAGAAAGACACCGGGGGAAAATGAAAGGAAAAGAAGAAAAAAAAAAGAGAAAATAGAATGGCGGCCCAACGATGCAGCGGGACGGGGACGGGTAGACCAGCGGCTTGCATGATGAGTGAGTGGGAGAGAAGAAGCAGCGACCAACCATAATATTAGGTACCTTAGTTGGATATCGGTTTTGCGGTGGACGGTGCGTTGTTTCAACCCGTGGACACCCGGTGAAGTGGCACGAAGTACATCTATCTGCCTGCATTTACAACGGTACATCTACCTTAGACCAGAAGAAAGTGCAAAGGGGAGACAAAGTACCTGTCTCATAATACAAAGAGCCGTAGATAGTACGAAGTAACCACTTCGTCTGAACGGAATATGCGGACACAAAGAACAAATCGAAAGTATCTGGACGTGCAGTACCTTATTACCTAGGTAGGGTACCTACCTCATGGAGCAATCGAAGCGTAAGGTGGACGTCGAGCGCCGACGTGGGCGAGTCGCCTCAACTATGCATAACCTCCCCACCCCCCCCAACCATTTCCCATTTCCCATATCCCCCTCCCCTGCCCTGTTAGGGGGGCGTGCAACGTGGCTCGCCTCCGACCCTCCCGAGAGCCTCCATCGTCGATGAAGGTGGTGGTGGGCGATGTATTAACTCTTGCATCCCCCTTCCTTTGTACGTTGTATTGTAGCATCAAGTACGAAGTATCGGGCCGGAACCACTATTCCCTGCGGCCTATTCCAGTCGGCATTGCAGCCCAACTGTTGCAAATCACTTGTTGGGAGGGATCGAGACACGATCGAGGGGTGTCGTGTCCTCTGGTTTTGTTTTCGTTTGTCTTTTATTGGTACTTCCTCTGCTCAGACGGCAATTCGTGGGCTTGAGAATCGCAGGGAGGACAAGGCATACAAGTACCTGGAGTTACATGAGGCAGCTTAGGTAGCTAACTCTGCGTACTTGGTAATAATTACTTCGTACTTCGTGTTGCTCCGTATTAGTGCAGAGAAGCCCGATCCCTCCATCCAGATCCAGCATCAGTGATTCATTAGGGGGTTGAGTTAGTAGGGCCCAACCTCCCAATTTATGAGACCACTCTCTCTGCAATTTATGGACTGGGAGTCCCAAGGTTATCTCCTGGTTATGTCGTATCGAAGACACAGACAGACACATAAGCTCAATGACGGTGTTATTCTGCGTCGGCGAGATTTTGATGGAAGAGAGGGAGAGGGAGAGAGAGACAAAGACGGGACTGGTGAACGACACTGCCATGTTGATTCAGGGCTGTTAACATAAAGGTACATCCAGGCACCTATACTCGGCGAAGTGACATTTGGAGCAACTGTGGAGAAAACCAATACTGACCCTGTCCTGTCTCGTCCCTGTCACCTGTCATTCTGCCATGCAATGCCCCATTGCAACAGACCAAGACAGAGCTCCATTCGGTGACGAGTGACGACCCCACGAGGTTGGACGGCACAAGTCAAAACAGCGGAAATATAAAACTAACCGGTGTGCCGACTACCTCGCGTTGCTAAAGCCTGATATTAAGAGAACAGAACCAGTGATATAATACTTCGTATATATAGAACGTAAAGGACTCGATATCGTATTTGAGAGAACTACCACACCGTCCAGAACGCAAGAATAAAACCTTCCACCACAAACACAGCTTGGGAAAAAAGGCGCGGAAAAAAAGAACGGAAAATAAAGGAAATAAAAGGCACCCCCTTAACAAATCGTGTCCAAAACGCCGACGCCACGAGTCAACAGCTGTAAACCACGTGCAGAGAGTGTGTATGCGTATATGTGGGCCCGTGAGAGAGACGGAGAGAGAAGACTCTCGTCCGTCTCCTCGAATTTCGCCATTATAGCCTAGCACACCTTCCTCACCCGCACGTCCGTGTCTTCCCCATTATCCCAGCAGTTGGCGCTGTGTAACTGCAACCAAAACGTTCTATGATTCTTGCATCCAGATGACATGCCGGCAGAGAGATGCATGCAGCAGATGTGAGTAAAGTCGAGCGCCCCCAAGTCCGGCCTTGGAAAGCCTCACATGGCCATTTCGGCCTGCAGTCTGCGCAGCTCGGCTTCTTCCTCGGATTCCTGCGGCGCCGTCTTTCTCTTGACTGTGGTTGTCGTTTGCAACGACTTAGCATTTCCGCGTTGTCCGGGGGGGGGGGGGGGGGGGGGGGGGGGGAGGGGAGATGTAAAGCATAAAGCCCTCCTCGGGGGATAACATACGCTCGCCCGTGGCCGCCGAAGGGAGATCCTTGATCTTGTCCGACACGGGTACCGTCCCCGTCTTGAGCATCTCCTCGTCGACCTGTTCCTGCCGCATCCTCTCCAGCTCCTCTTCCAGCTCGTCCTCGTCTTGCATGTCCCCAACTGGCGTGCCCAACATCTGGGCAATTTCTTCGTTGGCCGCGTTTTGCTCCCGTAGACTCTCCCTGTATTGAAGGTGTCAGCAACTTGCCATCCAAATGTAATCCTCGCACAAAACAAGCCTAACAAAAAGGGAGAAGAGATTATCAACATACATCATGGCGTCCACCTTGTCCACCGAGATATCCTTGTTAATCAGCTTCATAGCGTCCGTGACCTTCTGAGTGGCCTGGACCTCGTCTCGGGTGGCCGTGGCTCGGTTGAGAGCCATCTCTTGGGACTCCATCGACTGTATCGAGTTGACAACCTGCTGCCGTTCCTTCTCCTTGCGCAGTTTGCGCGCAACGAGTCGCTTCGCCTCTGTTTGGTTGTGAACATTCCAGGTCAGCTAATCCCGGGTGATAATGAACGGTGAAAGGATGAATGTCACCACGAGAAAGGAAAAAAAAAACCCCCCTTACCATTGGGATCTCTCTTGAGGGCGGCCTTTGTCTGGGCTTCCAGCTCATCGACTTGTGTCTGGAGGTATGCTGCCTTCTTTTCCAACATATCCTTATGTGCCCTCAAGCCGACCACCGCCTCCTTCACCTTCGCCTGCTTCTGCTTCTGGTTGGCGGCCCCGCCCCACCAAGACAGCCAGCTCGACATGGTGATAAGCGATACGTGGTAACGGGGACGATCGATTAGGTGGATTCAGGAGGTCCGTCGAAAAACACCGGAAAGAGGCTGTTGCTCGATGGAGGATATCGTTCAGGCGATCTATCCCCGGGGCGCGGGGTATGGAGACTCGACTGTTAAGAGGGCCGTCACTCCAGGATCCGTGGGACGAAAACCGGGAAGGAAAAGACGTCTATTACGGGCCTGAACACGCCAGAAACAGCGCTTGATGCCAGATCTTGTTTCTTCGCGATGGATGGGGCGTTGGTGGATAGAAGTAGCCAGGCTGGTCCGCTGGGGGTAAGATGCCTAGTGGTGGGAGATAATCGGGCTTTAAGTTTGTACGGAGTAGGCGAGTAGGCGAGTACGTTGTAGGTTCGCAGATAGGTATGATGCAACCTTTGGGGGCTGCCTCCACTCATGTGACACGCGAAGCACTGAGCAAAGCAAGTCCGGACTTTTGCCGCCGGGACATATCATGTGATATAATTAGTCATCTAGTTCATTCTCGACCAAGGCCTTTCTTTCCCTGATGTTGTTTTAGAGGTGGTTTTCCACATAAAAATTCACCATGACCGAGCTTCGCTGGTCCTCAAGCCATGTCACGAGGCCCTGTACCCTCTCGGATTTATCTTCTGGGGGAATTACCAACGAAGAATGTTGGTGAGAAAGTCCGCTTTTTGGGATGGTATGCCGTGCCTTTGGGCCTCATTTTCGGCATCCGGTTGGGCCCATCGACTTCAATGGATGGATGGCTTTGGCTAATGTGCGCACTCGTCCAGTGTCAGCTCATACCTACCAACCACGGCCATTCTCATATTGAAACACGAGTCCCCCCATGGATCCGATACCAACGTCTTCGTTCAGACCGATCTCATACTAGAAAATATCACAGCAGAACACACTCGTGTCGGCGAGTGGCTCAACGTTATTGGCTACCTTACCGCGGGAGCTCTCGGCCAGGCGCCTCGTAGAGACTCTCGTGACGCTTATGTCCAGGCCCTGTTGCTCTGGCCCGCCGGGCCCTTTGATATTCGGAGATATGAAAGATCTTTGAAATCGTAAAAGAACCCAGTCTCGTTACGCTTTGTATGGTCATCCATCCCACCGGGTCGAGACTCACAGGTCGTCGTCGAGGCGCCCGACGCTTATGGGCCCCAACCCGCTTGATCCGGCCTACGGGGTAGTTACCTACGCAAACATGTCTGTAGGTACGCACGCAAGGCAGTACGCGTATACGGTCGATTTGTGTCACCACCGCACCTCCGAAGCGCAACATAGGGCGTCTCACTGACCACCGACTACGCTCCCCACGGCACAACCTTTCTCTGGGAAGACAATCGCTCTGACTGTGGCCTGTTGTGATGGGTATATCAAGAACGAGCCTCCTGTCACTGTCACAGGCAGCTTCTCGTGTCTGTTGACTACGTACTCGGAGGGTCGATAGATTTTTCGACTTCAAGTACTTTGTATCCTACCAACTGCAACGTTTGTCTTTGATCCATCATTTCTGGTCTCCGAGCATATATCAACCTTTGGGGGCAGAGATAGTCATGGGACCAACTCTCTGGGCATGTGCGCCGAGTCCGGAAAGAGGAACGAGGCTCACGACTGGGTTGAGAATACCGACCGATTCCGCTGTCCCCGAATTTGAGCGACCGACAAACAACATCGTTGACATATTGTTTGAAAACGACAATGAAGATCAGTTCATTGCAGCAAATCTCACGGGGAACACTGTCGGAGCTTAGACGGAGTAGACGTCCGGAAGTCGGAGATGTGGGATCCAATGGGTTGGTATCCGAAAACGGGTGCTTACTAATAATGTCGGCGAGGCCAACCACGTTAAAAAACCTCCTTGCCAACGATTTTATTTCTCTTCCCTTTCTTCTCTCAAACACCTTCATCAGAGAGCAAACACTCCTGCCAAAGTGCTGCAAGTAAGTAAAATCTCCCCGATTTTGATTTTTTTTTACATCCTAAACCTGAATGATGAACCATACCTATGTTACACAGTCTATGATCTTTCCATGATTATTTTATTCACACTGAAAATTCTGACTCTTCGCTCCATCTCTTCCCTTTCCATCTTCTAATGAAGTGCCAGATTGGAGTTGCTAACTGGGCTACAAGCTAGGTACGCGATGCGGATCTAAGCCTCGGAGTGGCATACAACAGCTCCGGTCTTGCGGATAGAATGGGACCAAGTTCATGTGCATTTATATCGTCCTATCGTCCCGTTCACATGTATATACATATCAATACAGATGGTTGTTACCTCAACCAAACCCAGCCTCCTGGGCCTATTTCCCGTATTTCCCGTACTTGGCGTGGTTATTGCTGGTTGGCAAGCAACCACTTGGAGCCTCCCGGATTTCAGAGACAGTAGGCAGGATTTCCTCAGCCGGCAGCACAAGCCCCCCACCAAACTGCTGTCGGGACGCAGCTCCACCGTCCACGCGAGCTGCGCGCCCGCCACGGCGGCGAGATAGTCAACGCTGCTCCCGGTAGTCGGGTAGAGATGGCCGCAGCTGGCTCCGTGCGTGTAGGCGGTGCCACCCTGCGCTTCGATGATCTCGGCAGCCGAGGCCGCGAACTCTAGCTGTTCCTCCTGTGTGTCGGTCACGGCGTCGCAGTCGTATCCGAAGGGGAGGAGGATGTACTATCCGAAGCTGTGCCAGTCGACGTACTGCTGGATGCCCTGGCCGGCGGCGAGCGAGCTCGTCGACGAGGCTGACGATCCCCTGTAGATCGGGCGTGTCGCCAGACTCCTCGCCCCTGTACGTCTCGTCGCAGGGGTCGGAGGAGGCGCCCCCGCTGACTTGCCACTTGTAGGGCCAGTTTCGGTTGATGTCGGTGCCGATGCAGGACGCGCCGTCGCGCGGCTGGCGGGATTTGCGCCATAGGCGATCCCGTCTTGCACGAGTAGACGAAGCCTGGCGATTTGTGAGCCGGGCGAAGAGAAAAAGAAGAAGAAGAAAGCAAGAACTACGACCCATACTGTGAATGGTAGGAGAAACCCTTACCGTCGGAGTTGACGACCGGGAAGACATACAAGTCGTAGCTGTCGACAATGTCTACGACCTCGGTTGTTCCATCCAAGTATCCGGAGATCAGCTGGAAAGTGAGGTATTCCGTGGTCTGCGTGAGATTAGCACCAATTCGTGGCTTTTTGTTTCTTTCCTTTCCTTTCTTTTCTTTTCTTGCCTCTCCCTCTCCCCATCCCCCTTGCGGTGGCATGCTCCAAAATGTGTAGCTGGCGACTCACCTTGGGAGTGATCCACTCGCGAGCTTGAACGGTGCCGTGCCAGAGAACGGCGGGGTTGGCACCCTTGCCTGCGGCACCCCAGATGTGAATACCTTGAATAGGACGGCCCTCATACAACTCGCCAGAGACAATGATCTCCGACTGGTTGGGGAAGGCGGAGTGCAGGTCCTTTAAGTACTGCAGATGGCCGTCATACGAATGGTACTCCTCGAACCAGGAGAGGTCGGGGAGACCCTGGGCGGATTGGTATTCTCCGAGCTGGCCTTCGGACTTGAGATCCGAGCCGAGATTTTTGTGCAGTACATCACCGCCGAGGCCGAGGGCTTGGAACGCTGCGATGTGTTCAGGGGCAATGGCAAGGTCGAGATGGTTGTCGACGTCGGTGTTCAGGGCGACGTGGTGCAGGTTGGCGATATTTTGACGGATCGAGGCGGGATCATTGTGGTAGAAACGTAGAGAGATTGGATTGAGGACAACCCCAGACCTGGGTAATTGGGATTGAATAATAGCTCTTTTTTAAGAGACTCCTTGACTTAGTTGCCCATCCATCACATCACATGGACCGCGAGTTGGCTCGGTCCATGGCCATACACATGAGGATGGGTTCAGATGGTGACCAGCTGGGAGATGATATCGTGTTATTGTGACAGATCAGCTGGCATGCACAGCAGTAGAAGTCGAGATGGAGGGAGATGTGCAGACGACCACGGAGACCATTCCGTCGATCTTGCATCCTACTTATTTCAGGGGGAGAGACAGTTCTGCTGTGTAAGTGTATGTCGCAGGAGAAGCGATGTCTTCCTTCCGCGCGACTTACCTACCTGCCCACTCGGGATGGTGAGTGTTTTTAATTACAACCTTTCCACTTAGGTATTCGCTCCGTGAGGTGATCTACCTAAGAAAACCACTTTCTAGGCCAACCGATGACCGATATCACAGTGTGCGGCAGAAGCCAGGACCGTAAGCGGCATAGGCATATACTTCTCAGACGATCCCTTCCATGGCTCGATACCACTTTTACACCCTACTCCTTGCTCATAAACATCAAGTACCTTGCGTATCGCTTTCCCGTTGTCCCTGCCCAGCAGCAGTAGGAGGATATGCAAGGAGTCAGGCAAGTAAGGCGCATAGCTCGTCGATAATAATGATTAAACGAGAACAAAATGATCAATATTAAAACTCGTTGTTCGTCGGCACGGATATTACGTGCTCTTCTAAGGATGTGTGGGTTGCGACAGCCTCGAAGACAATGTCCCTCGATTTGCTATGAGTTGCCTCTTCGTCCTCCATCGTCGATTCGGCCGTTGTTAGTCTAGCCTGGTATCTCGAGAGAACCCCGACGCACCAGGTGAGGAAGGACGAGCCTTGAGTTTCTAGGACGATGTACTACGATCCTACACCAAAGCTCGGGACGCATGAAAACTCGGTCCTGTGCCGAACCATGATTGGAGTAGCTGAGTATCGGGACTATCGGCCCATAATAGTGAACGCATTTCCCAAGCAATATGCTTGGATGGGAGTTCCCGAGGTCGGACAGCGGTATGGCATCGGAGCCGGCCAAGATATCAGTGTGGTCCGATTGTGGGTCAATCCCGACGACCGGAAACTCCCCATTGGTATCCAACAGTTTATCTTGGGAGCATCATCCGCCAGACTGTGCCCCTGTCACACTTCGTCTGCGTGTGGCCGCAAACGGTCGTTCTGAGGGGCGTTCAGCAAGCTGGTTCGGCCCGTGCCTCGAAACAGAGCCAAAGACTGTCAAGGGATTTCGAGAATTCGCACCATATGAAATGACCACCAGCTACGACGAAGCATCTCAGGGGGTCGGCTGAGAAAACCTGGCGTCCGTGGCAAGCCTATGCGAAGACAGTCGGGTGACAATATTATAGAGCGAGATTCTGCGGAATGCGATGAGAGAGACATTGGGAGACAGGTGACAGGAAGGTGGGGCGTTTTTATGATGGTCCACTACCTAGGTACCTTACCTATCCCGGGTCTCAGTCTCACGTGTTTAGTGTGTCTTGTTATGTTTGTTCAGGTACCTTAAGGTAGGTATTGGAGGCAGCCACCGCCAGTCGTCCTCATCCGTCGCTATACCTTAGAGTACCTTAATCATTATTACCGGTCAGGCTACGTCGAACCTTCCGTACTGGGTCAGGTACATACATAGGTAAGTAAGGTAAGTACCTTAAGGTAAGCTTGGTAGGGTCTCCATGTACCTTTGTACCCAGCATTCGGAGCACCTTGGCCAGGAACCTTGGCAAAGTCACACTCAATGGCCGTTGGAACCTTGGTGGGGGTATGACGGCAGAGATGGGGCACGAGGAGGCGCAAGGGAAAGAGCCCTACAGCTGGTCTTTCCGACAGGACCAAGAACAAGGACAGGGAAAGGGAGGGACGACCTGGACTCTGACTGCTGCGGACTGAGGCTTGGATGACAACCCCCTTCCCGTTCATTCCGACCCCTCTCGTTGACTCTTTCATCCCTTCTTTTCTTTTCTCTTCTCCCCCGCCCGCACCCCCCACGACCTTGTCGTCTTTCATCTCGACATAACTTACTTCCACTCTTCCACTTAACTTCACCTCTTCAACCCACCTGGCTATCCTTGTGTGTGGCTTGTCTGGTTTTCATATGCGTTAGCGACTTCAACGCTCTTCCCAACCTGTTTTTTTTTTCTTTTTTTTTTTTTCAACCCTCATTAGCAACCTTATTGACGTCACATACGTCGTCGTAATTTATCTCACCTTAGACCTACCAACATACGAACATCCGAACATCACAGGGCCAGCAATGGCCTACCGGGAGTCTTCCCGCGTGTATCTAGACGACCCCGTCGATGATGAAGTCTACCGCTCTCCCACTATCCGGCGCTACAAGGTAAATTCCGGCCGCGCCGGACCTGTTGATGACGACGACGACCGCCCGTCCCATTACTCGGGCCGCCATGGTCGCGATCTCCTTGACACTCGAGAGACTCGCGAGCTAGACCGACCCCGCTCGGCTTACGACAATCGTGGAGGAGAACACGAGTATCCTTACCGCCCCCGAGATCGTGATCGCGACGTCTATCGGGATTCTCGCTACTACTATGAGAAGGAAGTGGAGCGCGAGCCCTATTCCCCGCGCGACTGGGATCGCCGCTCGCAGGCTGCCCGTGACCGCGACCGCGACCGCGACGAGGACCGAGGCCGACCGCGGGAACGAGACCCTTCCGTTCCTGACCCACCGCAGGAAACGGAACCGGATGTTCGCCTGGAGAAACGCGTTGAGCACCGCGAAGATGGCGATGTCATAGTTGAGAAACGTTACGAAGAGCGCCGCGAGGACTGCCCTGGTCCCGAGATTGAGCGATACCGCAAAGAGACCGAGTATTATGCTCCTTTGAGTCCGCCCCCCATTCCTCAGCCCCCGATTGTCATCCGACAACCTGCCCCGGAACCTCAGAAGATCATAATTCAGGATCCACCCACTCCGTCCCCGGTCGTCGTTAACCGCGAGAATCCTGGTGTCATGGTTGTCCGAGAGCGAGATCATGCCCGCGAACTGGCCCGCCGAGACCCCCGGGACGACGATTATTACTACCGCCGCGACTCCAAGGAAGTAGGGGCCTATCATCGTGATGATGAATATTATAGGGACCGTCGCGGCCGTCATCGTGACTACCGAGACTACCCCAGTGACGATGAGGAGTATTGGTACCGACGCAAGACCATTGTTCGGGACCGTACTCCTAGTCCCGAACACCAACGTCGCCACTTGGCCGGCGGTGCCCTCGCCGGCGCCGGCGTCGCCGCACTGCTGGCTAGCAGAAAAGACAGGCATGGCGAGGTCGCTCCCAACCGAGGAAGCAAGGTACTCGCCGGCGCTGCTCTCGGTGCCCTCGGCTCAGAGGGGATCAGACGAGCTCGCAGCGCCTATCAGGAACGCTGGGGCTCTCGATCCCGCTCCCGCTCCCGCTCCCGTCATCGGGGCGAGGGCGGTATCGACAGACTCGACGACCGCTTTGGCCGAGGGAGGCGTAGGTCTCGCTCCCGCTCTCGCTCCCGCTCTTCGTCTCGCTCTAAATTGAAGACGGGCCTGGGCGTCGCTGCCGCCGCTCTGGCCATTGCCGGTGCCGCCAAGTACTACCAAGACCACAAAGTCAAGAAGGAAGAGGCCGGCAGAGGCAGGAGCCGTACCCGGTATTCGGACCGTGGGTATTCCTCCTCACGTTCGCGGAGCAACGATCGCGACAGAAAGCGCAGCCGAAGCAAGTCCATCGCCAGGGTCGCAGCGGCCACGGCCGCAACTACGGGCTTGGTTCAACATTTCCGCAGCAAGTCCAAAGGAAGATCGCGGTCCAAGTCGAGAATCCGTCAGGGTGCGGAGGTGGTAGCCGCCGGCCTCGCCGGAGGGGCGGCCACCAAGCTCTATCAAAAGCGGAAGGACAGGAAAGAAGAAGGCGAGGAACGGGAGCTCAGCGACGAAGAATACGAGAAGGAGCTGCGGCGGCGCGAACGCTCCAGGTCCCGCCGCCGCCGATCCCGTAGCAGGTCCGAGGCCAGATCTCTCCATGGGGAGCCAACCCCTGCTGATCGCGAGCTAGGATTAGTTGAATACGGGAAAGACCCGCTCCCTCCGTCACGGCCTCCGTATCCCCCCTCTGACTACGACTACGAGTCGGCCGACGAACGACAACGGCGTCGACATCGCCGACGCCGTTCTCACGACCAGTCAGATGCATCCGACGATGGCGGCAAGGGCCGCAGCCGCAGCCGGTTGAGGAACATGGCCGCAGCCGCTGTAGGCACCGGGGCGGCGGCTATAGGCATCAAGGAATACAAGAGAAGGAAGGAGAGGGAGAAGGAGGCCGAGGAAGATGCGGAGCGTCGGGGGAAAGGGAGACAAAGGGATCCGTCCGTGGACACGGACTACGCAAGAGATCGAGATCGATCACGGCGACGTCGGGACAGGGACCGAAGACGTGAGAACCATCTTGGATCCTACGGATCATGACCCTTGAGCGATTGAACAAAGCTGATTGTACCGTATCCCAGGTTACGAGGATGAGGCCAATCAAAACCCGTACTATGACGATTATGGCCATCCTCCATCCCCTCCTCATGCTTCCGGGGGAGCCTACTATCCGCCGCCGCCGCCACCATCACAGGGTGGCCCCGGTTACCCCCCGCTGAACCACAACGTCAACCCTGACTATGCGAGCATGCCCGGCCATGATCCGTACCCATCATACCATCCGCAAGACTATGGTGGGTATCCCCCGCCGGGACCTCCGCCGACCGCCTCTGGAGGTGCCGGGGGCTTCCCGCCGCCTACCCCTGGTGGGCCGCCCGCTGGACCCGGGCCGGCGGGCCCGGCCGGTGGCAGACTCGGGCCTGACCAAGTGAGTGATGAAACATCCCGCACCACTCCAGTACAAGAAGATGCCAGAGTCCGAGACGCGCCACCGCCAGTTGCTACGGGCAATGGTGCGTCGATCTGAGTGTTTTTGGTTCGATTTTTTTTTCTCCCCCCTTTCTCCTAAACATAAAAAAAGAAACAAATTTTGATCTTTCTCGTGCGTTCTTATGGGTCTGGACTTTGCACTGACAAAAGGTCGTAGATGGTCTAGCACGGAGGCGGCTAAACGGCCAACTACACCATCGTTCCGAGTCCGCACCATCTGAGTCGACAAGAGGACTCAGGTTGCCACCCCCGCCTCTCGCTACCACAAAGTCCGTGAGCTGGGGACCTTTGTCGCCCAAGTCGGCTGCTACTCTCGAGTTCCATCACCAACAGCAACAGCAACAGGAGCACGAGGAGGAGGAGGCCGCCGAGGACACATCCCGCTTTCAGCCACCGGCTCTCACTGAAGCGCAACTGGCCACCCTCCGGACGGCCCCTACGCACCGCCGAACCTCGGACCCGTCGTCCAACCGACCGGTCGTCCGACGCCGCCACGCATCTGATAGTTCCCTGGACGATGACAGTGACGACGGGGTGGAGGTCCTCCCTGATCGGTTTGATTCGCAGGGGCGACCTCTCGACGGCACATGGTACTCGACACACCCTCCAAGGGTACGCCGAGGCAGCTTCGAGTATCGCCCACGGCATCCAGGGGACTGGGACGTGCGCGGGACATGGGGCGTGGCAGGTACGGATAACGATGTGATACAGAGGCTAGCAAGCGATATGGAAGGGCTGCTTTCGGGACGGAAACACTGGGCGGACGTTATTCGGGATGTGATTGTAGGAGTGACACCAATCGGAAGACTTAATAACGTGGATAGTGATGATGGGGATGAAGATGATGATAGGAAGAGGCGGCGGCGGCGGAAGACCAGATGATGGAAGGTTAACGATTTATGATTCTATATTTCCTTTTTTGTTTCCTTTCTTCATGATCATTTTTTTCTCTTCTTCACTTGTGGCTGCATTGCGCATTTCTCTCTTTTATTATAATGACGATGCTGAAATGTCAAGATATCGAAGTATCCGTTGGGTCTTATGTTTTTACCACAGCTCCATTTCCGCCCTTTGCTGCAGGTTGCTTTCCAGGCGACTCCAGAAGTGCAGTCGAGATACCTGGTGAGGTACAAGGACAATACCTGTACCTTATGGTACCTTTTCTCTTTCTACCTAGGTACCTTGGGTATTCTTCTCGTTGGGAAGGCAACCAGCTAAAATGGAAAACATGCTCAAAGTGACCAGTCGATTTCCCGAGGACCAAGGTATCGATCGGATGGGAGGCAGTATGCAGTGTGAATCCTGGGCAGAAGACAGGGGTAAGTAATATGGGAGGGGATAGGTGCCTGCAGGACTTTGGGATTTGTTTGTTGAACATTTTCTATCACCTATCATACGGGAGGGAGAAAACTGTGTTTGTGCAAGTAATGGAGTGTGTACGGATATGTAACATAAGGTATATGGTATGAGAGAAGAGGTGATGAATTTGAGTACCTACGATGTCGGTTGAAATGTGTGTACTCGTACGGCGCGTAATTACCTTGAGGCTGGCGGAAGTAAGGGTGAAAGGGGTGGGATGGCAGGCTGATATGATTACGAAGCAGGTACTTGTTCGACGTATACGTTCGACATCCTATTGCGGGGCAAGAGTCGTACCTCTCCAAGGCACCTGGACATTGACGTCTGCTGGTATCCTTGACCTTGTGGCTTCACAACCATCACAGGCCACGGGGCGGGCTACCCACCACAATGGCATCGTCGTCTTCGAGGCATCCCAATAGAATAGAATGCCTCACATGAAGCAGCGTTCACCAACAGTTACAGTTTCCCTTAGCCGCCAGCCTCTACCACGAACCTCATATCGTCAAACACCGGCCATGACGACCTCAACATCCATCATCCCCGAAGCCCTCTGGGCCCAGCAAGTGCCCCTCCACATAACGCACCCAGACCACCCCAACACGCCCTTCGTAACCTCCCTCCCGCGCTTCAGCTACCTCCCCCTCCTCCTCCCACGGCTCAACGCCTTCTTCGGAAGAGGACGACACTCTTCTTCTCCCGCCGTCCACCTCTCCAGCTTCCACTACCGGGACGACGAATCTTCCACTGGCCCCTCGACCGCAGGCTCCGACGACGTCCTCCTCCGCAACCTGCCCCTAGGCCTCCTCGTCGACCTCTACCGCCCTTCCTTGCCCTGGCGGCTCACCGTCCGCGACGGCCCGGGCTGGGACGTAGCCGACACCTTCCTCAACGCGGCCAAGGAAGCCGATTTCGCCCGCTACGGCTCCGCCCGCCGCATCATGTCGCTCTCCCAACCCGACACCGCCGCCCTCTGGCACGCCGTCCGCGACAACGACCGCCGCGCCTTCGCCCGCGTCAACGCCCTCCTCCTCGACGCCCCGACCCCTCTCCGCGCCGTGCCCCTGCGTCTCTACATCCCCTCCGCCCCCGGTCCTTCCAGCCCTCACCGCTCCGCCCCCGAGACTCACCCTAACCCTCCTTCTTCGTCCCCACCGCCGCTGTCCGCCGAACCGGGCACTTTCAAAGTCCTGCAAGCGCTCATCCCACCCCGCGAAGCCGCCGCGCCCTCGTCTCCCTCGTCGTCTCCTCTTCCTCTTCCTCTTCCTCCTCTTCCTTCTTCTTCCTCGCTTTCCCCCTCGGCCGTCGTCGCCTCCTCTCGCCATCGCCAACCATCGCAGCAGCAGCAGCAGCAGCAGCAGCAGCGCCGTCTCGGTTCCGTCTTGCGCTCCCTGCTCCCCGCCCTCTTCCCTAGCAGCCGCGACCCCGTCCTGGCCAACGTCCTGTTGCACGGCGTCCCGGCGCCGTTTTCGGCTCCCATCGAGGACTTGATGCGCGAGGCCGCCTATCCTGACGGTTGGCTCTGTTTGACGGTGGTAGTTCTGTGAAAAAGAATCGGCGTAGGGTTGGAGCACATGATTCTCCCGGGGGGGGGGGGCTTGGTTTGAAGCGTCGGTTTTCGGAGTCGAGTTCCAGCAGGACGTAAAACAGGGTTCATGAGCGGGCGTTTTCATACATTTGATTCATCGGTAGTCTGTATTCGTGGTGTTAGGAGGAGTGGGTATGATGCTTCAACAACACATGTAGGGACAAGCACTGCAGCGCCTATCATAGAATAGAGTAACAACACCGAGGAAGTCACCTTCGAAAGACAAGTTTATGTCTCAAGACTCGATTGCAATAGGATTCTTTTCATATACGAGGCTGGGTCTGCGTCTGCGTCTGCATCTACGTCTATTTACAAGCCCCGACGCAGAATTCACAATTGTGCGCTTTGTTTCCTCCCCGAAGATCTGCCCCTCGGTTCTTCTCTATCGAGGCCTCTCCCGTGTCCAGTGTGACCTTCTGCGCTGCATTTCGACCCCAGGGCCGTTCAGTGGCCAAGTGCCCGACATTTAACGAAAGAACAAAGAAGAATAAAAGAAAAACAGGCAGAAAAGGATGCAACAAGAGACAAAATAAAAGGGCAAAAAAGCAAGTCTCAATGTTGATATGTGGTATCTCCTCCAATGTTCCCCGATAGTAATAAAAAAATAAAAATAAAAACGAGAGATAGACAAATGCCAACCCATCCGCCCCCTTTGCCTCCCAAACAAAGCAGTTTCTATTAAAAAAATAAAAGGAAGGGAAAAGAAGTCCACCACCTTCATAAATGGACGAGACGAAAAGAGCCGGAGCCAGCAGATGCAGTATGTACGACGGAGTACTGATAATACAAATCAACTCTAGTGGATCCCGGCATTCAAGCCGTCGATGGCCGGACACCGGGAAGAAATAGATGGGCGTAAAATTATATCCGACCCTTCCAGTGGCCGGGCTGCTCTATAACCCCGTGTAAACGATGTGCCTGACGACCAGCTGCCATGTTTCACCAACCGAAACAGCGAGGAGAAAATATAGATGAGATCGATGAGATGCGAAGGATATGGGAGCTCCGTGTCGAATTAAAAAAGAGAATATTTGCTGTCGCCTTGGGGCCGAGATGTCCGACGGCGTCCCTGGCTGGCCTTCATTATGCAGTTTCATCGGCATTTCTGCCAAGAAAAGAAAAGAAAGAAAAAGCCCGACACCCCAACCTTGGGTGTACCTCATGTCATATCGTCGTTTGATCCGGTCGGCGTGCCCACGGTCTCAACCCGTCCCAAGAAAGCAGCCCATTGTCTCCGTTCGTGCTCCTCACATAGATATAGGCGCCGGTTGCTCAAGCGGGTTGGGAATCGAGTCGTTCAGAGCCAGATGCGGTAACGTCGTAGACGCCGGCTGTCCAGGCGACTGGTGGACCGTTGCGCCATGTCCGCTTTTCGAGCTCGAGAAACTCATGCTGGCGCGGGGGTCGTTCCAGAAGAGTTCATCCCGAAGCCCCTCCAGCATACGGATGGCAATAGCCAGAGAACTGGACGGTTGCGCACCGAGGCTGATCCAGTACATGGTCCGGTCAAACAAAGTTCGCAATTTCCCCTCGTTCACGAACTGGCCCAGGAAAGGATCGCGGAAACACGCTGCGAGGACGAGAAGATTGCCCCATTGCCTAAAGCAGAGTCAGTACGGGTTTATGGGGGCCAAAAGAAAAAAAACAAAAAAAAAAAAGACTTGCGAAACGCCAAGTGGCTATATGCATAGACATGAATATTCTGTCAACTTACGCCATGGCTGTTCCGAAAAAGTTGGTCAGGATGAGCCTCTCGTTCTTCAACCCGTGAAAGGCCTCCGTGCTTTGTACGAGAGCAAAGATACCCTCCTTCGCCGACTCGATGATCGCAGGGTCGATGTCTTCGTACAACTTGACCCTCGCATCGATGTACGGCTCACGAGGGTTGTGGGGCCTCGTGCCGGGGAAACCTGCCGCGCCCGTCCTCGCCTCGGTCATCTGCCGCTCCGTAAAGTCGAGGATCATCTTGATGAAGGGCCGTAGCGTGATGACTTGGAAGCCCCAGTACTTGGCTCGCACGCGCGCCGTCAGCATGTCCGTTGCCGGCGGATCCGTGTTCGAGAACTTGAACGTCTCGGGCACCCATTTCATGGACCACATGAACGCCTGCGCCGTCTCCAAGGATACCGCCTCTCCTGGTTTTCGAGAGCCTTCGGGGGGCTCATTCGAATAAAACGTCTTGGTGATGAGGTTGCCGTGGCTTCGAAGCACCAGCAGGGCGAGGTAGCTCTCGCGCGCGAGGAAGGTCCAGTTGAAATCCGTCAGGTTGGGATGGGGCATGTATTCTTCATACGACAAGATCCCGGACCGCGGTAGAGAGAGCTCCACGACGATGTCGCTACAAAACGGGGTGGAATAACGGTGAGCAGGGGGGGGGCGCGGTTCATGTTCCAAGATATTAACGGAGACCACACCAAACGTACCTTTCCAACTGCAGACAAGTCCAAAAGGCGAGCAATACCAGGTTCTCGCGGATTTTCGATGGATGTGGCGACTTCATCTCCTTCTTATACTTCTGGAACCGAGGCAGGTCCCTAGCGCAGCAACACCATCATGTCAGCAAACACGAATAACCAAGCAGAGCATGCCCTGGGGGAGAAATTCAGATCTTAGGGCCCCCAATTGGGCTTGTTTGTTCTTACCTCCGCATGACGACTTGCAAGGCGTACCCGGCATCGACGATGTACTTCTCGCTCTGGATGGGGTAACCGAGCTGACCGTAATACAAGCCAATGAAGATGTTGGTCTGAACATGGCGCAAAGTGAGGCTTCCGTTCTGGTTGCCCATAATGTCCGTGGCGTTGGCGAGGTACTCCAACCCCGGTATGATATCGTAGTTCCGCCGCATGGACTGGCCGGCCGTCCTCGACGCCGTTCCCTGCCACGAAGGTCGTCGGCTAGGCATCCCTGCGCTGTTTTCTCGCGGCGACGGGAGTCCGGACGACTGAGAGTGCGAGGGCGGTGACGACTGCGCGGGCGAGGTGGGATAGCCGTTGCGGACGGCCGGGGAGCTATGTGTGCGATATTCCGACGGCGCCACGTCCGGGACTTTGCCTTTGTGAAGAGAGAGCTTGCCCAGAGCGAGGGCAGCGAGAACGAGCGCGTTGTCGACCGTCCGGTAGGGTTTCCCTGGGACAAGGCCCGGAGAGGACCTCGGCTTGTCGGCCGGCTCGCTGGTCGGGGACCGCTTCCGCTTGCCGATGGCGTCGCCCGGCTGCATTTGCGCCGAGTTGGCGAACTTGGCGACGGCTGCCGATGGCCCAGCGCCCGACACCTTCAACGTGCGCCGATCCCCGGGTGCCGTCTGGTTCAGAAACGAGCGCACCCAAATCTTGAGATGTTTCGGCAGGAGGATGGGGTGCATGCTCAGAATGTGGTCCTCGAAGCTCTTGATATACTTGAGGACCGTCGCTTCGCTGAAATCGGGCTGTCCCTGTGGTGTCAGTGTCGAGCTCTTGTAGTCGACCTGGGCACCGGGGCTGAGGCTGCCGATCTGGCCCCAATCGGCTTGCCCGGCAGGAGAAGACCCAGGGTCTGAGTAGTTCTCCGTACTGACGTCCAGTACGCCGTGCTGGTCGAGCTGAGGAGTCCAGCGCCCATGGCCCTCGCCCTTTCCGAACAACTTGATGACGCCTCTCCTCTCTTCGATGGACTGGGGAAAGTCTTCGGGGTACTGGATGCCTTCCCTTAGGAGCAGGTGCTGGGTCATGGCTCTGATCGGGGGCCAGGTCAGGAGAAAACCGGCCGAGGTGGTATGGTCTTCGGGGATGGACGATTTCCCTGGACGCACTGCCGGACCAGGGGGTTCTCTATCTTCGATATCATCCCTCTCATCTTCCATTACAGTTTGTTCCAAGTTGGCGTCTTCCACGTCGTTGAGACTCATTGGATTGGCCACCTCGTTGACAGGCGTGTAGGCCGGCTGTGGCGTTCCATGCGGCGGGTCAGGCTGCGGGATATGTTGAGGCGTTGCCGCCACCTGTGGGGTGCGTTCAAAGCCAACATGTGTTTCGACAGGAGCAGAAAGAGCTGGGTAAACAGTTTCCGCATCGGCCTCGAGCTTGATACCTCTCAGGAACGGCAGTTCCCTCTTGACATCGCTTATCTTCTTGTCGACGTTGTAAAGGATACTCTTCACCTCGGCGAGCGCTTCGAGCATATCGGTCTGGGCCTTATCCGCACTGAAAGCCATAGCAAGTCAGCTTCCCTGAGCGGCTGACCAACTCGAAGAGCGTATAATTCGGTAATATTTTGGGGGAGGGTAAAAGGAGGGGGGGTTAGGTTCTTGTGACGTACGCTTTGGGTATCGGATCACGATATTTGCACTCCACGTTCTTCTCTCGACATGTCTTGCATGGCTTCGTTTCGTCGCACTTTGCTTTCAACTGACGGCAGTTGTCACAGGCCTGCCGGGGGGGGTGGGATAACGTTAGTTAAAATGTGACTCGGGGAGAAGCTGGGCCCACTAATCAACACGAGGGAAGGGGGTGTTCGAACCTGGGAAGCTCGTGTTGCTTTCCGTTTCTGCGTCGCCGCGTACGAAACATGGCTATAGATTGGCTCGGCAGGCGATGGATGATGAGGGTAGGGCGTCTGTTCGTAGGGAGATGGTTGCGAGATGGGCTGAGGTGGTGGGAAGCTGGGCCTGTAGGATACCGGTGTGGGAGGAAGCTGTTGGCCGGCATCGAAGCTCATGTGGCGGCGATGGTCGTCCGGATACGGCTGCTGGGCCCCTGGATGAGGAGGGGGTTGTGATGGATGGGGGCCGGGTGGGACAACCGAGGGAGGAGGAGGAGGAGGCTGTTGCTGGGGAGGCGGAGGGGGCGGCGGAGGGGGGAGACCATCGTTCGGGCCACCACCAGTGGAGTGTGGACGTCGAGGTTGAGAGATTGAGTCCTCGTACATCTCCCTCTTCAGGCCAGGGTCTCGTGGCGGTAGAGCGTAGTTGGGCAGGCGGGCAGGCGAGGCGGGTTGGCGATAGTTATCTTGTTGGACAGGAGTGAAGGGCCCCTGGTCATGGTGCCGACGTTCATGAGGGTAAGGTTGTTGCGACACGGGTTGATGATGCTGCTGCGGCGGGGGTAGAGGGTGAGCAAGAGGAGCTTCGGCGCTTCGAGAGGAGTACGGCGGATGTTGTTGATAAGGAGCGGATACAGGCGGCGGAGGTTGCTGCTGCTGCTGCTGTTGCAGCTGCTGCGACGGGGTAGGCTGGGGGAGGTGAGGCCACGGGTTGTTGCTTGTCTCTAGGCGGGGACGCTTGTGTTCAGGTTGCGCCGGGTCCATGTTGGGTATATATGTACATAGATACAAGAAGGCCTATGTAGTATATGTATGGTAAGGTAGGTAAGGTAGTATGTATGAAAGGAGGAAAGGAAGAAGATGAAAGAGACGTTAGGCCATGGGACGTTCGAGCAACGGGACAAGCCGTGGGGAGACGAGACGACGCCCAAGAGGCAAGGGAGGCAAAGAGGCACGCCGGGCGTGGGGAGAGTGAATTCAGCCCGTTAACGGCCAGGACAGGGACTTGAAGCCTGGGGGCAAGGAACTTCTTCGTTGATCGGTGGTGGGTGATAGGTGGTGGCTGTGGTCGGTCCCCCTCTATGATGGCAAATCGACGCGTCAAGGATAGGGGGAGTGAGGGATGGGATGGGAATGGTTCAAGCCTGACAGTTTCGATAGGAGTACTCGAGAGAGGTACGAAGTACGGAAAGCTATTGCCTGTCAGGTGGGAGGTGTGTGCGGAAGTATTTGGGCGGATGGCGGATGACGGATGGACGGCGAACGTGGCGTGGCGTAGGTGCGTTCTGTCTGTACCCGGGGCGCTGGTTCTTCTGGTACGTTGTAGGCCTAAGCAAACGACAAAAGGATGGCGCAGGTTGAGGCGAGAGAGGGACGAGGCCAGTCAAGCGAGGTCACACCCCAGTTGTGACCAAAGCAAGAGTCAAGAGTAACCAGGGGGTGGACCAGGTGAGTGGGGGCACGCTCAGAGGGAAAGAGAAAAGAGAGAGAGGGAGAGGGAGATGGAGAGGGAGGGAGGGAGGGAAGCAGGGCGAATTGTTCTGGTAGCTGGGATGAGAGGAGGAGGAGGGAGATGTGTCGTGCGCCGTGGCCGTACCGTGCGTCCAGATGGCCAGTGCCCGGTAAATAAGACCCAGCTTCGAAACGTGGATCAGCGTTGTGCAGAGACTAGGGTCCCTTCTGGGTACCGTTGTAGGTTGTAGGTATGGTAAGTAATCTGGTTGTCTGGCGGGGAGACGAGGCTGAAGAGGAACCAGCCGGGGATGGAGGAGTAGGAGGTACAAAGAGGGACAACGGTGATTAAAAAAAAAGAAAAAGGAAAAAAAGAAAAAAAAAAAAGAAAAAGAAACGACAGCGTGACAAGAGAGCGGGGAATGCAGGAAAGAGAAAAGGTACTCCGTAGGGTACTTGCAAGGGGAGGTTCGACTACGGATAGATGTGCGAGATGGGTAAGATGGGGTTCGAATTCGTGGCAAAAGGAGAGCCCAACGCGGTGAGGAGAAGTGAGTACAACGTAAGAGGAGTTGGAGTGGTGAGGTGCTTGTGCTTGTGCTTGTGCTTGTGGTGGTGTTGAGTGGTGAGAGGTGAGAAACGAGGAACCCCAGGGAATGATCGGTAGCAAATTCCGTCCCAAAAGGTACATATCTACTGGTAAGGTAGGTACCTGGAGAGGTCCGGAGTACGAAGGTAGGTACGAAGCCAATCTAAGAGGTTAACTGGGCCGCGACACACGGGACCATAGGTACTGTGGGTATCTCCGTGACGAGAGGAGTGGGGGGCCATGGACGACCCTGGCTCTTGCCGCACGCGGTCTACCTGGGGAGAGGGGTAGCTCCGAGGTCAGCTCAATACATTGTAAGTACCGGACTAGACGCGCCCATGAGTGAGGTGGATATCAATGAGTACGAAGTACATTTTACAAGAGGGACATCTACGGAGTAAGGTACGACGAGAGTAGGTATAGCGAGAGTTGCGAGTTTTATCATCTTTTCCCAGACTCTGGGTAGACTGGGTGACTTCGTTTCAACCTGGAATCGTCGCATGTCGTCGCAAACCATACCTTAAGTGACTGTTTAAGCTTAAAACAATCGAAATACATTGTACCTTATATAAATACGGTAGTAAGGTCGGTAAGGTACCTTAGGTACGGATTGAGAAAGCCGAGAAAGCCGAAGTATGGTAAGTACGGATACCTACCCGGTACCTCACTGGATTGTGCACGTCTGTGGACCTCATCAACAGACTAATGATTATCCGAACAGTAGTCTCTGAACAACGTGCCATAGCTAGCAAGGACCGGGATATCAACGGTTTGGTGAGAGCCTCGGAGGTCCTGAGTGAGTACCACGATGTACTTCGTACACATGTAGAGCGAGAGGCTGATTCCCGGTTTCTTGGAAATCACCCAGAGTCTGGGACATCATCGCCTTCATGTAATGGGTAGCGAGCGGATGAGAAGTTCGGCAGATAAAGCCCATAATAAGAAATGGAACTGAAATGGAGTTGAAAGGACTGGAGTGCCTGTACGTGTACACGTATTTCATACATGCCTTACAACGTACGCAAGCATCATCTCGATTGCGACGACCTGTCTGTCAGACGACAGACCGACCTTGCAAAGAGGAAGAGATATGCGGTGAGGTGAGGCGAGGCGAGGCGGCGCGTGGTCGTCGATGCATAAATGAGGCGAGCCAACATCAAAAAGAAAAAGAAAAGAAAAAAATGATTGGCCTATCATGACCATTGTCGGGAGCGAAAACTCATGGCAAGTGCGATCATGACGGTGGGGGAAGAGAGACATAAGGTAGGGAGCATGGCGAGGCTGCGGGCGCACATTAATTATTACTTTCGCAAGGTCAGAAGTAATTACACGTAGAACGTGCTTTCGTACTCCGTGTGTACTATTATGTACCCCGTAATTCATCAAGTTGGGGAGACGAGACGGTTCTGTCCAAGAGATCCCGAGACAATCTTCACCTGGGGACCAGGGGTTTTTGTCACTACACTGTACCTGTCTCTTGAGGCAAGAGGTATTCCACAATATTCCACGCACACGGGCCCGCTGCCTCGGACGTGGTTTTCAGGATTTTCAATTCAAGAGGATCCTCTTACACCCAAAGGGGTCCTATTTTCCTTGGCTCAAACGTGTCGACAGCCATGTATTGGTCGGTCGCCTAATCTATTCATTTCGATCGTCATTTTCGGACGGACCTCAAGCGAGGGTCCCTGACAGACCGTCGCGCTCAAATGGGGAATATGTGGGGGGAGAGAGACACGAGCCTCGCCCGTGACCATCAAAGAGCCCCAGTAACGCTGCTGGTTGCTCGATCGCGTCTCCAGTCCACCCAGTCCACCCAGTCCACCCAGTCCACCCAGTCCACCCAGTCCACCTGGGTAGGTACGAGATCACCGGCTTGGCATCATCTTTCATGCCTTCTGCTTCTTCCTGAGGCAGTCGACATGAATCGCATGTATGAAGTACGAAGCATGCTATATACTTGGGTAATACCTACTACCTGACCGGTCTCCTCATTCGTACGTTGTCGAAGTACACCTTATCCATCCCATGACTCGTGTTCAGCTTCAGCTGGTTCGTGCGCAAAGCCCGTAGATCCCGTGGAGGACGACCTTGTAATTACGACGTATTATTGCTTCCTACTTTGGGTAGGGACGGACTACGTTGTACGGAGTAGGGAAGAGCGATACCGAAGCAGTTCGTAATTCCATGTGGTTCCGCTGTTTTGGTAATTTACTGAGGTGGATGCGTGGAAATGACAGTTGTGCCGGCAGAGGAGCTCTCTCGTGCGTGGTGGGGGTCAAGTGATTTATTTGCAGGCACTTCTGCGAATTTCTCGGAACTGCATATGGCTGACCAATGTTGAAGGTCTAGTCGGTATTGAATAAGCAAGCAGACCCGAAGCTATAGGTCCTGATTAACTGTTATTACGGAGCATAGTAGTAGGTCCCTGGATGCCCACCCGTACGACGTAGGTGCCTTGTTCGTGAATGGCGAATGTGAGGAGCTAGGTAGGCGAGTATCACGAAGGGAAAGAGGCCGATGTGCGGTCAACGAGAGGAAAAAAAAAGAAAAAAGAGTCCCAACCGATTTTACAAAGGTCGTGTTTCCACCCACCAATATTCCGAGAAACGGGCGGACGGGCGCTAGGCTCTGGCCGCACTCACCCGAAGCGGTGTGACAGACGGAAGGAAGCTGTTATCTGCTGTGTGTTAGAAGATCATCAGAGGCGGTTCTATGTATGTAATAGTTGGCGGGCAGGAGTTAGGCGTGTGATCTGGTACGTCGTACGACGTCCATGCCTTTGTCGGTGTAGGCGATTGCCCCTCCCCCGCATCGCATCCCGATATTTGTCCCGGGACCGCATCGCATATTCATGGACGTACGTTGTATTGACATGCCATCTCGGAACGGTCTGCCTGTCTGCGTGCCTAGGATTTCGGCCCAGCAGTTCAGTTCAGCTCGTCCTTGCATCTGAGGATCCCGGATCAGCATGCATCGCAGCTTGGTTGCCTCGTCTCCCTGTATAACATAGAAGCGGTTCCTCTTGTTCCTCTTGGAGAGTTCTTTTCAACGGCTCGGCGTACGGAGTATAAGGTAAGGTACTTAGGTAATCATTCCGCAGCACACGGTATGTTTCGTCCTTGATTCTCGGCCTAGGTCACAGATACGTCGTTCCAAACAAGGTCACCGCTCCTTTGATGACCCATGCCCCGTCCCGTACTCCGTGCTCCGTACGTGTACATCAAACTCGGCCGCTCTCTCGTACAGTTGAACCTACATAAGGTACCTTACACCATGCTGCTCTCAAAGGCATTCGACCCCGTCCATCGGGAACTCGCTGACGGCAACATACAGACCCTGTATTATGATTTATGAGTAACTACTTGACCAGCTTTACTCCACACTCCCTTACAGGACTGCAGTTACGTACGTGTAACTGCCGGATCGACAGCGTGTTTCTCAGGTCCCGTCAAGAGACACTGGACAGATTCAGTAAAGATCTGCCACCGTACTCGGTACTCTTCACGTGGACGGAATACCGGGCAGGGGCAGGTAAGATATGAGGGATGAGTGATGAGGGGATGAGGGATGAGGATGTTCCCTTTTTGGACCGAGTACGAAGTACATGCACGGTACCGGGCACCTTTGCGCTCTCAAGTCCTCGACAAAGACGCGGAGAGACATGGAGATGCTCATGTGCACCCCAACCTCCCCAACCTCCCCAACCTCCCCAACTCCCTGACTTCAGCATAATTCTTTCGAGGCGCCTGAAGCGCGCCGGGTCGCGAGCTCAGGTCAACCTGTTCTGGGCGGGGTTGTTTCTTTTGGCTCGACGTGACGCGGTCTATTATCTCCGAACCCCGTCCTTTATACTTCGTCCCTAAGGTACCTTATATAGGTAATTACGGAGTATATACTACCTCGCGTCCACCCAATAAAAGTTGCAGGTCGTAATTCCCTGTGCTATGACTGGAGACCTCTATTATATATATTCGCCCTTGATTTTTTGGGGGATTTAATAGGGAGACCTCACGTTTCGATACCAAGACCTCACGGCATGTCCTGAATATCCCGATACGCAACTAAGACCAAATGCAACATTTTCGCAGATGATGTGGTTTACACGTAGAACATGGGTTGATTGAGCGGGTACGAAAGCCCTACGTATACCTAAAATGATATCAGTTCCATTTATCCCCAACCTGATCAAGGAGGAGCTGGCTGCTGGCATCGTCCTCCGTCTCCTCCACGATATCGAGGGGGTTTATCATGCTTGCCACGTGGAACCTATGCGAATTGTGATTGTGCTCCCCTTGTGTTGCTCCGTGGTGGAAACAACACAAGGACACAAGGATAACCCTGCAGGGGCCGATGTACGGTTAATGGACGAGGAAATACTTACGACAATGCCTGGGACTGATAATTATCGAAAGAAAACGTCAATATGGGACAAGGAGAGGCACAGGAGCCCTCGGATGTTCATTGATCATCTGGCGACTTGAAAACTGAATGAAACCCATCCCCCTGTGACGTCCAATGGCGCGTATTGGAATCAAAGTATCAGAGTGCCCAAGGTCGACTCCCTGCGTTCGACCGAGCCCTGCTGTTTGCATTGCTCCAACCGTCAGACAGTAGCTCAGCTCATCATCTACCCAAGGTAGTCAGAAGAAACGGGAGAGGATAGCAGCCAGGTGAAGTCATCAGTCGAGATCATCGTGCTTGGGATTTTTATTGCTACGTCACGGCCATCGTTTCGAAGTTTATTATCAGTTCGCTTTGCTGAAGTTTCACGTGATGCCGTCGACACCGAAGGAACGGTTCACTGTTGGTAGGAGAGCGTGATTAAGTGATTTGCAAGGCGGTAATCGTAAGCCAGCACCCGTCACACCCGGAGGGTTGGCAGTTGATGCTGGTGGCAGGTTTCGACACAGGCATGAATGACAAAAGCTTCCGTCCACGGCTCAGCTCATGCGAATGCGGAACGAGAAGCCCGGTCACCTTCCGTCCATGACTCCTTGCTCTCTCCTCTCTCCGGTGTAGGGTAAGGTTTTCGGGGTCATACGCTCGCTCAATGGATGCTAGAACAACTCGCTAGCGCATGACCCTCTGCAAAGCTTGCTTTTGGGAAGCGGGGGATCTATCTGCTGTGTAAGCTGTGTACGGAGCCTCCGCCCATGTCCCGATACATGGGACGGGATGCTCAAGTGAGGTCACCATCGGAGGGACCGATTCACTTTCTTGATCTGCCGCTCGGCTAATGATGCTGCGGTTCGTGTGGAGCAGTGGATGCGACCATCAAGCGCGGAATTTCAGGCTCCAGTTGGGCACCAGCTCCAATGATATGTATAGTATCCCAGAGTAGGGAGACCTGCTGGCTGCGGAAACGCGGGGGCGGGGGGGCGCAGACTTGAGGAAAAGCATCGGGAGGGAGGCAGCCTAGAAGAGGCAATTTTCAGGAGACCAATGGGCTGTTCGGCCAGCCTTGAGAACCATTTCCCGATGCAAGCCTCAGCTGATGAGATTCCGACGGAGTAGGGATGGGCTTTTAGGTCCCTTTTTTCTTTCTTTCTTTCTTTCTTTCTTCCCTCTTCTTTCTTCTTCTTAGCGTCATGACGGCCCTCCGGATGAACTACCTTTGCGTCTCTTACGATGCCTGGAAGTGCCATGGGCCTGGAACCCCACGGTGTTCAAAGGCCGCAGTTCGGAGACATCATCATCTCTCGGGCTGGTTGCGGTGTGTGGTTGTCCGTCTCGAACTCGGCCGCCATCCGCGATGGGTTCGGGGTCGACGGGAGGGGCACGACGAGGAGCGATTTCCTGGCCCTCGGTAAAGACAAGGTCGCCACGCTTCCCCAGGGCTTTCCGACCGGCCTCCTCCAACAGAATACCAAAGGCGAGGAGGGCCGTCTCGTCCATGCTTCCCTCGTCAACGGAGCGGCTGCCGACGCGGACGGAGCGGGCATCGGGCCCGTTTAGCGCGGCGTAGAAATGGCTTGCGTATAGATGTATGGCTTTGAGGAGGTCGCTGTCGGGCAGGACGTCGCGGTGTGGCAGGTCGCGGTCGTGGGCCATGTAGACGTCGTGCTCTGCGTAGCGTTCTGGGGCATCCGGGCGGCGGAAGAGGGCTTCTTCGGGGGCTAGGATGGGGTTGTGGACTGTCGCCTTCCGCAGCCTAGGCGGTTGCTCGGCATCGGTGGGCTTTTGGGATTCGTCTTGGGCGGCGGCGCCTGTGGTGGTGGTTTTGTTGGAGAGTTTGGCGGTGATTCGACCTGCGACGGCATCGTAGACGGTCAGTTGATGGCGTAGGCGAGGATCATGGTGAATGGCAGTAGCGGTCCCTTGGCCGGCGATATCGGCTGACCTAGAGCGGGACCGAGACTGAATGTTGGCAGATGGTCTTTGCCTGGTCATTGCGGCATCTCTCTTCCTCTTCTTCCTTTGTCCTTTCTTTTTCTTTTTCCTTTTCCGAGGTTGAGGGAGCTTGTTGATGTCGAATCTCGCAAAGGCTTCCAACTCGAGGGTCGTGGTTACCTTGTGTCCGAACCGATATCTTATCAGCTTGATCTTACTTAGGTAATCACAAACGCTAGGTACATGTACCTTGCCCAGTTCCGCATTGACGTACTGAATCCAGGTGTGCTCGGTGAGGAAGGTACGGACTGTCTGTCCGTACCTTCCAACATCATCCAGTACACCACCTACCTAGGTACCTACCTTCTTACCTTTTAATAGGTACCTACTTGATGCTCCTTCGTGACAACACATCCCACAAAACAACAAAAGACGGCATCAAGACATTCGTCTTTTCACACGGCCAAACAACTAACCATTGCCGAGACTTCCGGATCATTAAAGTCCAATGAATGCAGTCCAGTCTGTATGCCCGCTCAACCGGTGACCTCAGACCGGAGGTCCTCGAGAAGAGCACCGTCAACAATCTGATCCGGAGCTTCGTTGCGGCCCCCCGTCACCGCTTTGATGGCGAAGGTGCAGGTGATGATGAAGGTGGGCATGTCGAGGCCCTAGAGGTTAGTCGGGTGTGGGCGCATCGCGTGGGTGTGAATGCCCTTGCCCTTGATGAGTTTGAAGGACGCTGGTGAGTACATCCCTTTGGCCTTTTTTCTTCTTCTTTTTTCTCTTCTTTTTTTTTTTTTCCCTTCTTTTCCTTCTTTTTCTTCTTTTCCCTTTTTTCACTCATTGTATCAATTCCTAACCTCCTAGACTCGTATATAGCCTGGTCTCTGGAGGTGCAGACGGGGCTATCAGAGTCTGGGATCTACACGACTGCAGCAATCCTCGACGCCCGCATACCTTTCGTCCCCGAGCCCAGGTCCTCCGCGCCGTCCGGGAGAACGACACAGGCCACACCCACGGCATCACGCACCTGGACTTCCACCCCCTCCAAGCCGACGCATTTCTGTCCAGCTCCTTCGACCGGTCCCTGAAACTCTGGGCCACCGAGCGCTTGACCGTGTCCGAAAGCTTCGACCTGGGGTCCCTCATCTACTCCCACGCCAGCAGTCCGCGCCGGCACCACCTCGTGGTAGCTTGCGCCACTCGGCATTCGGCCGTCCGCCTGGTGGATCTCCGGTCCGGCTCGTCCGTCCAGGCGCTGGCCTCGCAAGGCGGGGCCGTCTTATCGGTGGCCTGGAGCCCGCGGCACGACAACGTCCTGGCCAGCGGGCACATGGACGGCCGGGTGCGCGTGTGGGACATCCGCCGCGGCGTCGCCCTGATCGGCATGCTGGACCAGGACGACAGCTTGGGACTGGTGCACCACTACGACCACGCCGTGGCGTCGGGGGCCGGGTCTGGGTGGGACGCGAGCCGGCCGCGGTTCCGGGCCGCGGCGAGGGCGCACGACGACGGCGTGAACGGGCTGTGCTGGACGCAAGACGGGCAGTACGTCGTGTCGGCGGGGCTGGACGAGCAGGTCCGCGTCTGGGATGCCGCCACGGGGGCCAACACGCTCGCCAGCTTCGGGCCGGTCGTCCGGAACCAGAGCCACCACGGGGGCCCGATCGGGACGGCCAGCATGTTCGTCTCGCCTTCGTGCCTGACGCCGAGCCGCGGCGAGCTTCTCTTCTGGGCCAACGAGCAGGAGATTCTGGTGTTCGACCTGCACGAGGGTACCATCGTCTCCCGGCTCAGGGTTATCGGCGCGCCCAACTCCTCGACGAATGCGGCTGGGCTGAACGTCAGGAACCGGACCAACGACATGGTCTGGCGGGGGGCCGGTGGGAAAGGGGTCCGGCGGGGGGTGGTCATGGGTGGTGGTAGCTCGTTCGGGGCCCTGTACACTGCGCACAGCGATGGTCAGATTAGAGCCTGGATGCCTCGACTGCCCGGCACGGCGGAGGACGACGATCCTGGCGAGGGCCCGACGGCGGGGGAGGAGGAGGATGAGCAGTCTCGGACGCGCAAGAGGAAAGCTGTCGATGATGCGTTTAGGAGCCTCATGGGTCGACAGATTACTTTCAGCTGATATGCGTTCAACCCCTCTCACCAACACCCACACTGGCAGACGAGCGCCACTTGGTTCACTTTTTCACTCTCCCATGATTCTGTATTCTACGTATATATTAGTAGTGCAGTCCGGCGGTTGTTAATGTTTTAATGTCACATCATGGTGTGTGGAGTTGGTATGTGTTGAATTCACTGCGATATGTGGGGAGCTATTGAAACGCACGATTCAGACCTTGATCCGATCCCGATCCCGCTCCCGATTGCGATTCCCGATGCCGCCCGAATCTATCCACTCACTCACTTTGTCAACTACATAAAGATCTAATAGTAAAACCACAAGACCAACACAACTAAAAAGCCGAAAATACAAGTTCCATCTTTCTCTCCCCCTCTTCATGCCCACCATGTCCACTCTATCTCACATGGTGGAGATCTTCTGGTTCCTCGCGGACCCCTTCATCTTCATGGGCCAATCCCTCTCCCACCTCCCGGGGACCATCCTCTCCGTCCTGCGCACCGGGGACTTCGCCACCCTCCTATCCCCCTCGCGCTTCCATACCGCGTGGTTCGGTCGCTTCTGGGCCGTCGCCGGGCCGGAAGTCCGAAAAACCTCTTCCCCGCGTGTCGTGCCCCTCCTGCAGGGACGCGTTCGTCACGGCGTAGCCACGGACCAGCAATCCGGACCGCCCGTCGGAGGCGTCGTCCTGGAAGTCGGCGCCGGGTCGGGCATGTGGGTTGACGTCCTAGCCGAAGCCGGCGGGATAGCGAGTGGCGCTGGTGGGGACGAAGAAGAAGAAGACTGTGCTACGACGACGACGACGGCAACTCGGCGCAGACCGCAGCCCGACGACGACCAGACCGGGGGAGGGGCCATCACCAAAATTTACGGGGTCGAGCCCAACCCGGCCTCGCATGCGGCGCTGCGTCGCAGAGTCCGCGAGTCTGGGCTAGAAGGCATTTACGAGGCCGTGCCCGTTGGTATCGAGGAGCTGGGCCACTCGACCAAGTGGGATGGCCGCATCGAGGAGGGTAGCGTCGATTGCATCGTGTCGATCCTCTGTTGGTGCAGCATCCCGGACCCCGAGAAGAACATCGCTGCGCTGTACAAGTTCTTGAAAAGGGGGGGCCGGTGGTATGTCTACGAGCATGTCAAGGCCAGGAGGACCGTGTTCATGCCGTTATATCAACGATTTGTCAATCTATTCTGGCCTCGCATCATCGGAGGCTGCGAGATGTGCCGTGATACCGAAAAGCACCTCAGGGCAGTCGGACCATGGGAACACATCGACCTCGTCCAGCCTCCTGCGGAACCCTGGTGTCATCCTTTGCCTCACATCTACGGCACGCTGACCAAGTAACTTGCGACTTGGCATCTTTTTCCCCTTCCTGTGTGCAGAGAGGGTCAAATCTATATAGCTCGTTCTATCATATACTTTCATGATAACCGGTTCGCTCCATTGCTTCTTCATCCACGCGCACCATCCACACGCACCGTCCACACGGCCTACTTCGTACATACAGACGTCCACCTGCCTATACACAGAGACAAACCACCGCACGCCCGACCAGAAAGAAATTGCATCTACAACTCATCGCGTACCGGTGGCTTCTCCGGCCGCCCGCTATCCTGATGCAAGTCGACTCCGACCTGCTTCCGCCACTTCTGCCACATACTCCAGAAATCCTTCTCCATGCCGGCCTCCATCTGGTCCGGCAGCACCACGACATACTGCACGTACAAGTTCCCAAACTCCATCTCGTGGTAGGGGCTGTCGTTGTCCTGGTGCCACTTGGGCATACCCTCTCCCACCACCGTCTCGACATGGTTCGGCTGCACCACCTCGCCGCGGGGGCGACCGAGGCGCACCACATGGCCGTCCATGTGCGTCAGGTTGCGGGACCAATCGCCCATCCACGCCTCGCGCAGCGAAAGGAGCTCGGTCCAGAACAGGTCGTCGCCCCTGCGCCGGAAGAAGACGCCGTCGACGCGGTCCGGGTTGTCGTTGTCGTTGTCGGGGTCCTTCTCCGACAGCGTGACGACCAGGTTGCCGGCCACCCAGTCGGGGCTCTCGTCGGCCTCGTTCTCGTACACGAGCTGGGCGTCGCGCGCGGCGCCGCGGTCGACCTTGAGGGTCACCGTCGTGGCCTTGCGCACCACGCGCTCGCCGCGGCAGGCGGGGCACTTGTGGCGGATGGCCTTGCCCCTGCCCCCGCAGGCGTCGCACGTGGTCTGCAGCTGCTGGAACATGCCGGGCGCGATCTGCTTCTTGATCAGCCGGATGCCGTGGCCGTGGCAGTGCGGGCACGTCTCCACCACGCCGTCGGCCGACCCCGTGCCCTCGCACGCCTCGCAGATGTGCTGCTTCTCCCACCGGAACTCGGTCGTGGCGCCGTTGTAAAAGTCGCGCAGCGAGATGCCCACCCGCACGTTGACGTCGGGGCCCATGCGCACGCCGGGTTGGTGGCCGTAGTGGCCGCCCCCGCCGAAGAAGCTCGCGAAGAGGTCGAACGGGTCGTGGTGGCGCCCGCCGCCGGCGCCCTTGTTCGTCTGGTGTTGCTTGAGGCCTTCGTGGCCGTACCGGTCGTAGATGCTGCGTTGTTCGGGATCGATGAGGGCTTCGTAGGCATCCGAGACTTCGACGAACTTGTCTTTTGCCGTTTCGTCGCCACTACATTTAGTCCAGTTGTTAGTTTTTCTTTTTTTTTTTCTTCCTTTTTTCCCTCTTCTCTTCTCCCTTCTACATGACATACGGATTCTTGTCTGGGTGGTATTTCTTGCTGAGCTTGCGGTACGCCGACTTAATTTCCTTGTCCGAGGCCTGTTTCCCGATTCCAAGGACTGCGTAGTAATCCCGCGCAGCGAGGACAACGCTGGCGATACAGAGGAGGAGCAGCAGCAGGGCTGCTCCGCGGTGTAACATCTTTGCGACTGGACCCTCAGACGACCCTTATGGATGCAGGGCCAGCATGCATGTATATACGGAATAAGGGATGGCCGTTAGCCAGACCTCCGCTGGGAAGAAGAAAAGAAGGGGGGAAAGGGAGGGAAGGACGAGGAACACGATTATATGGGTATATGGGCCATGGGAGACAAGAAGGTATTCGGAGGTAGGGAATGTGAAGCTCCAACGTGTTAACAATTGGCTTTCCAATAATGGTGTAGTACCTTACGAAATCCACGGTACATTATTGGCCAAAGCACCTTAGGTAATCCTAGTGCTGTACTCTGTACATACCTTACCTACGTAATGTAAGGCAGGGACTAAGGTACTCCATACAAAGAGCAAGCCGACTCACCTTAGGACCGACCTTACCTGTACCGGACATGCTTATCTTATCAGGACTCTAGCAAAAACTCGTCGTCCATCCTCTGTGCCATTTCTTTGCACCTTTGCACTCGGTATCAGCTTCACCTTGCGCCTCTTTAGGCCAGGCCAATCCAACCTATAACATATTCTACAATTATCCTTCACGGTTATTTCTCCATCTATTTTCTAAGAAGATAATTATAACTTTCCCTCACCATGGCGGACGCCAAACCGCCCCCCACCCCATCCGAGCCAGTAAGTCATCCAACCCTGCCTTCTGCTACCCTACCTACCACTTATGCGATTTGACCTGCTCACGTTCGCCTCCAGCCCGCGGCTGCCACTTCCCCGACTCCGAAACCAAATGTGTCCCCGTCCTCGTCTGCTGCTGGCTACAAGGTGCCGGAGAGGAATCCCGCATTCCGTATGCTCGGCCTCCCGAGTCTCCCGCGCAAACTCCCATCACGAAATTGGATCATCTTCTTCACTCTGACCGGCGCCCTCTCCGCCGCCATCATCTACGACAAACGCGAGAAAAAGCGTGCCACGGCACGGTGGGCCCGCGCCGTTGCCCCTCTGGCCAGCGAGCCGGTGCCGAACCCATCTCAGCTTCCCCGTAAGCTCACCATCATCTTATCCGCACCGCCAGGCGAAGGTGTCCGCGTAGCGCAGGACCATTTCCTGGAATACGTCAAGCCCGTGCTCGCCGCGTCGGGCCTCGACTGGGACTTCGTCCAAGGCCGTGCCCAGGGCGACGTCCGCGCCGCCGTAGCCGAACGGATCCGCCGCCGCCGCCGACTCGACGAGAAGCCAGACGAGCTGCTCGAGCCTACCGAGGAAGCCATCCGCGAGGAAGTGCGCAGGAGGAATCAGATCCCCGAGTACACCGGCGAGGCGGGTGACATTGTCATCGGCCGCAACACGTGGAAGGAGTACATTCGCGGCCTGCATGAGGGCTGGTTGGGTCCCCTCGATCTGCCACCACACCTGCAGCCACCACCGCCACCACCGCCACCATCGTCCGAAAACGAGGACAAAAAGAAAGAGGACGAGGAAAAGGAAAAGGAAAAGGAAAAGGAAAAGGAGAAGAAGCCCGAAAGGCCCCCTCAGCCGCTCCCCCATAACACCACTGACGAATACCCCGACTCCCCGCTGCCCCGTGCCATCCCGGGCCGCTTCGCCCCCTCGTCGCCCGTGCAGTTCCCCCACATTCTCGGCTTCCTCAACACCCCTACTCGCCTTGCCCGGTTCCTGAACCGCCGCGCCCTCGCCGACGACATTGGCCGCCAAGTAGCCTCCGCCTGTTTCGCCGCGAACCGCGAGTGGCGCGAGGAGGCCGAAGCCGAAGCCGCCGCCTCCAACGACCACCGACCTGCGCGTCGAGAGCAGGAACTCGCCCTGGAATGGGAGGAGAAGAACTGGATCAAGAGCGTGTGGAAGGCGGAAGCGGACGACGAGGACGACGACGAGGAGCACAAGAAGGCCGGCAAGCTGCCCATGGAGAAGGTGTGGACGAACCCGATGGTCCTGGATCCGCGCATCGCTTCGCGTATGCGGCGCTTCGAGATGCGTCCCGAGGACGAGCAGCGGGCCCGGGCTATTGTCGTCCCGGAGGAAGAGGTCGAAGGATGGATCAAGGGGAATCTCCGATCGCTGTATCGCTGGGGCGCTGAGGCTTGGGACGGAAAGCCCAAAGGCCCCAACGTTGGCAACATTGACGACGTGGTTGTTTGAGGACAACTTACTGCGTCGGCTTCTTCCCGGTCCGAACCGATGGATCTTCATCCCGCTGCACTCTTGTAGAACATTCATTTCTTTCCCCTTGCTAGATATGGTCTTCCATGACGATGGCACCCAAATTTTGTACTAGTAGTTACCGACGGTTTTCTGGGGGTGGGGGGTGAGACCCAATAACATAGACACGCTACCTTGCCTTGTTAGAACAGCAATTGGCTTTGCCCGGAGGGCGAAATACATGTACTCCTATTCCTTTTCGTCTTCTGTCAACTGTTTCGTGCATTAATACTTGGGTAAGCTTGGTATAGCAACTCGGTATTTACTGTCTGTCTCTTGAACGCAGAACAGAAAGTGTGAACCTCATCATGAACCCCCGACTCTCCTAGTCATCGTCAGAATCAGAACCGTACGCCACGAGTGCTAACCCGGGCTTTGATGTCGCCGATGCTGGAGGTTTGGGAGGACTTGTCCTGCTCGCAGACTGGCGGGGGCCCTTCCCATTCCTAAGACGACCATCATCAGAACCATTCTTGCCACCACTGTTCGCGCCCTTGCTCTTCCTGCCCGCCTCCGCGTCGTCCTCTCCGTTGCCTTTCTCCCCTCCGTCACCCCCTTTCCCACTCATGGTCGAATTCCCGCCCCCCTCCCCCTTCGTCGCCTCGGCGGTGCTGCTGGATTTCCTCTTCACAAAAGGCCCCCTACCACCCTCGCGCTTGTCGTGCCTCTTCCTCTTCCTCCCGACGTTCTTCCACTCATCCACATCGACCATGTCGACTCCACCTCCTCCTGCCCCTTCATCATCTCCTTGCGCTTCGCCCGCTTGCCCGGAGAGCTTCCGCTCCTCCAGTCTCTGTGCGGCCCGGAATGCCTCCAGTCCTTCCCTCGTCTCCCGCTTCACTCTCTCCTCTTCTTCCCTTCGACGCACCATGATATCGTCGAGGAAATCTACCTCGTCGTCATCCAGCGCACGGAACTGGTTCCTGAGCTTGTGTTGCTCTTCAAAGGCAGCTTGCTTGGCGGCTGGTGAATCGTGCATAAGAAACAGCGTCAGCTGAGCCACTTTCCGTCAAAAGCGGACAGTCTCTTCGTCCCTTGAATTGATTGCCCCCGTTTGCGGGAATTCACGGAGGAGAATGAAATAACCATGACGAGCACCGGGCGATAGTGGCAGGGAGGAGGAGAAGAGGTCGCGGTTCGCGTCAGGGGGAGGGGATATGTAGTTAAGAGGACGTGAAGGGAAAGAGAACACAAAAAAACAACACGAAATAAAAAGGAGTAAAAAAAAAACAGGGAAACGGGCTGAAGAAAGACAAACCTTTATTAGCCTGTAAAATATCATAAAGGGTCTTCTCCCCGCCCTCCTCCACAGCCTTCGCCCTCGCTTCGTCCCGCCTCCGTCTCTCGGCCTCAAGCTCCCGCTCAACAGCCTCCCATTCGGCCGAGCCCTTACCAGCGCCGCCGCCATGACCGCCGCGAGAGGGCAAGGCGGCCGCCTCTACGCCAGTCTCTGCCCCGGCTGCGCTCGACTGGGAGATATCCTCGCCTGTTTCGGCGTCAATGCGCCCGCCCGAGACGAAACGGGAGGCCATCGTGATTTTTGGCCTCCACCAACCACTTTAACGCGAACAACCGGCGCAAATGAGATGATGGAAGACGTAAATGTCGCACTGCAAAAAGGAGGTTTTATCCACGTTTAGGAAGACGAGCAGGACGAATTTTGTTGGAGATCGGAGCTGAAAATACTCAAATGAAACGAGTCCACTTATGTCGCCAGAATCGAACAGGGAAATTTCTGGATTCTCGTCGATGAGCTGGTTGAGATCTTGGTGTGTTGAAATCACAACGTATTCCAAGATATTAGCTCGGCCAGTAAACACTGGAAAATGGAACAGCCATCATACAACGTAAGGCTTTGATGTCGAGCAATTAAACGGTGGATTTCATTTGGCAACTAATTTTCCCAGCGAATCAGGACTCAAGAGACAGACAAGGCTGGAAAGTACCAGGTAGGCTTCAATGTGGCTTGTGCGCCACGACGTCGCAAGCTACCTTAAGGTACCTTATATTAAGAACCAGTCTGTCAACATCAAAGGCAATCACAAAACAATCTGGCCTCCAAAATCTGGAGGATGCTGCTTCATCAATAGCCGGTCTGGGAAGTCACCCAATTCACAAAGCAAAAGCCTCAAAACAGGTTCTCCTGATTATCCATGTCATCTCTGCACATATATGGAATGAATTTCTTTTGAATTTCGTGAGAACAGTCCTATCCAAGGGCATCTTGCCCACATCCTGGTCCAATGGTCCTCCTTTGGACAAGTCATGCTGGTTTTCGCAGACTTTGCCATGCCAGCCTTGACCGGTCCCATGACGTCCAACATGTCATTTCTGAGATCAGACCAAGCTCTCACGCTCAAACAAGGTGCCCAATAACATGGAACGTCATTCCATTATCACCCCTCTCTGAAGAGTCCAAAGGAACTCAAACACAGTTTTCACCTCCCACATGATCTACCGAGCCTTTGTGCCACGAGAAGAGAGGGGAAAAAGAAATCTAAAACTTTCCCTCGCGAAGGAAGGGGAAAATAGACAAAGAGGCGCCAACGCCCATAGACAGTCCTTGGGCAACCCATGTCCCAAGTGCTGTCAATCCACCAACTCGGGAAACCTTTGGCTGCTGCTTCTGGGGTATGTGGCGACGGATAAGAGAATAAAAAAAGCAAAAAAATCTTTTGAGACCCGCAGGAAACCAACCTCCCCTGCCATTGTTTTTGTTTTGCCCATATCGCGATGCGTTGCAGAAGAAAATGAAAAGGGGGGGAAAAAAGACGAAAAATCTTTCCCAGTGAAGATTGCCACCCCAATTCTCAGAAATGAGACCTCCCTAGTGGTCCACCCAGAAAAAAAAAAGGAAAAAGGAAAGAACAAAACCCCCACAAAATAAGCCGTTCCGACGGCGGGGGATTTCCTTCCCCGCGAGGCCGATGAGCAAAGGCCGGCGGAGCCATTTTTGTCGCAAGCCCTGATGCCACGTGCAAAACTTCCTAGCAGGAAACCGTTTTGCCACGACGTGGGAAGGAGCCAACTCGATCAGAAAGCCGCTCAACGGTAGAACGAAAACTGTCGGAGACAACGGGCGAATATGTACATATGGAACATAGAAAAGAGGGTCGACCGGTCTACCCAAGCGAGTACGGAATGAACCAACCGTGGACCGAGCGAAACGATGTTCTGTACCGAAACCCACAACGACTCCGTCCCCGACATTCGCATTCCTATTGATGCAAGACAGAGGAATGCGCGCCTGGGTGCGAGACAAGCCGTGATGGGAGTGGTGAAGCAACGTACGCTGCAATGCTGCGGTTGTCCAAGTGTCGTCCAAGAATGTCGCCATGTCCCAGCAAAAGAGTTGTCGATAGAATCGGCCGCACGAAGCTCAAAGCAAGGATAAAAAAAGTTGTCTATCGAGAACGCCAAGTCCAGGGTTCGCGAGGCTGACCGTAAAACGCCAAAAAACCCTGTGATCCGTATACCGAGAGAGAGAGAGAAAAAGGTGAAAATGCTGTCATTAGGGGCATCTGCCACTGAATCATGAGACGCCATATCTAATGGCTGTGATGGCCAGCTATCCCGCAGCACGAGCAAGAGGCCCGCTGGAGGAGGCTGCAAGCGCCAAAGGCAAGATGCGCCGCATCAGTGCGGATGCCCGAGATCGTAATGCTGTCTGGAACGACCAGCTAGGAAAGGTTCCATGGGTTGCAGGCCGGTGGAGCCTGCCATGTCGGACGTCGGTGTCCGTCGTTTGGGTATCTGAAGAATGCTAACCGTATCATACGTTTTCCGAAAAGTAGAAAGGAGAAGGAAAAGAAAAGCGCGTGCCGTACTGGACGCGTGGTGAACAAGGATGAACTTTTTCGGCCGAAAACACCAATATGAATGCGGAGGAGCGTCATGTAGTTGCTCGCAAGCCGGGGGCCTGCGTCAAGTACTGACATCCTAGCCCACAACGGTCTGCCCAAAGTAGCCCTGGTGCTTGACGGGGTCGATGATGCAGCTGGCGCAGCTACACTCGGCAATACCATGCTCCCACATGGTCTGGCCATAGCCGTAAGTCTGGCCATACGCTCCGTGGCGATGGGCGAAGTAGTTCGACGGCACGGACGGCTGGAACCGACTATTCCACTGGCCATTGACGGCTGCAGAGGAGAACCACTCGTTGTAGCGGGCGTTGACCGAAGAGGCCGAGCTGAGGTACTCGGGTGTGCCATACCCCGAGTCAGGCGGTGTGAGAGGTGCACTATGCCAGGCCATCCCCGGGCCAGAAGCTGGCCAGTCGATGGCAGGCACACGGTATGCTTGCGAGTGGGCCGCGTCGCCGCGCTTGATGGATTGATAGCGTTCGTACTCGGCAGCCTGCTGCTGCATCCAGGAGCCGTAAGGTAGACGGCCTCCATAACGAGCAACATCCGTGTCGATGGCAGGCACGATAGACGTCTGTCTCTCACGCGCCGCGCGAGCAAGGGTCTGCTCCTTCAGCACGCACCACTCCTCCCAGCTCTTGATCCAGGCAGTGTAGTCTCTGCTGTAATCGAGGTTAACGAACAGGCTGAAACTGCACTCCTGTAGCCACTCCCTCTCCAGAAGGTTGAGCTCCGTGACGGCGATGCCGCTCACTTCAGCCCAGGACTTGTTCTGAAACGTGTTGTCGTCAAGGAACTTGCTAGCCAAGATGAGCGCAGTGGTAAGCATACGCCAAATATCGCCATCGTTGACCCGAAAGACGTTCTTCTGTTTCTGAGTATTCACTCGCTTGGCGAGGTAGTTCATGCCGAGAAGAATGGTGCTCTTGGGCAGACGAGTGGATGAAAGAATGCCCGTGACGAATTTTCGGAATGACGAAGAGGCGACCGAGTTGGGAACGGCAACACTCGAGGCCATGTCGGCAACGAACTCGGCCATGTGCTCAACCTCATAGTCGAGGACGGCGCAAACTCCTCCGGTGACCATGATGATGGTAGAGGCCGGAACGGACGAAGATCAAGCAAAGATCCCCGTCGCGGAGAGAATATTTCACTCGAGGCGCTTGAGAGAACACCCGACAGAAGGTGACCGAAAAAATGGGACACAGCAACCTGCTGGCGGTACTTCCAAGGCCTAAGAGTGGTAGAGAAAGTCGCGTCGACGGACGGGAGTTAGAAAGACCAAACTCTCTTAACGTTGATGATCCATAGAAGTGATGCTTTGGCGTGGATTATGACAGGGGGAGAGGAAATGCACGGTCGGCGTGGAGAATATGTCGGTAGAAGCAGCGGGAGCTCCAAATTAATTCCAGGCGCCGGTGTCGAGGAACTAGATGGGAAGTATCTAAAAACGAAATGCAGCGACTCGTGATGCTGAAACTAGCAAGAAAGAGATGACTTTTTTTTTGGAGGACACGTCGTAGTAAGGAATCGAAAGAAGTCGAAAATAGACGTCAAAAAGGAATGTATGGGCCTGAGCGCTGCTGTGTTCTATGGCAAGTCAGCGGTGTTTCCAAAAAATCGATGAACGGAAACAAGAAGAAGCAGACGCGTCGTAGATGATGCTGCTCGTTGCTGCCACAAGGACAACACTCTAGTCCTAAAGGTACGGGACAGTTCCACTCAGTCGAGGGCAAAGATGGACAGAAACGTATAATCGAAGTGCAATTAGACGTGCCACACTTCCCGCCGTTCAATAGTTCCCTATTGTTGCGGCAACTTCGGTTTGTGATTGGCGCAACGAGACCGATTCACTCATGGACAGACAGGCCATCTCGCCGGGTTTTGCAAGACCGAGGCTGGCGATTTGCCGCGAAACGGCCGTCATCGAAAATGGCGGAGAAGAAAGCGTGAAGGTCTGGTCGTTTGAAAGTGTGGTCGGAGGAAACAAATATGTGATAATCGAACCCCAAAATAGGCAGGCATCGAAGAGAGTGGGCGAAGAAGGGAAGAAAAGTAAACAAGAACAGAGCGAAAAAGAAAGACAGCAATAAAAAAAATTAACAAACGTACCTTGTCGAGGAGATGGCTGCTGATCATAAAAGAGTAGCCATCAACACACGGCGGATAAGCTGGCAATCGTAGAGGCGGAAAAGGGAGTGCAGCAACTTCGACGTAAGGTGCGAAGCTACAAAACCGAAAGACAAGACGAAGCGTTCGTTCGTGTGGCGTGTGTTGAACGTTTACCCAAGCCAGAACAGAGCCTGAGCTTTTTGAACCGGGTTTGACGCGCTTGTTTTGGCTGAACCCTTTGACCCCCTTCGGCACAGGAAAGTTTGCAAGACCCAGGAATCCTAACAGTCGTCGACTCGAGAGAAAATCGAGGAGAGTCGACAGGATTGTTGTCGCTCAACGGCGGACTCGGTGATTGCAAGGATAATGCGGGAGGAGAGGGATGGGGAAGGGGGGAGGCAGAGGGGAGCGGAGGAAAGAAGAGAATATTATTAGGAGGGGGGAGAGGATGGGAAAAGGGTGGGATAATTTACAGTCAGAATGGGGATGCGCAAGAGGAGATGATGCACAAATGAGCGGGTCGCTCGGGGGGCGGAATTGGAGATGGTGGGAAGAATCGATGCCACAGTGCAGTGCCACCTATTACTGCGTAGTGACCAGCCGCAGTCGAGTGGGTTCAATGTCGGCGGTAGGGAGTTCGGGCCAGGGGGTGTCCAGCGTTCAACATTCAGCCACTGTGAGGGCACGAACGAGCAAGGCAAGTAGGCAAGTGGTATGGAAGGCAGAAAAGTTCTGTTTAACTTGTGACCGCTGTGCCCAGTCAACGCCTCGGAGGTGGGGCATAAGTGGGCTAAAGGGGCGAGACCAAAACGGAGCCCCTCTGCTTGAAGGGAGACGACTCGACAGCGTCACAACTAGCACCCACCCCCACTCCTTACTCCATTCGAGAGAACAGAAGGTACTTTACTATAAGGATCACATATGTATCTCCTTATCTTAAATGGGAGTTTGGCTTGCCTGCATATGTTAAGCGCTACAGAAAAGTATTCCATGCTAAAGTATACATATTATTACGTCGTCTCTTGCCGGCTCTTCTTGTCTTGTTTATTACCCACCTGGTATTCGCTCGCTTTTACCGCCCCTTCTCTATCCGCGTTACTCCCTTTGAGTACCCGATTTCTCCGTACCCTACCTGCGGCGACGGCCAGCACACCAAGCTGCCTACAACATACCTATGTACGGAGTACCTTACGCACACGAGGCGTCGTACACGATACGGTCATATTATCAGATGTGTAGTCCCACCTCCTTGGGCTTGACTCAACAATCCTCACGATTACCTACCTCGTAGTGTTACTGATGTGCCTACTCAGACTGGTATTCACATTACGCACGTTCACGGTACCGTTCATGCCGCCTGCCTTGTGAGTAGGGCACGAGTATCTACGACGAGACTCGTCAGGCTCGAGTTTCTTGAGCAGGCTTGTTTACATGTACCTGGTACAAATACATGGGGAGAAAGAACGAAAAAAAGAAAGAAAGGGTGAATTGTCGGCATGCAGGCTCCTGCCGGGAATGTACTCCGTAGCTGGTCGTCTGTTGAAACGTAAATCGTATGTGCCATAATCACTACGTAATATGTAGTGGTACCTTCTGGTCTCCTTTTTTCTTCTTTTTTTTGTAACGTCTTCTGCTTAATAATGTTCCTGTCTCGTTCTGTCCTTAACACGAGAAATCTCCCAGTGGATCATAAGCACGCAGACGCAGACCAATCCGATGTAAGGGAATGCAGCCCTGGGGCTTTTAGGGAACATGGCGGAGGCCGAGGGTGTGCCTTTCCAGGGAAGGTCGTGACGCTAGGACCCTGGGAAATCAATTACGAGAGTACGAAGTACGAAACGCCTCGTACGGGATACCGGTACATGTACTCCATAGGTACATAATCCCCGTCAATCCGAATACAGGAGTTCAGCACTTCGTTGGTACTGAGGTAATTACCTTAGACAGACTGCGAAGTAATCAATACTAACTAGGCAACGACGGATGAATCTTGCGTGGCGAGCTACTAAGGTAGGTACGCTTCCTACAAAGGCGTCTGAATATTTCGCTGTCCTGCTGACATGACTTGCAACTTATTCTTCCAACATCAAACATTACTCGAAATTGCCGACGCCGCTTCATCCGTTCTGATGAGAGGCACTAATAACACAACCCAAAATTTAACTTCGTAGATGTACATAACCAGATTTCGAGTTCGATAGACCTCGCAACCGTCCGCAGGCAACAGACATTTCACCAACCGCCCACTGGGTCATCTGCCCGCCACATTCGCTGGAATGAGTTGGGAAGCAACGTCAAGAAACGACCTCGCATGGCGCGTCAACTGGTCGTGACCGACCCAAGATTAAGACGCTTCACATGGTGAAAATAATTTTGATACGATGTACTCCCCCCTGCTCCCTCGCCCTTCCCTTCCAGACGGGGTCCAGGGTCCTTACGTTGTATTACTTCGTTAGCACGCATCGGCTTCCAAATGAAAACCAGTCCGGCGCGCCCGCCCCCCGCCTGCCTCTTCGAGGAGCCCCCCAGCCCTAACCGTAAAGACAGGCTGTGTAAATACGGAGTTTTACGGTGGAAGTACCTGAATCGTTAGTAAGTATATTGGGAAGAACCACCACACATCCCAGGAGACCGTGTCTGCACCTAAGGCGGGAAGGTCGTGTCGACGCGAAGGGCTACCATCCTACAACTCGACACTTCACTTGTCGAAATCTCGAGAGACGCCTACGTCGGAAGTAGCAAAATGCCCTCGGTGTAAGGCCCCACACCGCACCTGCAGAATAAAACGCGAACACGCTAGACCAGAAGACCAAACATAATTACCTCGTGCCGGGACGATGTATTCATATCCGTAGACCCAAAATCTCGTACTTATGGGTATCGTAGTGATCCTTTGGATGTGTCCTATACCTTCGCCCTTTCTTTCGTCGAAACTGTGCTATAACAGGTAATTGCCACATACAACGTAGAAGCTTCTACGAATACACCAGGTTGCGTTACTTTGCATGTCTTGGCCCCACAATGAGGATGATAATCAGAATGACGAGGACTCGTTGTTGCCCTCGTGTCTGTGTCATTCAAGTGACGTCGATGCAGAATACTCAAAATCACTCATGATACTAGCGTACTTCGTATACGAATAGTTCAAATCGGAGAAAAATCTCTTATTAACAGACTTCGCCAAGGTCGTCTGGTGATTGTCTTGGTGCGTGGGGTACCTATGACCATAAGCACAATAATTCCCTACGTTGCACCGTAGTCGAAAGAATCTAGGAGATGGCTACAAGGTGGAACGCTGGCAGAAACCCAAGCCGATGGGTAGGTAGGTAGACAGCTCCATGGGCTTTTCTTCCCTACCAAGCCGAGCGCTGCATCTTACATGCCAAGTCGAGTCTTTCTTCACAAGTGCTTTTCATTCTTCCCAACCCAACGGAGCGGATAAAACCTCAACATTGACTGACATTGGAGTTCAAAAGGTGCCCACCGTACTAAGCACGGAGTACAGCTTCATAGGTAGCTAACCAATCAACGCTTCCTCATATCGAGACATGGTACGCTAGAATGATAATTCGCGAAGCTCTGACCATGTCCTTCTCCAAGCACCCGAACTTGGAATGTGGGGCTTCCAATATCTCAACAAGATAAGTGGAGCCAGTCGTTTTACGACGAAAGCCAAGTGCACTAGGTACGAAATAATTAGCGTCCAAGTCTTCTTCGGATACACTGGAAGCTCGCATCTTGAATAGTAGCCTCGGTGACGGCTAAGATAGTGGCATTTATTAAACACTGGATGCGGAAGGTTGTCAACAGCAGTATCATGAAGACGGTAGGCAGAGGCTCCAAGACGCCCGTCCCTTTGGTTCGATGCAGTACGTTGTATACAACGGTAGAGGCGAGATGGCTGCCTAGGGGGAGAGCGCTTGGTGTTTTTCGCGCCGTTTTCACTCCGCAAAAGCATTGGCCCCGGCAAAGCTATGAATAGATTAGATTCTTCGTCTCGTGACCTTGAAATTTGGGAGCCGAGAAACGGTGATTCGGGAGAAGAGTTCGGTCCTATGTATGTTACCCGGATACCATGCCAAGCTTTCCCATGGCAAAAAAAGGGGAAAAGGGGGGGGGGGGTGGGGGGAGGGAAAGAATCTGTGCATTTCTGCACGCACCATGGAAGGTTAAGACGTGGATCAAGCCCAATCAAAGAACGGCCTGACCCACAAGGGTCCAAGTCTACCGGGAATGAGCGCGGTTATGTAGGAAACGGAAACCATAGGTACGTACGTTGTTACGTACCTTACTCGGTAGTCCGGAAATACAAATCTATCCGTATAATAAGGTAGTATATGACGATTGGTCTTCTGATGGCTGGCTATTATTCAATGGCCGTTCTTAGTTGTGTTGTTGGTGCTTCCTAGAGACGGATGGTTGTAACCGCCGCTCAGGAACACCCGAGAACACGATGGCCAAACCCACTCATGCTGCATGTGTTGAAATATCCCTCACCGCAACACTAGCACACAATGGATCTGACGGGTGGGCCGATGAGGGGCGTCGTCGACTTGACAGCCCAACCCGATGGTATCGTTTGGAAGCAAAGAATGCCTCCTGGTCGTTGAAAACCGGTCTGTCGTGGCGAAATTGGATGCTTTCTACTTGGAACGGGATTAAACTGTCTAGGAGAAGGGGACGAATGAAGGGGTTCGGGCAAATCCCGGCAATATGTACTTCAATTACATAGGTAGGTACAGTACATACAACGTAGGAACTCGTAGCAACTGGGCAAAGTTGGCGCAGAGCTAGGTACGGAGTACATTGTCCAGTTACGGACAGTTGACCACTTACGGTGCAGGTATTTGGGGGGGCTCCCTCGATTCCCAATCTACCCCGTAATTACACTCCAATCAATCGGGCCAAATTCACATCCACACATTGTCTACAGTGTCCTCAATGGGCACCTCCACGATTGAGATGCACTCCCTCTTGCTGAATCGCAGTTTTGCGTAAATTATTACGCAGTACTTTATGATGTGTGGTGTCCCATCATCTGACATCTGTGGCTTTGACCTCAAGTTTCCAGGTTTGTCACATAATTACATACAGCGCCATCTCTGTAGACGTGGGCCATCATTCGTCACGCAAAACAACCAGATTATCGATCTCAAGGGTGGACATATTTAGTCTTAGTGCTTTTTATTTATTACGGGGTTACGGGATCTTCGAACAACTAATTACGGAGCAGTACCTTCACGCAGCGTGTTCCCAGACGAGCCACGTACAACGAACCTACTCCGTACGTTCAGATGCACCCGAAACAGGGACGTGGCGGCAAACCGCTCTGCAGCCTGCTAAATTGTGACCTCTCCTATTGGGAGGGGGATGGATGTCTACTGCGGTGCACGCGCAGCGCCGAGACGCTCACCTGAAGGGAAATCGTCCTACCTGGTGCCTCGTAAATGCCTCTCCGGGGAAACCAGAGTGACGCGGGGGGGGGGGATCACTTTAGCCACTTGAAGTCGGTCAAATAGTTCAACCAGAGGGTGACACTTGTAGTTTGCATTGCATACGAGTCTTTTGGGATTCCCAAGTTCTTTCTTCTTTCATCTGGACGAGATCTCGAAGGGGTACCTGGTACCATCTCATTCCAAGAACACGAACACGGAATTATCCAATATATTTCGTACATCCCGCAGTCCGTAACTATCATCATTTCGGTTCCCTTCCGTGTTCCTAGGACGGCCCGCGGAGCTTCACCTCCCTCATCTCATGATCTTGCTCCGAGATGCGGATTCAAAAACGGGAAGAACAATTTTGGTTTCCTACTCTTAGTGGTTATCTCCTTCTCGCAAACAACCAACCCCCTCCCTTTCCTCGCCCCATCTTCTTTCTCCCCATTCAACCCCCCGCCTCTCAATGCATGCATGCATGGACTCAGTACGGAGTATACGTGTACAGTCATGATCTGAGTTCCAGATGACTGTGATTCTCCGCATGCAAAGTGATGTAAACGCCTTAGTAAGCCAAGGTTGCGGAGAGACGATGCAAGCCACAATCAGCAATTCCCTGAAGCAAAAATCCGACGACAGCCGACCAATTTAAATTACCTATATTCCGACGTGGCGCTTTGCCGTGTCGTGTCTCCCTACGAGTCTTACTCCTCGTCACGGCCGATGTTCTTACGAACGCTGGTACCGGCGACAATAAGAAAAAGAAAATAGAAGGTCAGATGAACAGAAAATCCGACCGGACAACCAACCGCTCGCTACCTTATTAGCTACCTCCCCTCCATGAAACGAACGGCGAAGAAAAATATCTCGATTATGCCTCACAACCAACAGCCATCCCCTCCGTACTCCGTAATTACCCCTCCTGTAAGCCTGCACATAAGGGTGAGGTAGTTAATGTACCTTGAGCTGTAAAGTAAAAGCACATGTGATCGTCCTCTGATGCCCAATCTCACACCTTATTCCTGTCCTCCCACTGCGGCGCCGTCACCGCCAATTCACTCAACTATCGCGTGAACTGAAAAAAATAATCCCTCCCTCTCGTGCGTAGTCGGCGAACCCCTCCACCTCCCGATGGAACACCGTGACGAACCAAAGTAATACCTATACCTTGTTTCCCCCCCCACCAAACGCCAAGCCCAACGTTTTCCCCAAGGGCAAGCAAGCAAAACGCCGTACCTATTTTTCTGCACGCCATTTCCTTCATAGCATCTACGCAGTGGGGAAGAAAGAAAGAAAAGAAAGAAGAAAAGCAAAAAGAAAAAGAAGAAGAAGAAAAGAAGCTCGTTGGAGAGCGGAATCTGCGCCACGAACGATCATATACGCAAGTTATCCCGTCGTCCCTACCGGAACGGGACAATAGCGCGGTCAATAATCGGGACGCCTCGTGAACACACGTCTGCCTCGTTTCCCCAACGAGACTTCCACTCGTTCTCCTTGGCCAGCGTTTCGTCAAAGGCCTCGCGGCACTCGGGCGGGAGCAGGTCCTTGATCTCGTCCGAGACGGCCCCCAGACCGTGGAACGGCTCGAGGAAGTCCGGCGCGTGGCCGCCGTTGCGGGTGTGCACAAGCGGCGAAACCCCGGGGGGTGCCGGCTCGTAGTAAACGTCGAGGATCTGCACCTTGGACGAGAGCTTGGGATCTACCTTGGGGAACGTAGACGAGGGGGGCAGTTTTTGCGCTTCCTCGGGCGTGAGTTCCTCTATGCGCGTGTGCGTAGGCTGCATGATGGCTGGTAATTGCATCGTATTTGTGTGGATGTCGTAGACGCCCTTCTCGTTGTTCAGTCTGCGAATGGCGTTGATGGCGCTGTTAAAGTTGCTATTTTCGCTTCGTTAGGTACTGATCATGCCGTTCCCGCGCTCCTTCTTCGCCTTTTGTCTTTCTGTTCGACGCAACCTCACAAAAAAAGAAAAGAAAAAAAAAGGGGCAGACTGGGTTCAGGTTCTTCTTCTGGACATACCTCGCCTCCCGCGCATGCTCAAGCATCCAGTTGACATTCGTGACGTTCACTTTGCGCTTCTTAACCTCAATCTTGCCGGAAAAGGAATCGGGGACCGCAGGAACCTGTTGGTGGTACACAGCGCTGGCGCCGTGCCAGGCCACGTACTGGTTCTTGTTGTAGGGTTCGTTCGGGTTCAACACGTCGGCGGGATCCGCGAGCTCGCCCTCGACCGCGCCCTCGGCCCGGGCGTCGGCGACGCGGTAGTCGTCGACGATGCGGCGCCCGCCGACGATGATGCGGGCGCCGAACTCGCGAAACACGGACCGGGCCGTGACGATCCCTATAGACCGGCCCTTGTACGAGTGCGGGATGATGTCCCGCTCGATCATGTCGCGCTTCTCGTCGTCGCCCACGATGATCTTGTGCAACTTGAGGTGCTTGGTGAAGAAGAGGTACGAGTCGCGGAACCCGACGCAGCGGGCGGGCTCCGTGGAGAGCATGTACAGCCGCTCGCCGCGGCCCAGGACCGTGAACGTGCGGCAGCGGTAGTCGCGGCCGTCCTGGAGATGACCGTCCTTGTCCACCTTGGTCTCGCCCTCCGGGTCTTCGGGGAGGACGCACTCGTCGTTGGCAATGTCCACCTCGGTGCCCTCCTTGTCGATAGCCTGACGCAGCTTGAGCGGCGTGTGGCCGGGGCCGGGCTTGCGGCCACCGCGGCCTCGCCAGCCTCCGCGGCCTCGGCGGCGCGGCGTATCGGCTTCGGATGCGGGTACCGTGATCATATTGTCCCAGTCGGGCGGGCGGTTTTTGGGCGGTCGTCCCAGCCGCTTGCGACGGATCACGGGGACGGGAGGCGGCGTGGGCTCCTTCACGGATGGTTCTGTGTCGAGTTCTGGCTCGGCGTTGTCATCTCCGTCCTTGTCGCCGCCCTCTTCGCCTTCGCCTTCGTTTTCACCCTCACCCTCACCCTCACCCTCACCCTCACCTTCACCTTCAGCTTCAGCTCCGGCTTCCTCATTGGCATCCACATCACCGTCGGATTCTTCATGTTTGTGTTCGTCATCAGGGTCGGGTTTTGTGTCCACTTCAGAACTCGGTACGTCTGGCATGGGCTCATCTTCGTCGAGATTGCGAGGCGTGCTCTCTGTATTTCGTTTGTAAGTCAAAGGCATGTGCATATGTGGGAAAGTTCAAGCTCAAGCAAGGCAAGGAAGGTCAAACTGTAGACAACTTACGTAGAGCAGCCGATGCGCGTTTGGCAGCTGCACGCCCTGAACGACGCCCCATGCTCCTCCTTTTTGCAGGCCCTGGTCCCTATGAAGGAAGTGAATAGGGGGTGTTGTTTTGTCAAGAGCAAAGAGAGTTGGAAATTCGATGGTCCCAGGCGAATTCGAATGGGCATCAACGTGCAGTAATTCCTATATGGAAACGGACTCGTGATGGCACCTGGTCGCGATTCACGGTTGCCAGTTATTAATCAGGGATCATCAAATGTCAATCCGCTCCCGTTATTGGGTTTACGTAGACAGTTTTATGGGCCTCACGTGACCATTCGATGACCTCCGCATCAACCTCGAGGTACCCGACTCCTCGATGTGGACTTGCCAGCAAAAGAGAACTGGTTGACGAGCTATGGGGTTTGTCTGAATTTTGTTGTGTCTACAAGTGGGATCTTTCTAGTTGCTACCCAGGAGGAGAAGCATTTTCAATTCATATGAAGGTGCTCGCTGGCTAATGGACTGGAGGCCAGGTTGGATTTGTATATCACAGAAGACATCGATACCGAACATTCAACACATTCCAAATGATTTTTTTAAAGAAAAAGAACGAAAGAAAAAAAGCCTCCCTATCATTGTCATCGCATGCAAGCAGCAACACCCAACTTAGATCCTAAATGATGCGGTCCCAGAGCCAACACCTTTTTATATATATAAAAGCCACTCTGGTAAGCAGCACGCATTGTCGCTTAGACAAAGGTAACCGCTACCGGCAAGGGAGCCATCATCAGGGAGGATAAAGAATGCTTTCTCTAGACCTAACATCGCCATAAATAGACTCCTCCCAGTGAGGTTGGTCTATACCTAGCCCGCTGCCCAGCTGTCCGGGGCAAAACCTGCAACGTGACCGAAGCCGCATCTCCTCTTCCCGCGGGTCTGAAGACCGAAAATCAAAATAAAAACGGAATTAATGCTCTCATCTTCCAGGAGCAGACGGCAGTAGGACCATCGAAAGACCGCCAATCCCTCGTGCATCTGCGGTCTCCCCTCCCGATCCAATCTGGACCTGTACTGGGCAAAGTTTGCCCTACGACCAATGCAAAATTGTAAACACGTTTCCCCAAAAGACACTTTCCAGTGTCGTGGTTCCCTGATGACAGACAGAAAAACCATCTCGAAAGCACAAGTTTCCTCATGCTGTGGGAACAGCCGTAGCCTCGAAAGGTATATAGTCCGAGACAAACAGCCTCGCCTCAGGCTGTTCCTTCTGGTCCATTTGCTCCGTGTGCCCAGTGTATTCAATTTGCTCGGTTCGCTTCGCCAGCTTCTTGGGAAGATCTGAGGCTTCTTTTGCTTCGTTCCCGTCCTGCTTGGCAACGCCCTGTCCTGCAACAACAACAACAACAACAGCCGTGGGCGGCGGCATCGGAACGGGGACAGCTTGTCCCTGCAAACGGACAGGACCGGCGGACTTCTAGTTCGCTGGAAGACCATCGATCGCTGTCTGGGTAGCGCCCCATTCCTTCTCAATCAGCCGCTCTCGGGCGTGATACAGAAACTTGTACGCCGTCTTGATAGTGCCGTCACTGACACCAGCAACACCAGCAATGTCCTTCGACGTCTTGGGCTCGCCCATCAGATTCGACGCCATGTAGATGCAGGCGGCCGCCACCGAAAGCGGAGAGCGACCAGCCAACTCGGACACGCTGGTCGTCTTCCGGGCCAGAGCGCGAGAAATGTTCTCAATCTTCTGCGAGTTGCGGAAGGCGAGTTGTGACGTGAAGCGGGTACACAGGTCTTCCGCGTTGGTGGACGTCGACGACTTGTACCCGCTGAGGTCTTGGATGACGTTACCGCCGGGGTTCTGCTCCTTCACCTTCTGAAGGAACGCCTCGAGCTGTTTGAAGACGCGGCCGATTTCCTTCTTGCTGACGTTGGTGACCTGAAAGATCTCGCGGAACGTACGACCTACACCCGCCTGGCGGCAGGCGATGAAGATGCACCCCGCAATCAGGACGTCCTGAGGCTTTCCTTTCATGAAGCCGTTGTCATGGCACAGCTTGAAGATGTGCTTCGCGCCGTCGGCCACGTTCTTTCCCAAATTGATACTGTCGCAGAAGGCGCTGATGTCCCGGAACGCTTGGCTGATGGCCTTGGTGTTCTTGTCGGTTTGCGACTTGTTCTGGATCCGCGCAAGGTTCTTGTGGTCTCTTCCCTCGGAGAACGCGATGCTCGTCTCGAGCTGGGCACCGTCCAGCAGGGGATTCCCGGCGTCACCGACACGAGAAGGGTCGTCGTTGCCTTGGTCGTCATTAGCGAAGGTGCGCCACTCAGAGCGAGTATCGATGATGCGTTCGCCGACGACGAGACCGCACGAGCCGCAAACCATGTCACCGGAGGAAAACTCCTCCACGAGGTTGGGGGGCTGTTCGCGGCAGTCGGGACATTCGACGATTACGTTGAGGTCTTGCTTGAAGTCGGGCAGTGGATTGCCGCGGTCATCTAGAACCGGTCCTCCATTCGGTGGCAACATCTTCGGCTTGTAGGGTTTCGCCGTGTAGATGCTGTTGTCTGGATCAAACACCTTCCTACGGCGTTTGGCTTCCTTCCTCCTTCGGCGGAGCTCCTCTCGCTTGTTGACAACTGCCCTAAATACTTTAGAATTCCTACTAGGGGAGACAGATCGTTCCCAGATGTTCTTGGTGGAAAGTCGGACAAAGAGCGGCGAATGCACCTTGGCGGCTGTTTCTTTGACCGGCCCTCGAGGGCCAGGTTGGTCACGACGAAAAAGACGGGAATGCAAGGGTTATCGAGACTGTATGCAACCGGCGGTTCGCTGCTGGCGTGTGACTAGTATGAGTAAAGAGATCCGAAGCTGGAGATAGCTTTGCGCCCCTGCGCCGTCGGCAGTGACAGCGGCACCCTGCTGGATCCCTATGGCAAGTAACCGTGAGTAAACATTTCCCGACCTTCGACAGGCAGTCTCTCTCTCACCAAATCACCAGGAATTGATGGAAATCGAGTCCAAGTCGATGGCCAAGGAAAAAGAAAGAGAAAAAAGGGAAGGTGATGGGTTGTGAGAAAGCGTGTCGTTATTGCAATCCAACCATCCAAGCGACCGATTTCTGAACCAGTGAAGGCGTCTGAAGAAAGCTTGCACAAGTCCTCAGATCAGCGAGATCGTCGTCGGTTTGAAGGTGTCTTAAAAGCCACCTAAAAACGGAAGAGTTGAGCGATTGCGATATTCAGGCGTCAGGTTGGAAAGTGAGAGAAATCTTACGATGGATGCCTGCCCCGTGCCTGCGTGGATAAGGTGCTCCGGTAGATCGTATTCCGTACTCGGTCGAGAAATTATTACTAAACCTCGACTTAGGTGGCAAAGTTTGTACTTCGCAAGAAATACCTAGCTTCCGCCATATTGGGAAAGTCCGAAATCACGTGAGTGTGATATCAATTGAGATATTACCTAATCCGGGTCGCTGGAACGCTTTTTCACAGATCATCAGACAACTCTGCAAGCCGACACAATGTTCTCACCAGTCTAAATATGGACATGGAAATTTCATTTTTATTTCCTCGATAGGCCTACTTCATCCTGTACTGAGTATTGTTTGGGGGTATCATGGTTGAAAAGTAAAATGACAAAAGAGACGGGGAAAAAAAAGGGTTACAAAGGGGGAGACAGACCTTTTTGCAGTGAGAAAACACATGCCCCAAAACACCACGCCAAAGTCGGTTTACCTCCGTAAAGGCAAATACTATCCTAAAAATCCCAAACGCCCGCTGTAATGCAAATGGACAAAAGAAAAGTGAACTAATAGAGAAATGTACGAGGCGGGCTCGTAGCTCTTGGTTTGCCTTGGTAATGTTTTACCAGTTGCCCCCATGTGTAGGTTGGGGAAATATTGAGTAGTTGTTGTATGTGGAAGCGGAAGAGGATGCTCCATGGTATGGCCGGCCAGCGGAGTTAGGATGCGGCGGCATAGTCGGATACAGGGCGGTGGGAGGTGTAGAAGCGGCAGTGAAAGGCCAGGGCGCAGGCTGAGGGATGTCGGAAGGGTCGAGGGGAGAAGGGGGAGGCATGGGAATCTTGATCTCGGTGCCCGGATGTGGCTCCTTGTATTCGGCCTCGTCGAAGACGCCAAAGTTGGTTCTCAGCGTGGGCGGCCAGGAGCCATCGCCGGGGCGTTGGCCGTCAAGGCTGGTATGGTAGCGGACGGAAGCAGAGCTCTGGCTCGCGGAGCGCGACGAGCGGCCCCCTAGGGATTTGCGCAGCATGGAGCTCTGCTGGAGATAGTCGATGTGGTCGTCGTCGTCCAGGGGTCCCGACTTGGAGGCTTTTCTCCTTCGGAGGAACTCCCGTCGAGTGAGGTGGGGTTCTTGTCTGCGCTCTTCGCGAAACTCGCGTTCGGCTTTGATGCCGAAGAATAGGCCTACGCCGACTGATACGGCGGCGAGGGCGCCCAGGACGGCACAGGGGACCAGCACGAGAACGGAATCCTGGCTTTGCGAGGACTCTTCGATGTCTCGTGGGCTCATGTCGTGTCCCATAAAATGGTGTGGTTGGCGTGCGAGTAGTGTTGGAGACATGATGTTACAGCCGGGATCGGTGATGAAGAGGAGATATAGTGGCGGATGATGTCGAAGATTTTTGATACAAGGGAAACCGTGCGACGATAATCAGCAGATGACGACTAGACGACGGGAGAGAGAGGAGATTGATATATTCTAGACGATCATGTGCAGGATGACCCAAAAAGTCTCCTCGGTGTGTTCTGGACATTTAATATCAACAAACGACCGTCCCGGTAGACTGAAGGCTGCCCTCCATTTCGAGTCGGAATGCAGGACTAACTAAGCCCGGTGGAGACCTACCCCGGATGTTTCTGGAAATGAAGTGACCACAGACGTGAGCCCTACAGGTTAGGTACGATGCTATTCTTAGGGAGGAGGTGGAGAGCGAAAGATGACAGTCCGGACCAGGGCTGACCCGGGACCAGCTCCGTCCATCGGCCGGCACCTGAAAGTATGATCCATGTTTGTCTGCCTCATTGCATAAAGTGTCACACAAAGTAAGGTCTGGGAAGTTTTCGGAACTAGAAGTTTACGGTATCGGAAAACAGAGGAATAGGTAGGAATGAATGCTTGCCTAGGGAGAGCAGGGAAGGTCACCCAAGGACAAGGAAGAAAAAAGGAGGGTCCGAAGACGGACCAGTCATCAAGCCAGGGTCAATAGCCGGGACCACAGGGCTACTGCAAGGAGACGACATATGCGTAGGGCAGCATCGTGTGTATCCGTAATTTCAAGCTGCAACAGAAGGACAGGAGCTCTTCAGTTCAACCAGAGTGACATATGCAGGGAATGAAGGTGGTAGGATCCGGCATATGTTCATGCTCCATGATGCCGTTTTCGCTACCTGGGGGACAAAGAGACGAATCAGCAAGCGCATACTCTCGACGGGAAGAAGACCGAACAGAATGCTACCCCAAACTGACATCAAAGCAAACCAAAAACAGTTGAAACGAGTGCCAAGGATCGACAAGCCTACCTGCATTCGGGTGTGCAAGCCGACGACTGTTCTCCCTTACCCCCTTGCTTCCTCCGATGGTTCCCAAGGCGGGTGCCATGAAGCTACGGGGAAGCACTTATCCTATGACATCGCTCTGCCATACTGGCACACATACACCCACACCCACACACACACATGACCTTCAACGTACTCACTTGGAATTCCTTAAACTTGGTTGATTGCCCTTTGATTGTTCCCGAGATCTGAAACTGTCTGCCACCTGATTATGGCTGGTAACCCCAGATTGGCAACAGAAGTCGGGCCACGTCAAAAGCTGGAGACTGCGCTATGCGTTTTGTCTCTCTATGCCGATATGAGACGGACAAAGAAGGACAGCGCGGGGCCTATCGCACGCCAATTCAGGAATAGCAGGGCTGGGGTTCTCGGTCAAGTCAAGGTGGTCCTTACCACGGGCCATGTGCACGGTCTCACGGCTTTGCTGCGACTATCCTCAAGTGGCAGGGAAAATAAATCCAGTCGATGCGATGATATTGGCGTCATTGGCTCTGGGCCGAGAAGGGTTTGATGACGGGAGATCTTCAATCGGGAAGTCCTGTGCTTTGATGCTATTTTGGGGCACAGCAGAAAGTCCGATCCACGTCTCCGCAGGGATGTGGGCGGAGACCACGGACCCACTCTTATCGATGTCCCCCAGCGACGGGCCATGTGTTTTGGGAGTGTTGGCAATGCCCACTTCGTAATTTAGGCACCGTACGGAGCCCTGTTGCTATCACTAATTATCGCATGGAAATCGTTCCTCGAGAAAGCACCCAGCCTCTGAGGCCAGGTCACGCCAAGATTCCTCCTCCGTTTTACCACATCGCGATTTGGAGGACTCTTGAGGATGATTTCGACTCGTGAAGCTCACCATGGCCGTTACGAGGTCCAAAACCGTCTACGTGTGAGCATGATGAACAGCGGAAAACTAAGAACCTGGAAGACATCGCGACGGTCCAGTGTACTACTTATCCCTAGCGATTCAACAGCGTCCATCATAGGAATCATCCAGGTCAGAACTCCAGGCGTCAAAGCACAGCCTCGTGGCACTGTTTCTGTCTGACGGACGGAACAACGCGACAACGTCTGGAAAGAAGCATGAGGCGCAATCGAGTCAAGATGACGCGGGGCAGCACTCGGTTTGTTATTTTGAGTTGTTTTCTTTGTTTTGATTGGCTTCGCTTCTTGATTTGTTTTGTTTCGTGCTCCGAATCCTTTCAATCTCCGATTTTCCTTCTTCGTATGTGATATTTCGCATATGGCCGATAGGCTCTCCGCATGGTATTAGCATCGTGTCAGGATCGCCGGGTACCTAACCAGCACAGGCCATGTCGGTATTGTCATCCATATACCATTGGAATTGTTGTGTGTTTTCTTCGACAGAGACGACACATGAGCTCCCAAAAATGTCGAGGGGAGACCCAGTTTCCGCCGTGTACGTCCGGGACGCCAAGGCGCACGACCCGGCCCGTGTTTGGTGCCAAAATGCCAGCAGGGCGTAACGGCCTGGGCAACCAGCTTAAAGCCCTATAAGCCACCGAATTTAGGGCTGTGCCCACTAATCGAGCCCGGGGCACTGGGCGCTGTACAGGCCAACCATGACGTTTCCTCGAGTTGACCCACCAGTGGAAATTTGGCCCGGAGGACACGGTCAAGAGACAGAGACGGAGAGTCTCCGGACATGGAATTCATGTGATGTATCCCATCGATTTGGCGTCCAATCACCATGACCCACGAAGTACGTTGTACAGGTATGAAGTGTTCATTGCATAGGTAGCCGTACTGCGAAGTACTTCGTTTTCGCAACGAATTGGTAAGGGTACCTTATGTATCCCCTCGTACAACGTTCGTTGTCGTTGTACGTAACTGAGCCACCTTTTGCCGAAATCTCCACTTCCTCCCAGCTCCAGGCACACTGTTACCTAGCTCCGCCGTCGGAGCTACTCAATCTACGCCTTGCAAGCTGTCGATACGAATGACTGCCAGGTCAGGTCATCATCACTACCACCGGGCCTTCATTCGGACCACAATGTTGTTTCAACGCACTAGCCGGCGAGCCTTCCAATGTCTCTCAACTTCACAACAGATACCCAGAGCCGGTCTCTGGGCCAGACGCGTCAAATCACTGACCATTCAGAGGGCCAATTCCACTGTCTCGGGAGCTGGAAGTTCTAGCAGTTCGCTGCCTCTGGAAGGATATCGCGTGCTTGACATGACGAGAGTATTGGCTGGTGTAAGTCGACCTGATTCCGCTAGATAGTCAATCCGTCAGCTTCAATATCCCGCTCCCCTTGTCCATTAGTCGATCAAGTCAATCAAGCCCAAATGACTCGGGTGCTGAAGTGGAGTGACAGCCTTATTGCACGCAAATCCTGGGTGACCTGGGGTACGTGCCGTTTATCCACGGAGGCTCGACAACATCTTGCAGCTCGCTCGCCCACTGACCTCATCGCCTTTTCTCATTACCAGGGCCGAGGTCATCAAGATTGAGCATCCTGTTCGGGGAGATGATACGCGTGCTTGGGGACCACCGTATGCCCCCTATCAGCCCGGCTCTTCCCTGAATGGACCGGGTGAATCCGCCTACTTCCTTGCTGTAAGTTCACGTCTTCCCCTTCTATACCGATGTGTTTTTATTTTTATTTTTATTATTTCCTTTTCCGATTTCTTTTCTTTTCTTTTTCTTTTCCTTTCCTTTCCTTTCCTTGTTCTTACTCGTCCTTGTCTTTGTTTTTGGTACTCTATTTCCATACATACATTTCTGCGGCGTTAGCTTGGCGTCCCCTAACAAGCTCATAGGTCAACAGAAATAAAAAGTCCTTGGCGCTCAACTTCCAGCATCCCAGCGGGGTCGAAATCCTGCATAAGCTCGTCGCCAAGTGCGACATTCTCGTCGAGAACTACCTACCGGGCACTCTTGCCAAGTACAAGCTCGACTATGACACCTTGAGTGCGATCAACCCTGGTCTCATCTATGCCTCCATCACTGGCTACGGCCAGACTGGACCATATTCTAGCCGTGCCGGATACGATGTCATGGTCGAGGCCGAGTTCGGTCTCATGCATATCACTGGCAGCCGAGACGGACCGCCAGTCAAGGTAGGCGTTGCCGTGACTGACCTAACCACGGGTCTTTACACCAGCAACAGCATCATGGCTGCCCTTCTATCGCGGGCCAAGACAGGACGTGGCCAGCGAATCGACGCAGCGTTAAGCGACTGCCAGACCGCGACGCTCGCCAACATCGCCAGCAGCTGTCTCATCAGCGGCGAGAAGGACTCGGGCCGATGGGGGACTGCGCACCGTGAGTGGTCGATCCCCTTTCCCTGTCAAGCCGAAATGCACAGATACACACATGAAGTTAAAAAGGGACGCCGAGAGAGAAAGCGATTGTCTAATCTTCAACACAGCATCCATCGTACCCTATCGTTCCTTCCAAACCAAAGACGGCGACGTGCTGCTGGGCGGCGGCAACGACCGTCTATCCGGTATTTTATGCGACGGGCTCGGCCGACCGGAGTGGAAGGAAAACAGCAAGTTCCGCACGAACGCCGAGCGGGTCGCGAACCGGGACGAGCTCGAGGCCCTCATCGAGAGCGTCACGGTCACCAAGACCACAGGGGAATGGCTGCGTATCTTCGAGGGTAAGGGAATGCCGTACGCCGCCGTCAACGACGTGCAGGCGACCCTGGCGCATGAGCACACAAAAGCTCGTAACATGGTCGTGGAGGTGGACCACGACCAGTGCGGGACCATCAAGTTGGTAAACACTCCTGTCAAGTACTCGGAGAGTGAGCCGAAGGTCCGCACTGCGCCACCTACCTTGGGGCAGCATACCCACGAAGTCTTATCGGATCACTTGGGCATGTCGGAGGATGGAATCAGGTCATTGCGAGACATTGGTGTAATAAGGTAAATTGATGTTGTTTTGAGGAAGTAGAAATCGTAGCAGTGTTTGATTGGGGGGGCTGGTAGATTGCACCCCCAGATTTGGTCGAAGTGCGAAAGAGGTTTGTTAAGACGGTGCTGGAACACCTACTTTTGTGTTTAGAAATTCAGGGAACTCTGCTCGCCCGCTTTTTCCTGAAGTTGGTAGGTCTGGTTGAAGTTGGCAAACGAGCCAAGTTTGGAAAATGCTGGTCTTTTCCACTGATAACGGTGTAGAACGGTGTAGGACGGTGTACCAAACACGCAGCCACGTGATGTTCACGTGACATCGCGTTAATAAGGTACTTACGGAGTTGCTCTCTCGAGTTAGTCGACCATCACATCAACTCGGTTCACTTCTTCTCACTTCTTGGAGTTCAAGCAAAGCCATTTAAAACAAAAAACAAAACAAAAGATCATCCCAATAAACAAAAAAGTGAGTCTTAACCTGAATGGTTCTTCACACGTAAACTTAAGCTGATGCTGCTCAGGATACCGCAAAAGGAGAGTCTCCATTGCCTTACCTGTTCTGGGTTCACATCCATCATCCCTACGAGCTGGCCCTTGGCCTTGTCCTGCTTCGACTCGACACTGGCAGTATATTCACTCGTGGGGGTTCAGAAAACATATCAAGAATTTCCAACCTATGAAAGGACAACGGAGAAGTCTCCGCCCTTCTCTTGACAATGTCTCAACCTCAGACCCCAGTTCCCGATGAGATGGGCAAGAAGCTAGCCGAAGCAACAGAGCCGATTCAGCCGATACAGGATGATGGCCATCAGAAGAAGGAGCCAATGCAAGTCACTGCAAGCACCGAGCCCCGCACGTCACAATGCCCTGCCCCTGCCCATTTCCATATTCCTCAGTTCTCAAAATCAACCCAAGAGATCTTGGATCGCATGAGGAGCAACTTGCGTCGCTCACCATCTCAGGCCGCATCGCAGTCTGCAGCCCAATCCACCTCGACTCTGCCTGCACGGTTTGGCGTCACCTACGAGGATGTTAAGCGCCGACTCGTGGAGCAGCTGAAGACGTCTGATCACGTCGACCCCACGCCAACTCCCAAGCCGGCGACGCTCGCAGATACCTCCGCGATGCCCAAGACTCTCCTGATGCCGAGCAACAGCAGCACCGCTTCTTTTCCTACCCTTAGTCTGAAGCGGAAGAGAGCTGAAGATGTTCTCCCGTCTTCCACTACGTCACTGGACTTGAGTCAGTCTACCCTTCACATGCCGCCACTGAGCCCTCTTCCTAAGCAAGAAGAGGGAACGGAGCGTGACTCACCAGCCCCCATTCTCCACAGCACATGGGGCCGAGCAGATGTCGAGCGAATGCGGGAGGAACGGCTGGCGTTGCTGCCCGAGTTCAACAAACCTCGTCTAGTCGGCTTCGTCGGCGGAAACGCCCCATTCTCTCAAGTACGTCGCTCCCACACAGGCTGATGAGGAATCGGTTACCGAATGGTTTCTAATGCCGACCTACTCTCCAGAGAAAGGCGTACTTTTCAAAACTCAAGGACTCGGACCTCGTCAATCTCCTCCTATTCAGTGACGCGATCAAGGACGGCCTGCTAATCGATGTCCTCGCCTCCGTCTCGCGGAAGCATCCCGACCTACCCCTGTTCCCGCATCCCGACTGGGATACCGTGCGTTACCCTCCCCAGAGCACTAACAACAGTCTTGTCAAACAAGAGCCAGAAACTGAAGGAAGCTATGTAGATGGGTCCCGACGAATGGGCGGCCCTTTCCCGGAGCGGTCATTCGGTTACCGGAACAGCAATGGCTACGAGCGCCCCGCCGGCGAACGCGAACGCTGCCAACACGGCCACGACCACGGCCGAAGCCGCACCGAAGCGGCCTCCCAACAAGAAGCCCAAGATTTCCGCTATCCGTAAAGTCCAGGAGTCCGAGGTGGTAGGTCGGGAGGTGGAGGTGGAGGTGGAAGAGGAAGAGCAGGAGGAAGAGGAGAAGCTTATTGAAGAACCTCTGCCTCAGGCATGGCCGAAGCCTGGGCATGGATTGTACGCGACGCTGCCGCCGGAACGGGATGACCCGACATTACGCGATGATAACGACGAGGAGGCGTTTAGTGGGTTCTTTGTGGATCGGATGGGCAGGCAGGTCGTTGAACCCGTTTCCGGATAGAGTGGGCATGGATCACCCCGAGGATTACACAAATGGGCGCGCAAGTCGAGGACGGGGGATAAATCGACTGAGGACTACAAGGGAAGGTCGCGAGGGATGTGTTAGCTGTCATGCAACCCTAGTGGGAAAGTTGTTCTCTGCTTTTATCAGCGGCTATACCCAGGTTAGTTAGTGTATTGAGACGATTGCTTATTCAAACGAATTCCAGGGCCGTTGAAGGTGGTTATCGGCTGATCCGTTCACGGACTTCACGCGCCACATGATTATATTACCGTCTCCCTCGGTATTCATGCCAAAAAAAACAGCCCAAAGACGTCGCCGATCCAGCCGGCGACCTAACCTAAGCTCGGAAGCCGAATCTCGTCACTCCCGCCCTTCGCCGGGTCCACCCCGCCTTGGGACCCTCATGCAGCATCCGCCCTAACCACCTCCCGAGCCGAGTACTAGCATGTCCCCGAGCCTCTACGTCCCCTTTCCGCGTTTCCTCCTCCACTTGCGTTCCGTTCTCCTCGTGCCCAAAGAACCATCCCATGCCCCTCCGTGCCAGTACGACCATGACAAAGTCCCAGACGGCGACAACGAAAACCGCCACCGCCACAAACTGATCGCCAGTGTTAGGCGCGGTGCCCCATAGGCGGTAGCCGGGGTCGAAGACGCGGGGCTTGGGAGCGTGGCCTACCCAGGTGATAAAGAGGCCCACGAGCCCTGCTGCTAGGATGAGGCGGACGAGGAGGGCCGGGCCGGGAAGGGAAGGACCGTATGATGTACGCAAGCGCAAGGTGGGCTCCGGGTGACGGAGGAGGAGGGACAGGATGGACAGTAAGGTGTCGAGGGAGAGGAATGTGAGGGCTGCAATGCTGGTATGGCTGGATGGCGAGCAGGTTAGCTCGGAAGAAGAAGAAGAAGAAGAAGAAGAAGAAGAAGAACCAGGACAAAAGAACTCACCCCGTATGGGAGTCCGTTATGAGAGGCACCTGGTACAGGTATGTGGTCATGGCTGCAATGATGACGGCGCACACGTGGATATGGGCAACGTCGCTTGCCAGGGAGAACCAGATATGGCGATCGGAGGCGCTTTCGTCGTTGGATCGACTTTGATGACACTTCGTCTGGGGCGATTCGGATGCGGCGTAGGCTGCCCAGGAATAAGGATGTCGGTGTCTCTTGGTGGAGTGCAAGACCGATTCGCGGACGACGATGGTGTGTTGTATCGTTGGGGGCGCGAGAGCCAGAGGCGGGGGACGGGCCAGGCGTTCCTTCATTGCGGGCGGATGTCACTATTAATTACACTGAGGTGGTGTCGGAAGAGCGTCGTCGTGTCGAGCTCGCGAGCAAATCAGGCGCAACAGGCTATTTAGTGGCAATTCCCCCAAACTGCAGCGTAACTGCAGCCGGAATGACGCCTGAATGACCGAGGCACAAGCTGCAGAAACGAGAACTGGCAATGGTTGTTACGAATGTGTTCATTGCAGAGGCCCAGTACAACACGACACAGACTGAGCCTCCTATTAGTACGGCCGGGCGCAAGATTTTGGAGCTTCTCTTTTTTTCGGCGTCATAGCGACCTAGAATCACCCCAGACAAAACAAGGGATAGGGGTCAGTGTGGCGTGACGCTTTGAGACGAGACGCGACACGCCATGGGATGGAACTGGTTGACGAACAGGGGCACGGGCTATAATGCGGCGTGCTATAAGCCTTAAGAAACATTGTGTATCCGTGAAGCGGAGCGGTTTACCGGGAAAAGGGAAGACAGCCGAAGAGAAAGACATGAAACGCTTAAGAGACGTATTATAGGTGAAAAATTCTGCGTCGAGAGAGCACCGCAATATGGGTTGAAAAGAAACGTTTGCCCGTAAAGCTGTTCTATGGCTGCACTTGGTGATACTATTTGTCGAAAATGCCAAACGCCAGCCGGGTAAATGAAGGGTGATGAAGGCAGACGGCTAGGTAATAGCATAAGAAACTCTCTGACTAACCGGCATGATTCTACGCTTCTACCCAGTAGCTATCACTGCATCAAGACGGCAGCTCATGAAGCCGCCACTCTCTAGAGAGCCTGGCTCAGACTTGCCTTTACGTCGTCAGGGTCGATGGATCTTTGCTGGGCGCGTATCGCGAACTGACAAGGAGGGTTACTGGCTGAACAGAAACACACAACTGCCGTCGCGAACCCCTACCCAGCTGTCCACGACTTGGAAGTATCTGATTGTCATCATCGCCAGGCCTGTAGCTGCACTCGCAAGTCTTGTTCGTTACCCTGCCCCGTCATGTATCATGGGGGTGACCAGGTTGGTCCCCTTCGTCCGACCGCTCTCCATCTTGGCAGTTCGAGAACCGAACTGGATCTGTTGCAGGGGCAGGGGGGGGCCGGTGGGAAAAAGGAATGCCGCCGATCAGTCACCCGGTTTTCGCGCAATCATCGGACGAGAAAGAGTTGCAAAGGGGAAATTATCAAACGGGGAACTCACCGCCCGCTTCTTTTCCCTCGCGACAGAGGGCATTCCCAGTTCTTCCGCCAACAGCCGCAAAACCCGCTTGCCAGGTTCCACACGCGACTCGGTCTCTGGATGCTGAAAGTCGCACTTCTCCCATATGGGCGTCTCTATCGCCCATCGGACCAATCGCTCGTCGAGATAGGGGAATCGCACTTCGCGGCCCCAGTGGGCCATGATCCTGTCGTCGCGTCCTAAATTTCGCTTTCCTAGCCGGCTGACATCAAGCTTGATCTCGTCCACCAGGCCGGGGTAGCCCGACCGCTCGAATGCCGCCAGGTGACGAGAGTAGCCCCCGAACAGCTCGTCGGCACCGAGTCCAGAGAAGAGGACCCTGGCCGTGGTGGAGTACGCCTGGGGGGCGTCGGAGGGCCTTTCCTGAGCGACGCCCGCGCCACGGGCCGCAAAGTAGAGGGCGTAGGCAATCGATAGGTCCATCTCGGTGTTGTGCGGGTGCATGAGGTATATCACTTGACTCCTGTGAGCCAGCGTTTCCGTGTAGGGGACGTCGACCTACTGTGCCATCAGCGAAAGGGACCGAAAGGGGAAATAAATAAATGCCCGCCAGTTGCTGGCACATACTGCGACGAATCTCCACTTCCGTGATGGACAGACCACGGCGAGCTCTGCAAAAGCCTTTCTGCCGGTTATCCTGTCCGGACAGGCCTCATAGATGCTGGTCGTGACATCCTGGCCACGGTGAAGGGCGACACGAGGATTCTCAAAAGCTACATTGAGCAGGTCGATGCCCTGATCTTGAGGAAGAAGCTCACTAGCCACACGAGCCAATACGGTGCAGTCGAGACCGCCCGAGAATAGGACGGCGACCCTAGTTTGGTTTGATCCCTCTTCCAGCTTGGGAGGAGCAGGAATATGAAGGACGCGCATTCGCATTGACTCGGTCAATTCTTCATGCAATCGACGAATAACAGAGGAGTTGGATCCAAGAGGGGGGAGTGCCTCGGATGGAGTGGTCATGTTCAGTTGACCAATGTTTAGGATCTTAAGGTTGTGAGTAGTAGGACATGGTGCGATGCATTGGGGGCAATTGAGGTTTTGGGGGGGGGGGGGGGGGGGGGGGGGGGGGGGGGGGGATGGGTCCTACGGTGTCGGCCGCTTGGTCAATCATCCAGGGCCTTCGCGAGGGCGACACGAAAACGCCCCGCTCGTCGTCTTCTCTTGTCAGGTTCACAACGTAGATGCCGTCCGCTTCCACCTCGAACCAGCCGGGCGAAGCGGTTTCGGCGACGCTGGAGAGGACAAAGCCAGAGTCGTCGCGGTTGACGAGCAGGGACCGGCGTCCCAGACGGTCGCGGCCGTAAAACAGCCGGGAAGAAGGCTTGTCGAAGAAGATGAAAGCAAAGGGACCTTCGATGCACCGTAGTACGTCCAAGACCGCTTCCCCGCCGGCATCGTCATCATCATCATCATCATCAGCGGCTGCGGCGAGAAGCCTCGCCAAGACAGCTTCGCCATCGTTACCCTCAACAGCCTGGCCCGCTAACTTCCACGCCTCGCCATTCCAGCAAAGGACGGAGCCAGTGGAAGCATCATGGAACGGCTGCGGCGTGACGTGATCGCCGCGGAGCGCAAGGACGGTCGAGGTAAAGGCGAGCGAGAGGCGGGCGCCTTGCTTGCCGTTCACCCGGGTCTCGACTTGGCCGAAATGGTCGGGGCCGCGGTTGGCCAGGCTACGCCGAAGGGAATCGGAAAGCGTGGGGATGCCATCGTGAGTGACGATGGCGTGGATCCCACACATGAAGATGGGACTGGGAGGAGTCGAAGATGCGTGGTGGGCGTGTTGTTGAGAGTTGGTTCGAAATTGACAGGCAAAGTTCTGTCGCGACCTGAAAGAGAGGGTACCTTAGGTACCGAAGCAGGGATACCTGGAAAGCGGTTGTTCAGACATGGTTTGGGCTTCTTAGATGCAATACTTCTTATTGGTTACATCAGAGAGTGACTCTCAACAAGCAAGCATCCGAATTGGTGTAGTGGTTAACATTTGTCGCTCTCATCGGAGCAGCACCGACAGGCCCGGGGTTCGATTCCCCGATTCGGAATTTCCTTTTTGCTTTTTTCCCCATGTCACCGTTATAACAGAGGATATTTCCCAATTAGGACTAGCCTTCTCTACAACGGAGATACTTCTTTGTACTCCGTTTATAATGTCGCCTGGAAACGACCAAAGTTGACACGACACGCATCTCATTCACATCCACTTCCATCGAAGAGTTGAACATCAATACCCCACGTCCAGTAATCCACAAACGCGAAACGAATCCCATCCATCTCATTTCGCTGGAACGAACTGAGAGGGTAAAAACCGCCCGCTCTCCAATCGGAGCGTGCGCCCATCATATCCGCAACGGCTATTCCACGGCGTCTTTTCGCCTCCTCTACGCTCTCTCACCTCTCATACAACCTCCCTCTCAACCATGCTTCTCATTCGCCTATTATCGCTGGCGTCTTCTGCCCTTGCCTACCAAAAGCTATCAGACGACTGGTTAAAGAATGTCACCTCCGGTGGCGACGACTTTGACGTCCACAACGGCGCCCTTCTCGCCCCTCTCCTCATCACCCGTGTCCCGGGAACGCCTGGTCAAACCAAGGTCCAGCAACACTTCGTGAACTACTTCAGCACACAGTTACCCAGCTGGACTGTCGAGTGGCAAAACTCTACGGATAAAACCCCGAAGACGGGGGACAGGGACATCCCGTTTCAAAACCTCATCATCCGTCGAGAACCCCCCTGGACCAGAACCAGACCTGGGCAGGCCAATTATCTCACCTTCGCCGCGCATTATGACAGCAAACTGGAACCGAAAGGCTTCATCGGGGCTACCGACAGTGCTGCCCCATGCGCGATGCTCATGCACCTCGCGCGGAGCATTGACCGGCGCCTCACCGAGAGGTACGATAAGCTGAACTCGAACGGCGAGCCGGGAGGCACCATGTCCTCCGACATGGGCGTGCAGATCCTTTTGCTCGACGGTGAAGAGGCCTTCGACCGCTGGACCGCTACCGACTCGGTTTACGGGTCGAGGTACGTCCGCCTTTGCGCTTCTTCTCCTCCCGACCGCTTATACATCATGCTGATTCCCGGAATACAGATCCTTGTCACAGGAGTGGGAAAATACCTTCAACCCGGCCATGTCAAGCTACAAAACGCCATTGGATCAGATTAGCATTTTCGTTCTCCTTGACCTCTTGGGCTCCGCCAACCCTTCTATCCCGTCGTACTTCAGAACCACCCACTGGGCCTATAAGAACATGGCTACCATCGAGAGCCGTATGCGCGGCTTGGGCTTGCTCGAATCGGATTCCGAAGGTCCTTTCCTCCCCGATGGTGAGATCGACGCGAAGGAACTTGGCACGACTTATATTGGGGACGACCACGAGCCCTTTATGCACAAAGGTGTGCCCATTCTGCACATGATCCCTGCGCCTTTTCCTATGGTGTGGCACACGATGGATGACGACGGGGACCACCTCCACATGCCTACTGTCCGGGATTGGTCGAAGATCGTGACCGCCTTTGCGATGGAATGGCTGGATTTGATGGAGCTAGAGCCGAGTAGTGGACAAGGAAGAAGGATATGATCGGTATATTTTGGATTATTTTGGCATACATCAAGAGAAAGGAAGCACAGCGCCGGAATTGTGTCTTTTCTCATGTGATAGTTTATCTCGAAGCTATATTGCGAGTTGGGAGTTTTTCAATTGAACTTTCTCGAGAAGTGTTCTTTCTCGGTGCTGATTATCCTCGCCGTTGTTTGCTTCACTTGTCAACTGTAGCCTGGAAGCGGGCAGGTACCAGACAGAGCATAGGAGCAGGCAACTGACGGATTGTAGAACCAATTCCCGTATCCGTGAGGATAAATTTTCTTTGACGTGACAGCGATTGGCGATGGGGAGGTTGTGAGCCGAGAGAGATTGAGCTAATGCAAATCTATGCGTCGAGGGCGTGTCGGGGAGTCATTTACATATGCGCGCGCCCTTTGGGTCATTGGCGACATGTCGCCATGTCGCCCTGCCGTCCTCGGACCATGCGATTAATCGGAAAAGCCAAGCAGTCTGCATATACCTACCCAAGGGGATTCTCATCCCTTTATAAATAGTGTACAACAGGGCCCGCTCTACACCCATTAAATTCATCTCAAGACGCACAAACAAGCCGAGGAACATTATATCACCTCTACCGGTATTGCCATTCATTATCCTTATCATTGTCATCATCGCCATCATAGTCCCAATCATCACCATGAAACCCGCCTCGTCCACCCCAACAGCCCTCGTCATCATCGACGTCCAACAAGCCTTCAAGCACAAAACCCACTGGGGCGCATCCCGCAGCACCATCAACTTCGAAACCAACGTCGCCTCCCTCCTTCAGGCCGCGCGGTCTTACAACACCAAAGTGCAAAGCAGCCAAGCCGCAGACCAGCGACGCCACCCGATTCTCATCGTCCACGTGCACCACCACTCTCTCATCACCACCTCGCCTCTGCACCCGTCCTACATCCTCTCCTCATCGACGGGGACGGGGACGACGCGAGGGGTGGAGCCAACAGAGTACGCAGCGCCGGCGCCCGGCGAGCTGGTGCTGACCAAATGCGTCAACTCGGCCTTCGTGGGGACCGATCTCGAGGCGCGACTGCGGGCTTTCGGCGCCCGGCAGTTGATTGCCGTCGGGCTCACTTCGGATCACTGCGTCAACACGACAGTTCGCATGGCTGCCAACCTGCAGGTCTTAGGTGACGACGGCGGTTCGGATGGTACCGGGGAGGGGAACAACGGGGTTGTTATTGTCCGGGATGCTACGGCTACTTTTGCGAAGCCTGGGTTTGAGGCGGAGGTTGTGCATGCTGTGCATTTGGCTAGTTTGGAGGGGGAGTTTGCTGCGGTAAAGACGGCTGGAGAGGTTATAGGCGAGGTTATGCGCTGAAGCTTTCTCGTGACGATAGAGTCGGGATTTCTATGTCTCTTCGCGCTCCTTCCACGGATGGGGGGGTTCTTGTGTCCTTTCAATCTGTACGAGCGACGGTGAGTGAGATTAGTGATTGGGATTGGAGATGAGTAATCAATTACCTCCACCCCCAGTCGTTTCAGGCCGAATGTGGTTATGTAAGCGATAATTAAATACGACGCTAATCCAAAAGAGGAAATCCATTCGAACGTGAACCCCTTCCCCCCGGACGTTCACGTTCACATTAACTTGCTCCTCTCGTCACCCGGAAACTGGACCGCCGACTATTCATCTCCCTGACCTGATACCAACTTCTGTCTCTCTCTCCATGTATTCATCTCCCTTGTCCTTTACGAGTGCAGTATTTATTGAATAAGCCGAGATTTTGTTCTGCCGTCTCTCTTGAGTCACACCGACGTCAACCCGTCCGTTTCTCATCGGACGCAACTCTCCCACCATGCCTAACGTCGGTAGACCCAGCAAGGACTGTCACCTTTGCCGAAAGAGGCGTGTCAAGGTCAGAGCTTACTTTTACCTACTCAATTCGTATCCGTTTCTTCTTCTTCTCTCGGGGAGGTCTCGGGACATTTTACTGACGCAGCGGTTTCGGCTCAGTGCGACTTGACTAGACCCTCTTGCCAACGTTGCATCAAGTATGGCACCGAGTGCCCGGGATATCGGAATGTGCAGGACCTGATCTTTCGGACCGAGGACCCTGCGTCTGCAGGGCGAGATCAAGCCAAAAAGGAAAGAGCAAGGACAACGAGGAGGTCCCCAACCTCTGTGCTCTCCAGTTCTCATCCCGTTGGTTTCCCGAGCGACGATGTCTCCTCAACGTCTGGAACATCGTCGTCGTTCTCTGGAACAAGACACCCAATGGCTCGATGTCGCAGCTTTCTCCCGCCATACGCGGCATCAAATGCTTCACCGATTGTAACCTTACCCCACGAACTGAAGGAACCTTGGACGACTCATTCCATTCCTTTACTCATGAGCTGTTACTCCTCCATGACTTTCCTTGCCAAGCTCTACAGCAGCGTCACTACTTCCGAGGACCCTTTTGTTCTTTCGACCCATCTCTGGGCCAAGGCATACTTGATTAGTCGCTTCAATGCGCCCCATGACCGCCGCGAGACAGCCGAATACCTCGGCAGGACCCTGAGGTCTCTCTCCCTTGCTCTCCAGGACCGACGGAAAAAAGCCTCGGACACCACCGTCATGGCCGTCTGGATGTTGAGCATATACGAGGTTTGTCTTCTCTGCCATGACGATTGCGTGGATCAACACGTCTAAAGGCACAATAGGTTCAGATTGGCGGACTCACCAACCGCTCCGACTCCCCAAGCCCATGGGATGTTCACTCACAAGGGCTTATGAGCCTCCTTCGCGCAAGAGGTTCGACCCGGTTCCTCACCGAGATCGGATGTGCCGTCTTCTGGTGCGCGTATAACATTATAGTGCGCATATACCTCTATGCCTCTGGGCCCTAAATGAACTAACCGATCGCTGACGGACTTGGCAAACTTGTAGCAAATCCATTGTCTGATGACGAACACCGAATGTCCACCTGAATCCTGGGACTGGATACGGAATCTTTCGGCCAAGGGCGTAGATGAAGAAGAATCATTCTTGCTGGGCATTCTCCGCTATCTTAACCACACATGCTCCATCGTTTCCATCGTCATGCCCCTTGTCCAGCACGGCTTATTCCTCGACGCATGCACCAACTACGACGAGCTCGTGCGACAAGCAGACGCCGCGGAAAGAAGCATTGTGCCCTGGATGGGTTTTTTTCGCGCAACAGCCGGCGGTGCTGATGCCACCACCCGTTATTTCCTCAACGTGTGGTGGAGTGCACGCATCAAACTGCACCACATGTTAGTGCTGCTAACTAACCTAGTAGCAGACGCCCCGGTTCGGACCCCGTCTCTGCATTCCGCCGACCTGCAGTCTAGGAGGGCATCCTATCTTGCAATCGTTGCCGAGGCGGCCCGGGATATCATCGACGACATGCCTGTCTCTCTCGGCGGTCTGTCAGGAGAGTCTGAGACTACTGGCACCCATGCAGCAGACTGGTACGAAGGGGTGCGCCTCGTATGGCCACTTACCGTCGTGTACACCGTCAGGACGGTTCCAAAAGACCTACGACTCGCTGCGAGGACGGCTTTATTTTTCATCGGGAAGCACAGAGGAATTATACAAGCACTGAAGAGCCGACCTGGGACCACGACGTACGTGCCCCAGGCGATGACTGGCATTCCCGTCGACGACCTCCTCGACAATCCCGAACTTGTTCCCGAACTTCCTCATCAGAGTGGGCTGCTATGAGGAGACGAGGGTTTATCAACCGCCAAGTCCCTTTTGCTAGATTTCCGCCCATCATCTTGGGCCCCCCGCGCCGTTGTTAAGGCTAGATCCTATCGACAGGGGACCTTCTTCACGCACCCATACTGCGCAAATTCGTTGGTGCTTATCCATGACGCCTCGTCAATAGGTGCCAGTACCTCACTCCCCTTCAGTCGCACGCTCTCCCACACGCCTCCTCAAACCCGGCCGGCAAGTCCTCGCCCCAGTGGTCCGTGATTTCTGCCATCACCTCCAGCAAAACCGAACATGGCGGAGAGATGGGAGACGGAGACAACGCCTTCGTTTTCGGCATCAGTGTAGGGCTTGTGAAGGGTGCCCTCTTGGGGGTTGTACAGAGCCGAGCCCGAGACGAATCCGTTCCTCAGCTTCGCAATCCCCGTGGCCGTGTCATTCAACTTTGCGAAAGCCTCCTCCCATATGGGCCCACGGCGCTCCCACTCGATTAGCCACGACGAAGCTAGGCTGGAGTAATCCGTCCCAAGCCCAACGTCCACTGCTTCTGGGCTCGGCTTAAAATCATTGTTTCGGACCTTACGGGACGGGTTCAAGCACCGCGTACGTCTGGTCTACGTCGAGGACACTCCTCAAGCAATTCGCCGACGCGCTCGTCTCCACCAGAGAGATAGAAAAATTGCTTGAGGTACTGCGCGTTGGAGATGCGAGCTTGCTTGGCGCTGTCGGAATAGTGCTGAATCCCGTGACGGGTGGCCGCCGCGCTCTTGACGTCGAGTCCCGTCGGATACCGCTGCCAGAAATTCCGAAGCCCAATGGCCAGACCACCCACGGTGGCACCGCCGAGGTACGCCAGGCCTCCGGCGCGGGTGGCGCCCGGGCTCTTCACCCAGCTCTGGCCTGCCTTGGTCCTCTTCCTTAGGGTGAACCCGTCGGGGGACAGCTGGCTCAGGCTGAAGTCGTCCCAAGGCGGGATCCAGTGGAGCCGACTTGTGACTCTTTCATCCCAGGTATTCGTATCACGAATGCCAAGGCCGGCGATGAAGTCCTTCCTGGCATCTGCATCGAAAACGATGTTGTGAACTAGGCCGATGGCTTCCGACTCGGCATACAGATAGAAACGGAGCACGAAAGGGAGCCACGGTGCGTGCTCTCCCTCCCCGACGACCATGTGCTTCCCACGCACAGTGACAAGGGTTCGGACGTCGTTGTCTTCTCCGACGCTCACTTTCTCGATGTTGCTCTCAAAGGTTGAAGTACTCGATGGGGGATTCACTTCGGTCTTGGACGTCGCCTGGCACGTCCGACTGAGTGTGAAGAACAAGCTTTCCGTCCTGTCCAACAGTCTTTCCGCCCGCGGTGCGGATGCTTCGGATTATCACATTGCCTGTCTTGGGGAAAGTCACCACAATCTTGCCTGTATTGACCCGGATCTCGTCTGCCGATTCCGAGACTCCGACCCTAGGCGATCGGGGAGACTTTGAACTTCGTTTGGACCCCGTCGAGCGCGAACTACCGGTATAGGGCGACGCTCGCAAGGTGTATTCGTCGTGGATGTTGCCTGAAGCGGGTATCGCATGTCCCGTCCATTGAATGGAGCCATCGGATCAGTAAGCCGTTACCCAAGGTTGAAGGGCAATCTCTTCCCCATCGTCGCTCTCGCTCCCGGATATGGCGGAGTTGGTCGTATTCGGATGGTGTTTCCCTCGAGGCCATGGGATGCCAAAGGCGGTTCCCCCGTGGTAGGATGGCTTGGTGCCGAGCCAGTGGACGTCGACAATCGAGCTCGAGTTCAAGTTCGAGCTGCTGGGAGGAACAGCGGACCCCGAGGCCAGGAGACCTGCGAGGACGAAGAGAACGGAACTCAACCGAGGCATCACGAGGATTGTGGCTTGCAAGAACTCGCCCGTCGTGTAAAAACCTAGCTACGCTAGCGGAGTCGAGGAGTCTGGGACGAGATCGCCTGCAGCTCGAGGGGATGGCGCAAAATCAAGATGCGGAGAGGGGTATGTAACCTGAGAGAGCGCAAAGGTGCCGGGCGACCACTTACACCGAGATGTCAAGAGATGCCTGAAAGCCTTCCAGGCCCGCTTGTCCCCAAGACGAAGAGAGTCAAGCATTGCGCCAACCCCAAGTGCCGGCTCGGCATTGCGGAGACACGTTGAAGGCAGAACCTAGGAGTACTCATCTGTGCCGTATGGTGATACATGGTATACGGATTACAGGTTCGCAGTGCCCGACTTTCGAAAGGCGCTACTCTGCATGGCTCTAGCCTCTCCCCTTGGGCAGGTATTTATCTCACTCATACGAGCTTCATAGATACAACGTGGAGTCGTTCGGCCCCCAAGTACTTCCCCCCCCCCCCCAAAAGGATCATCATTAACCCCCCAGCATATCAGTATGTATACCGAAACTTCTTGTTTTCCCTGTCCGTCAACTGAGCCCAGATTTCGGGCGACATGTACGACTCTTCTGCCTCCGTGTCGCGGGGCACTGAATCGCGCTTCTTGTTCATCCAAACGTAGTACAGGAGAAGGAGGAAGGTGGTGAATGCACAGCCAGCCTGAGTACCCATGACGGCCACCTTGGCGGGTCGATATTCGGGTGCATCGCGGGCCTGGAAGGTCTGGGGTCCGATGATATTTCCGAGAGAGAATGAGCCGCTGACGATGGCGACGGCGAAGGCTCTCTTTGTGGCACCGGCGAAGTTGGCGGCGGTCCACTGCACAATCACGGCACGGGTCATGATAGTCAGTTGAGTCCTGAGCTGAGTCCTCTCTGAAGATAAAGCTCCACACAGCAGATGAACTCACCGCATAGAAGACGGTCAATGGAGCAACGACCGCGTTGACGAGGTAAATCCCCGCCAGGATACCGGATCGGTTAGTCACGGGGAGGAATGACATCAAGGCGCCGCCGAGGATTCTACGGAGCAAGACGTTCCAAGGTCAGCCACATATAGACCCCTACAACTGCTGTGGGGTTTTTGCGTAGATATCTGTAGGAACATCACTCACGCCGGACAGATGCAAGCAATGATCCAGGCCCAGCGATGGGACCGGAAGCGGACACCGAAGCCGACGAGGAGCGTGAAGAAGATGCTGACCGCGCCCGAGGGCATGTTCATGAGGGCAGCTCGCTTGGGATCGTAACCCAGGTTTCGGATCAGGGTGGAAGAGTACGTTGTGACGACGCCGCTGGAGACGGAGAGCTGCGGTGACACGTGGAAGTCAAGTCAGTCCGAATGGCCCTCAACTGCGGAAAAAGGAGGGGTCAGAGTGGGAGAATTCATCACCAGGACTACAGACAGAGTCATCAGGTACATCTGAGGGTCCGTCAAGGCATCCAGGATTTGCCTGGGCCGGAACTTGCGACTGTCGATACCGGTCCGGTTGACACTGACATGCTTCAGCAGTGCCACCTTCTCGCTGTCGGTCATCCAGCGGGCTTTCATGGGGGTGTCGGGCAGGAAAAAGAAGGTAGCGAGGCCGATGATCACGGTCACAACCCCCAAGGTAATGAACATGATGCGCCAGCCGGCCAACCCAGCCCCTTCAATGTGCTGGAAGGCGAACGAGACGAGGCCGCCGATGATTTGGCCTAGACCGAGACCTAGGTACCAGAAGGAGAAGCGAGGGGCCTGCTCCGACTTGGTGTAGTACTGACTGCTGATGAGCATGAGAGAGGGGCCGATGGTGGCTTCGAATATACCGAGGAAGACGCGCGATACCAGGAGGGTCTGGTAGTTGTAGGCCGCCGCGCCGCAAGCTGTCGCGACGCCCCAGGAAACGACGTTGAAACCGAGCCATTTCGCGGCGGGGAGGACCTGGAGGAAGTAGACTAGAGTCGAGTCAGAAACGACATCCAGTTCGATCGGTGGGGCATATAAATGCCATGAGAATCCAAGATTCAAGTATCAAAACGGGGTTCTGGGGGGAATCTGAGGATCTCTGACTATTGGGAATCTCGAAACACAACAAACCGACAAAGAGGAAGGTGGCTATATTGGAGAAATCGTTGCCCTGGAGGTTGAGATCTTCGTGGATACCCATCACGGCGGCATACTGTGGTCCGTGGAGCGAGGAGGAGCTCGCGTCAGCATTTGAGGTGAAACAGACAAAAACGATGCGAAGAGATTGGATGCCGACGTACGTTGAGGATGACCTTGTCGAGGAACTGCATGGTGTAGCAGCAGAACATCAACGGCACGATGTGCCAGTCGATCTTGGTGCGCAGCCGGGCCAGGTCAACCTGTTCGTGCTCCTGGCCGCGGTTCGCGTCGAGAAACTCCCACGCGGCATCGACACCTTTTGTGGGCGAGGCTGCATCGTCGAGGGCTTCTGGTTCCCGAGTGGTTATGGGATAGTCGCCTCCTTTCTCCTCGTGGCCTGAGGTCTCCCCGTTCGAGGAGGCCGGCATTCTTGTTGGTCTCGGTGTATGATATACAGGGGGGCGAAGGGGGAAGAAAGGGGCTACAAAAGAAAAAAAAAGGAAAAAAAAAAAAAAAAAAGGATTGATCGAAAAGGAGGTCGCGAGGAAATCTTCGAGAAAGCAAAATGCTAATCACCTAGGAAGCCGATAAAAAGCAACCAGCCAGGGAAGACACGTTTCACTCCGGATCAGGTTTTCGGGGGGAGAAAACTTGTACGCCGCAAATATAATATGGTGAAAAGGGGGTGGAGAGAAGCGGCTGCAATGGACAGAACGGAACGTTTGAGAGCAGCTTGGACAGGGCTGCAACGTCGGCGCTTCGTTCCCACCAGAAGGGAGCACATTTGGGCACTGGTCAGTGGTCCCCTCCCTCTCTCCCGCCCATGAGTAAGGGCCGACATGTCGACGATTTGCCAGAGGTGGTACGACCGTACGAGCCTACGAGAGAGCATCCGCACATCCCGGTCCTCGTTACTGATTCGCGGGAATGACATGCAGTCAGCGAAGAACTTTCAGGATGTGACCCAGATACTGCAGTCACCACGGATAAAGAGGGCACTGATTGTTTACGATTCCACGAACTTGCGTCGCAGCCGGATGACATGGAAGCGGCAGAACATATGCCATATGGGAAGTATGAAGGAATCTCGATGTCATCATTGGAGTGTCTGCATTTCAACATCTACCACAAGAATCAATTTACGCAGATAACACGTGCAGGCTTGTGAATATTGGCATATTGGTTTCGGCCTCCTTTCTGTCGGCCCCAAGCCATCAAGAGGGGTGGTGGCCCTGGTAGGGAAACCCTACGGTCAACTCGGGCTAAGATTACCACCAAGACGAAAAGGACTCCTCCTCTTCATCATAATTCATGAACATTTCCCTCTTTGTCAACAGCGGGCTACTAGGAATGATCCTGGGCCAGTCGTGAGCATCCAAGCAGGCTCGTCGAGCAGCCAGGACGGCCGGTCTAGTCCTTTTGATGACGGCAGCCGTGTACGCATCTAGTGCGGTGCTAAGCCCAGCCTTGGTTGTTGTCTCCGAGATCCGGTTGAACCCATTTGATCCTCCTCGGTTTAGCTTGAGATGGGGAGTGACTATCTCAGAAAAGTCGAGAACATCGGCTATGGCGTGGTTGGCGCCTTCACCTCGATCTAGGAGGCACCGTCACTGGTCAGTCCCAAATGGTTTGGAAGTGGGGGAACAGACCGTGTTGTTTCACAGACGGGGAGGGGGGAAATATCAGAAAGGAATGCGATGGAAGTGGTAGAGAAGGTTTTCAGGGACCAGTATGGATAGGAACCAAAGCCCCGGAAAGCCCAGCGAATAAGAAAAGAAAACAAAAGGGGGGAGGGACAAGACGTACACATTGTCATGGCATGGAGTGCATCCCCCATGAGCACGACTCTCCCCGTAGTTCGCAGATCTTTAGGGGGCACATAATCGCTCAGCTCGAGACACTTGAGGTCGTCCAAGGCACTGGCCGACGACAAGCCGCCGAGGGCGACGGACCGGAAAGGCTCGGCCCAGGTTTCCGCAAAGGCGCGGATCAGGTCGACGTTTCCTTCCGGAGTAGGGGCGAAATCCGTTGGCGCGTCGTTGTTCCAGAACCCCGGGCGGTAGGGCCAAGAAACGACGACTTGGCAGGTGTAGTGCTTATTCGCATCGTCGCTGCTATCCTCTTCTGCTCTCGTGTCCGGGTTCGCGTCTGTGTGGTGGTTCCCCGGCGCATCGAGAACTGTGAAGGATGCGCGCCGTCAGTTCAACGTCGAGCAAGAAAACTTGTAAGGGAGCACCGAAATCTTACCGCTGAAGTACATGAACGTATCGTTCTGAGACGAAGTGGCCTGGAGAAAAAAAGGATCGAGTGCCTTCATGGGAGCAATTTCTTCCGGGGTGTACTGCGCCCTGAATCCGAGCACGCGGATGGGGAGCCGGTACCCTTGATGCCGATCCGGGAGCAGAGCCCTCCGAACCCTGGAACCCCCTCCATCGCACGCCACGACCAAGCTTCCGTACGCATGCGAGCCGTCGTCGAAGAAAACCCTGACCCGTCGTCGTCGTCGTCCATTCTCTCCTTCATCGTCGTCGTCAGCCGCATCCTCCTCCTCCTCCTCCTCCTCCTCCTCTTCTTGGAGCCGTTGAAACGCCTTCCCCCACTCGAGGTCGACCCCCTCGGCCAGCAACCGCCTCAACCCCTCCCTCGTGACACGGACCCGCTGCGCCTCCGAAGCCCGCGGCGTGGCGGCTTTCAGGTCGCCCATGGCGAGGTCGTGCAGGGGAAAAGTGGACGCCTGGCCGGCCTCGACGGCGGCGCGGTCGACGTACGTGCTGGGCAGACGGGCGAGGAGGTCCGCGGGCAGGAGGGCGCGCAGGGCGGGGAGAGACCAGTGCAGGGTCAGGCCCCAGCCTACGCCGCGGGTGGTGAAGTCGCGGTCTCGGTCGAAGATGCGGAAGGGGACTGAGGAGACGCGAAGGTGTTGGGCTAGGAGGAGGCCGCTTAGGCCGGCACCGATGATGAGGACGGGGAGGGGAGGGGAGGCGGAACGGGAAGAACGGTGAGATTGTGACATGGTATTTTTGTTGTTGCAAATTCACCGCCTGCGAGTCTTCAAGAATGATAGTTGCAGGAAGGAATGGCCCAGGGAAGGGATTGGAACCCGGACTCCATAAATTATAATAACTACCAGTTCTCTCACCGATGGCGTTGGCGAGCTCTTTTCTTCAAGCCCCCCCCCCCCTTCCCTTTTGTTTTGTTTTCCCCTGCAATGCTGACCATATTTGGGGCGGGCGAAGGCCTGTCGACAAAGTCGGGGGGATTTTGGGACAAAATCCCCGATTCCCTCCGGTAAACTGGTACGTTGACTGCATTTGCTGTAAGACCCCAGAGGTTGGAGCTTGGGGATCCTTCGCGTTTGCGGGATACGGAGGACGGATCTTCGAGAAGGGCTTGTTATACAATACAGTACCTTACACTTAGTACTTGCTACACTGTCACGTGTGAGCTGGACAACTTTGGGCTACCGGCAGCTAGTTATTCCGGCGGTACAAAGTACGGTAAGGTACAAACTTGCAAAAAGTCTACCTCGGTACACACACGCGCATAAATGGCATCACGTCACGTCACATCGCATGAAGGTCAATTTGTCTTATCTTTCCTACCTATTACGAACTCTGCTTTGTGAAGCATAAGAGTGAGTACGCGGCAACGCACTGCAGACACAGGGATTCAGGGAAGACAGGTGACACAGGTCGTCACTGCAGCGACCCAGCGTCAAGCGAGCTGTTGGACAGTGGACAGTGGACTTTGATATTCTGTTCGTTGTTTCTGTGTACGCTACCAATCTACGATCGCCTATCTACGACTCGTGCTGCCCGTCCCTTCCCCGTCGGCCCTCATTCACACATCTCGCACTAGAGCTAGTGTCGGGAACGAGTCAGTTTCACGACTCTCGACTTGCGGCACTTGCCCCTCTATGTTGCACCGCCGTCTACAGGTATGAAGCTTCGACGAGGAAGCCGACAGTCATGGCCGAGTGACGCCTCATCGACTCCCAGTTGATAGTAGCATATGTCTGTAGGAGGCATGCCCAGTCAGCAAGACAAATCCGGATACAATAACTTCGGCAAGTCCAAAGTAGAGTGGCTTTATGGTCTTACATCGCGACTGGTGTGAATGTTGGGGTTCGACGTCGCCAAGGGCTCAGAGGCGAGGAACGCGGCAGCTGCAAATGGTCAGTTAAAAAAAAAAAGAAGAAGAAAAGAAAGAAAAACAAAAAGGGGGAAGGAGGAGATATGCAGGCATGACATACGGAATCCAGCGGCCCTGGCGCTCGCGTGGTCAGAGCATCCGTACCCGCAGCGCGACTCAACAACAGTCAGACCGCTGAACTGCCGGGCAACGAGCTTCACATAGTTGGTCAGCCCCGTGTCGACGTAGTCGACGTAGACCGTCGGCCGGCCGCCGGGGGAGTAGCCCGTCATGTCCTGGTTGAGGAAGGCCCGGACCGAGGCGCCCTGCGAGCGGTAGGCGCGGAAGACGTCCTGCGAGCCGAGCAGGCCGCCCTCCTCGCCGCCGTACCAGTGGAACTCGATGGTGTTCTGGGGCCTGTACCGGGCGTCGGCGAGGATGCGGAGGGCCTCGAGGAGGTTCACCGAGGCGGAACCGTTGTCGTCGGCGCCAGGAGCCCGGGCCGTCGTCGACCCTGCGGTGGAATCGAAGTGGGCGCCGACAATAACTATGGTTGAAAGGAGTTGAGGGGAGAGAGGGGGAAAAGTCAGACTCGCCTGTATCCGAACAAAACAATATGTTATATGACTATACAAGACAAGTGTAGCAACTCACTCTTAGCGGCTCTTGAGCCCGGAATGCGGGCAATGACGGACGGCTGGTTGAAGCTGTGCCCGAACGTCTCAACAGTGATGGCAGGGTTGGCAGAGGCGATGCTTCGGACCGTGTTCAGCAGCCAGGTGGCCGCCTGTGTTCCATAAGTTGACCGGTAGTGGCGGTTATGGTAGCTGGCGGGCAAAACTCGGTCAGGAGGGAGGGCACAGACTACATACAGGCTTTGGAGGGGTGGAGAAGGGTCGAGCCTACTCGGTCAGTGTTCTAAGCCAGTTCTGGGGCCCGGTGTTGGGAATGCGGGCGATGAGGGCATTAGCTTCTGCCACATGCGACAAAGTCCCAGGATAAGAGGTCTGGCGGGCCTCAAGCGTTGAGGCGGAGTCCGGGGTAGAAAAGCCAGTGAGGATGTCCTCGTCTTGGATATCAGTGATATCGACAAAGTTTGCCCTTTGGCCCCCCTTGACAAGTTCGGCCTTCTCGTCCTCGGAGACCCATCGCCCAGGATCCTCCTCGGAGGTCTTGATAAGGCGGTTTTGCGAGGACTGGGACTCGATGGGTCGAGCATCGTTCACAGCAACCGCTGAGGCGAGCTGGGCAGCAGCGGCCAAGAGGGCAAGAGCGGACTTGAGCTGCATGACGGACAGCGTGGAATCCTGTTCGTCGAGGTGGGAAGAAAGATATCTACAGAGAAAGGGGGGTAGGGGAGAGATAGGGAGAAGAAAATGAGACGGCAGACGGAGCGAGGTCGCTGAGGAAAACCTATGGCTAAACAGCCGACGAGTCGTGTTATATACTCCGTGCACCGTGCACGAAGGCCAGGGCCCCGAGAGGCGGGACGACAACTCACTGAATCATGGGCTACAACTAAGGAGACGGGAATCCAGGTGGGGTGGTGATGAGGTGCCCGCCAACATACGAAGTACCTACTCTAAGACGAGAGCGCTACACATGGGCCTGCGGGGAGGGAGACCTCAGACGACTTGAGCTTCCTCAATTGGCAGAGGGAAATTCTAGGGAATGAGAAGATGGGGGGCAGAGACAGAGATGGAGAAGGAGAAGGAGAATCCAAGGAGCAGAAGAGGAGAGGACGGCAATGGAAGTTCGGGGAAACATAACACCAGAAGGGCAGGACAAAAAGGGTATATTTAAGTCATAGGTAAAGGGCGCCGCATTGGTCTAGACGATTAGTGTTCAGGGTCACGATGCACGCGTGTGTCGAGAGTCGAGAGACTGCGAAGCTGCTACATCGTCGACTCCACGGTCGTAGTGCGACGGAAGATTGGAAGATTTTTCCAATGCCGGACAGCAAGGGGATGACGAATGACGTTGACGGCGACAGTGACAGCGACGGGAACGGTGGAGGGGACGACGGCGCTAATGGAAACCAAGCCTCCGGGACAGGACAGGAACGGGCAACAAAACGGGCCCAACGATCCAAACGGTGCTAGCTGAGGAATTGTTCGATAAAAGGGACGGACGGATACGAAGTAACGGCTTAAAAAGCTTCGTCCAGCCGCCCTCTTCTTCGGTATCGGCACTGGACTGGTGGGCTAACGGCTAACCTTGGTTAGTGGCGAAATAGGGTGGGGGGATGTAGGGCTGAAAGACAGAGAAGAAAAGAAGAAGAAAAAAAGAAGAGAGGGATAAGAAGAACGGAATCAGTTGGGATGGCGAAGAAAATGAAACAGAACGAAGCAGATGTTGAGATGTCGATAAAAGGAAAAAGCTTAATTTTGGGGTCGTGATGGTCATGGCGTGATTAGTCATTCGTACGTGAGTCATGCCTTCTTCGAAAATCTAAACGTTTTTTTGGCAATCAACGGGTCATCCGTACCTGTACCTTCGACACGAGCGCAATTGCGCAATCAATGCGTACCTTACCTTACATAACCTCCACTCGACGGCTGGAATGCTCCTGCCAATGTGTGGCCCTCAGATGATACGCCATCTATCGCGTATTCCTCGAAGTCCTTGCGGAGGAGAATTTATCTCAACGCAGGTACCCGCCCGCCCATGTATCCAAGAGCGTAAGGTAGAAGTAGAAGTACGAGGCATCCGTCCTTCGTTCTACCTACCTTACCTTACCTTAGGTACCTACCTTACCTTACCTTAGGTACCTACCTTACTTTACACTAGGTATGGTAATTCCTCTATGTACCTGCGGTACTTGCTCGCTGACGTCTCCAATATTCAGACTTTTCTATCCTCCCCACTGTGCCCACTTTGAGGAGTCATTTCCCGCTTGGTAAAACACAAAACACAACAAAAACACGCCCGTTCCAATGCCAATCCACTTTTCCGACCTCCACCTCCAACCTTGGAATCCGAGATGTTTCGTTGCATCTCCTCCATCTCCTTGGTTATTCGTTCCTCTTCGGCCAGATAAGAGACTGAAACAACCATGTCGACGTTTGATTTTATTATCCGAGTCTGGACCCTTCGGGAATGCGAGTCCAGGATGACCCAGACATTCATGGCCCCCTCTGGATCTCCGTCATCCACGTTATCCGTTGACGGTTGCACCGACAAGAAACTCTTGGGTCTCCGCTGTTTCGGTCTCTTTGTTGGTTCCGGGTCCCGGTTTTTGGCATCGCCAACCAATACTACGGAGTAATAACTGACCTCGTACAGGTATGTGCCACTCTTTCTCGCTTCTAGGTCCTCGTGTCCCTATCTCTATTCACTCCTTCCTTGGACGATTCTTGGCTTCACTTGCCCCAATTTTTTTCGCTTTCCCCTTCGCGTCATATGAATCTTCTTATCCGCCCCTCCTCTCTCGTTCCTCTCCCTCCTCTCGTCCATCTCGTTTGCATCTCTCACATATACTAACTGCTTAACTAACCCATTGAAAGCCCAATTCGCACATTTCGCCAGAGCTGTTCTTGCTATTCCCGCCATTCAACGCGTCATGGTTGGGTTTCTCCCGCACCTCGTCTGCCTCGAGGTCGATTAAAGCGCCTGAAACAGTCGAATTGAGGCACCACAACCGAACGAGCCGGAGCACCAAGACCATCCTCTCAATTCTGTTTAGCCCACTATATCTCGATATCGATCCGTTCCGAACCCCGATAATCCGTAATGTCATCCAGAGAAAGCGCAGGACCCGCCAGTCGGGATCCCTCGCCGCCCCGGAGCTACCCCAACCACACCCGCTCCCATTCCGATGGTCCTAGGAAGGAGAAGAAGCGCGTTGGATTCACTGGCGACCCCCTCGACCAGCGCCTCAGCAGTCGTGACGAGAGTTCCCTTCATCCTCCCCCTGCCCGAGCTCATGCTGAAGCTCATGCTCACGCCCACACCATCTTCCACTCCCCTGATTCGCCCAATTCCCCCAGAGATCACGACTGGGGCCTACCGACGGCCACATCCGATAACGGCCCTTCGCCTGTTGAGCTGCGTCGCGCCCTGACCAGGATCCTTGTCACCGAGGCGGAGGACTCTGATCCAGGCTCCTCCGGCTCCGGCTCCGTCCCCGGCCCCAACCCCAGCCGGCCTCGTCCGACATTGCGTCGAAACACGAGCTACGATACCCCACAAGAGAAGGAGCAGGCCGACCTGGCAGAGAGACTCACCCCCTCTCGCCAGCAAAAGTCAGGAGTCGAGGCGAGACAGCGCGCCTCCCGCCTCGCCGTCAGCGTCGAGAGCTATTCTTCGCCACCCTCTCGCCGGGGGTCCAATGATATGACCCGGCAGCCTCTCCACGAAGTGGAGGAGGAGGGCCAAACCGAGAAAGAGGAAGAACAAGCAGCTCCCCCGTACGACAGATCCGACCACAACGACCGCTATGACCGCGACAACCGCGACAACCGCGACGAAGCCACCAGCACTGCCGTCGATCACGGCGCCGAATCGAGTTTACGTCCGAGGAAGACATCCCACGTGGCCGCCGAAAATCTCGTTCGCGCCCATACGCAGCGCGCCAGGAAGGGGATAGATCAGCCCGAGCTCTTCAGGTTCAATGCCGAGGACGCCCCTTTCTCCCGCCCCGGTACCCCCACCGACGAGCAGGACTATATCGACGACTACGTGCCCCGACCCGAGATGTACCGCGGCGGTGTTCTGGGTCTTGTCCTGAAGCTGTACAACGGTGCCAACGGCGGCAACAGCGGCGACGCCAGCGGCCGCAATACCCCCGTCACCTCCACGCCCAACACATCGCCTCCGACTTCTGCCCCGCCCTCGAGGCCTTCGTCTCGCCCGCCCTCCGGGCCGCCGTCCAGGCCGGGGTCCGTACCGAGCTCCCCGAAGCGACCGTTGTCCAGGCCCTCCAGCGGCTTCTTCGGTTACCACAAGTCACAGGGCTCCAGGTCCTCTCTCGCCCTCAACGAGCTGATGAAGTCCACGTCGGCCCTCATCGCTCCTGCCTCGGCCGGCGTGTCGGGCGGCGTCTCGGAGAAGCTCAAGAAGGAGCCCATCCCGTCGTCGGGCAAGAAGCCCGGCAAGCCGGCGTCTCGGGGCTCCCACGGGACCAAGGAGAAGAGGAAAGGCGACGACCAGGTCCGCATCACCAAGCACATCGCACAGATCTTGTCGAGACACAGGTACCTTGCCAAGCTGTGCCGAGCACTGATGACGTACGGTGCCCCCACCCATCGGCTGGAAGAGTACATGGCCATGTCGGCCCGCGTGCTCGAGATCGAGGGCCAGTTCCTCTACCTCCCCGGCTGCATGATCATCAGCTTCGACGACAGCAGCACCCATACCACCGAGGTCAAGATCGTCCGGGCGCCGCAGGGCCTCGACCTGGGAAAGCTGCGCGACGTCCACGACCTCTACAAGGAGGTGGTCCACGATCGCATGAGCGTAGACGATGCCATCGTCAAGCTGGACCAGATCATGGCGCGGAAGCTTAAGTTCAGCAACTGGATCCGCATCCCCCTCTACGGCCTGGCCAGCGCCTGCGTGGCGCCCTTCGCCTTCCAGGGCCGCTTTATCGACATGCCCATTGCCTTCGTCCTCGGCTGCCTGCTGGGCTTCCTCCAGCTCATCCTCGCGCCGAGCAACGAGCTGTACGCGAACGTCTTCGAGATCACCGCCGCCATCGCCACCTCCTTTTTAGCCCGTGCGTTTGGGTCGATCCGGGGCGGCGACCTTTTCTGTTTTTCCGCGCTCGCCCAGAGCAGTATCGCACTGATCCTCCCCGGCTACATGGTGCTCTGCAGCAGCCTGGAGCTGCAGTCGCACAACCTGGTCGCCGGGAGCGTGCGCATGGTCTACGCCATGATCTACACCTTATTCCTGGGGTACGGCATTACCATCGGCACCGCCCTGTACGGCCTCATCGACCAGGAGGGCGCCACGTCGGAGACGACCTGCCGGGGTCCTCTGGACCGGCGGTGGCACTTGCTCTTCGTGCCCTGCTTCACCCTGTGCCTCTGCATCATCAACCAGGCCAAGTGGAAGCAGACGCCGGTGATGCTAATCATCTCGCTGGCCGGTTTCGTCGCCAACAGCTATTCGAGCGACTACCTGCAGGGCAACACGCACATCTCCAACCTCCTGGGCGCGCTCACAGTGGGCATCATGGCGAACCTCTACTCGCGCCTGCGCCGCCACATGCACCGGTTCTGGCACCGCCTGGTTGACTGGTACCGGGACCGCGTCGCCCCGCGCTTCCTCCCCGCCAGCCGCCGGCGCCACCGTAACATGTCGGGAGCCAACGCACCGCCGGCGTATCAAGGAAACGGCGGTCACCATCCCGTCCCGCTGGCGGACCTCGAGTCGCGGCCCGGATCGCCTACGGCGTTTCTGGCCGATGGGGACGACGAGAAGCCGCAGGACAAGGGGAAGCGGCGGAGGAGGACGAACACGGGCTACGGCCTCGCGGCTGCGGCCATGCTGCCGGCCATTTTTGTCCAAGTGCCGTCGGGCATAGCGGCGGGCGGCTCCCTCCTCGCGGGCGTGACGTCGGCCGACCAGATCACCAGCACCATCAACGGCACGGCGACCGCTGTCGAGGATTACAACCTGAACGGGACGGCCTTTACCGTTCTCTTTGCCGTCATTCAAGTCGCCATCGGCATCACGGTCGGACTGTTCCTCAGCGCCTTGATCGTGTACCCTTTCGGCAAGAGGCGCAGCGGGTTGCTCAGCTTTTGATTTTCATGCGGAGCATCGATTCGAATTGCATTCCAAATAGACCTGTTTTTTCTTTCTCTTGCCATCTTGTTCGGTTGGTAGAATCAGAAATATTGGCATTATAGAGTGAAGTCGGGGGATTGGATGGAAGATAATAGACGGTAATGATGGGGATAATGGAGTTTTTGATGCACATGGGGAAGATGGACGGGCCCAAGGCGTTTTGGCAGAGAAGACGGTACCAACATGATGATACGCACAATATACAGCTAGAACCGGAAAGTTTCTAACATGCAATTTTCGGAAATAATACTGTTCCAAACCATGAATTAAGAAATAGATTATTATTATTTTTTCGAAAGAAAAAAAGGAAAGGAAAAGAGAGGAGAGGAGATGATTGAAGAAACAAAAAAAAATGGTGATCTTGGTAGGGTGTTCCGGTGTTCCCTATGCTACGGAGTAAGGTAGTGTATATATGGCGGTTAAGAGACAGACCCATCAACGTCTCCGTGGCGCAGCGGTAGCGCAGTAGTCTCATATCAGCAATGAATATGACCAAGTCGAAAAGATTTGGAGACATCTAAAGGTCGTGAGTTCGACCCTCACCGGGGACATCCAATTCTTTTTTTGTTCTTAAGTATAACCAGCCCGAATTGTTATTCAGCCTGGTACACTTTTATCCTAGCAGCGTACCTTAAAAGTCTTGTCTACTACGACTCTGTAAGGCGATGCATGTAATGGAGTCAATAGGTGGAAACATAAAGGCAGGTAGTCTCACCATCCATCATCAACATGATTCCGAGGCTTTCACGGCATCTCCATGTAACAAGTAGTGTGATTAGCAAGTTCTGATTATACAGCCTTCATTATAACTCTTCAAGGACCCAGCAGACCTGGATCTTCCGAAAGAGCCCGAGCAAAATTATCAGAGTACGACCCATGTCGTATAATAAGCACCTCAGCGACCCCAGAATCTTATCCATCCCTGCTCTGCTGCCCTTTCGTTTCCCCCCTCTACCCACCCTTTACGATAATGCCCATCGCATAGACTTTAAATGATGAACCCGTTAATGACCCCAGAGTTGGTGCCTTAGACCCTCCTCCCGTAGCATCGGTAGTATACCCGGGGCAATCCGTGTCCTAAACGCAACGTACAGAGCGGAAACCAAAAGCAACGTGACGACGTTGTCCCGAAACTCCCCATCCTCGTGGTGTACTTCCTTCGCACCCCCCTGATCCCCGGGGCGCCCACCACCTCCTTAGGTACTTACTCCGCGGGAATATCACTCTCCGAGTCTGAGCTTGAATCAATCTCCACAGGCTGATACAGAATCCCGCCACCAGTTCGTGAGGGCATTGTTTTACTCTGCGCCGCCATGGTTGTCGATGACGATACGGACCCCCGCGGCACCGATGTCGCAGCAGCAGCAGCAGCAGCGGCGGCGGTCAAAGCAGTAGGATCCTGCACCGCCGCCGTCGCAGACGTGCCGTGCAGCCCACCATTCATCTCCGAAACAGACAGCGTCTTCAAAGGGGTGGGCGGCGCCGCTGCCGTCGAACCAGAACCAGAACCAGAACCAGGACCAGCGAGCCTAGGCCGTTTATCGGGCGGCGCCCAAGCGACCGACCCGCCGCCGCCGGGCCGCTTGTCGCCCGTCCTGAACGACGAAGTATAACCGCCGCCGCCGCCGCCGCCGCCGACGGGCGTGTGAGAACCGGTCGACGGGCCCGGCGACACCTCGAACCAGCTGCGCTCTTCGTCGAGCTCGTCCTGGTCTCGGCGCTCGCGGATGCGCACGCCGTACTTGCGCCGGATGGTGCTCATCCTGCTGTTCATGCAGTTCCGCAAGCTCTGCAGCTGCCGAGTCAGCTCGTCCCGGTCTGGCACCGTCTGGCGCGCTTGGTCGGCACGCGTCTTGTAGGTTTCTTTGGCGAAGAGGAGCTCCCGGTGCATGGAGGCGTTGGCCGCCGGGCTGATCTCGTCGAATATCTTAACATCCCGATGTTTGATGCCATGGCCGAGAGAGGAGGTGGTGGGGGTGCTACGGCCGGGTCCACCGGGCGTTGCGAACGACGACGGCTGGCTGGATGAGCGGCCGGCCGGTGGTGCTGCTGCAGGTGGCGGAGGCGCGTAGCCGGCGATGTCGCTCTGGATGAGAGGGGGTGTATCGTCGGGGCGCTCGGCGGGTCTCGCGGCAGGGGTCCTGGCGGGTGTTGCGGCGGGATGGGGAGCAGCCGGAGACGACGGAAACTTCAAATCGCTGTTCTTTTCCTCGCCGCACACTTTGTTGACCGTGTGATAGTGGAGGCCCATATTGCTCACGAAACCTTGGCCGCATCGGGTGCAGGTCGCATGCCAGCCACCTCGCGGGATGGGCTTTTTACACACCAGCTTACGCACATGCTGTATGGTTTTGTTTAGTAAGAAACGTAACTTGACGGTAAAATAAAATAAAAAATAAAAAATAAAAATAAAAATGAAAAAAAGTCAAGGAAAACTTACATGCCCATAGGGACCCTGCGAGTCGAACGAGCGCATGCAAAGAGGGCATTGGCGTCGTTTTGACGATCCTGGCAAGGAGGATGGGGGAGGTTTCTTGAAAGAATTGCCGGCGGGCGTCGGCGTATGGGGTGGTGCTGGGGGTGTGTGCTTATGACGCGACAGCGTGATGTAATTTGGACGCGACGCTGAGGCTGACGGGTGACCATTCTGGAGCCGTGGCTTCGGAACTGTCGAGGCGGGTTTGGGGCGAGACTGATGGGACGAGACCGATGGGTAAGGCTGCGCCGGACGAGGTTGGCCGACGTTGGCAGCAGTCGTGTTGACAGAGGTCGTTTTAGGAGCGGTCGTGTTGGCAACAGCAGTGTTCTGGTGGGCAGCGAACGGTCTGGTCGCGGGGTCAAGCGGCGGGAAGACGTTCTCGTTCGCGTCCGCGACAATGTCGTCAGCGTCGTACCCGAGGCGCTCGGAGCGGGCCAGAGCGTTGAGCAGAGACCTGGCGGGAATGGTGGGCAGACGAGCCTGGAGGGCCCGGTCGAGGAAGCGGTCGCTCGCCTTCTGGATAACAACCGGGGCGATGTCGTCGAGAATCTCCGTGGTCAGGTGCTGGGCAAAGGCGCCTTTGGTGTCCTGGATTAGTTTTTGTCCAAAGTCGCGCAGGGCGCGGTTAATGACTTCCCCGCTGGCGTGGTGGACGGTGGCATTTGCCTGGGACGAGAAGAAAGAATGGTGTTAGCCAAAAAGAGTCGAGGGGGGGATTTTCCGCGGTGGGGAAAAAAAGAAAAAAAGAAAAAAAGAAAAAGAAAAAAAAAAAGAAAAAAAGAAAAAAAAAAGAAGAAAAAAGAACCCCGGAAAAACTTACAATAAAAGCCAAGTGATAGTCGGAACCCAGGAGGCATTTGTGCCAGTTGTCTCGAACGACCGATCGAACGGCCTGGGGGGATGCCATATGGATAAGGCGGCCGAGCACCTTGCACTCGTCGTTGAACTTGGCAGCCGGCATGGCCGGCACGGCCGGCGTTGCGCATGGGGGGCTCGGGATGTGCTCGCGTGGATGCAAACCCGGCCGCGGCTGGTTCAGGTCGGCCGGCTGAGTAAGAGGTGGCGCCGCATAGGGTAGCTTCCACTGCTGAGCAAGGTTGGCCTGTGTAGACGGGAGAGGCTGTGCTGGATGGACCGGACTGGTAGGTGGTTGGCTTGAGGGGTATGAGAGGGAAGGGTTCGAGAGGGAGGTTGGGCGGGATGAAACCAGTCCATTCGAGGGCAACGGCGCAGAGGACGGCTGATGGTTCGTGCCGAAAGATGACTGCGGCTGGGAAAGAGTCTGAGGGGGGATTTGTGACGCCGGTAGCTCTATGGCGCCTGTCGAGGCACTGGTCGAGGGTCCTGCAGAGTTAGGGCGGGACACGGGGCCAGACCAAGACGAGCCTGGATTCACTGGCGGCAGAGAAGACGGGCGGTTGGGAGGGGCCGAGACGGGATCACCGTTGGTGGCGATGGTTGTCGTCGTCGCCGTCGCCGTAGCCGCGGTCGCTGATGTGTTGCCTGTCTTGTCGGCATTGGCATCGACGTCAATGGCAGAACGGTCTTCTGCGGCTCCTTGCGCAGCATTCGTATTCGCCACGGTAGGCGAGGTGCCTTCAGTGGGAACAGGGACGGGAGAGGCGTCAGTTGGCTCTGGAGAAGAAGGCTTCGAGAGCACGGAGGGGGCATCGACCATAGGTATGTCGTCGGCATGCTCCGTTGACTCGGGTTCCTGGCCGGCAGACTGGCCTCGGTTGGCCGATTGGGACGACCAGTTGGCGTCTGGCTGGTTGCGATTTTGAGCGTCCCGTCCAGGACCTTGAGTTTGTGGTTCTGTATCTGCCCCCGTGGCTGGAGAATCGCTAACCGTCGGTGTGGGAGACAGACGAGGACTCGCCCCCGAAGACACGGTAGAAGAGGCTGCGGGACTGGCACCGGCAGTCGCAGAAGCAAGAGTCATGGCAGGGACCGCGTCGTTCCCGTCCGTCTCTGCCAATAGTTGGCTAAGCGGGCTATGGCCGCGACCGATGGGATCCCCGTCCCCCATCACGCTGTCCGCCAGTTCTTGCATGCCTGCAGGATGGCAGGAGCCTGGGGCGGAAAGAGGCCACGAACAGGAGAGGGTAAGGATAGAAAGAAGAATATGAATAAGAGGGAGAAGAGTAGAGAAAGGCAACTGATGGAGATGAGATGAGATGCGAATTCCTAGTCTCACGGACTCTCACCGATTGCCAAACAGGTGAGCTCTTCTGAGTTGAGCGGCCTGGCTGCAATCCAGCCGATGGACCAGAGCGGAAAATCCGATCTGCAACATTGTTAATCAGTCTTGCTTTGACGTATTGTCGCGTGGTTACGCAGGCGTTGACTTACCTCCTGGACTGGCAGAATTCTGGGGCTGGCGTTGACAATATACACGACGCGCCTAGCTCGAGGGTGGCTATCGAGGTCGCGTTTTGTTAGGCAAAAAAGTGTTTAGAAAGTGGGAAGGCGGAAAACGAAAACGAGGCGGTTTAGTTATATTAAAAGAGGAAAGGGGCCATGCAATAAGTAAGTGGGGTAAGATAAGTGGGACTGATATAAATTTTTAGACCCTAATTCATGCACTAACCCAATTTGACAGGTCCACCTTTCCTATACTGGTTATTTTAGGGACTAGTGACAAAGGCGTATATACCTTAACCAAGCAAACTTATTTGGCTGTAGAGACGGAACAACAAAGGTACAGCTGTTCCGCGGACAGGAACGGCCATATTAAAATCTTCCGAACCATTTTTCTCTCCTACATATACAGATCAGTTCAAGAAGCTTGAATTGAAACAGCACATTTGCGGCTGTTTTTATGCTGTTTATCATATCCACCGGTTTGTCGCGGTCAACACCGTCTTGACAATTATTCGTTAGGATCTTGGCACAACTATTCGTTCGTGCTTCCTTGCAGGCGCGTTTAATGCGCGATTACGTAATTGAGCTTTTGCTTACTGTACCACGAAGCAAAGTATCGAGACTAGTAATTAGCTCTACCTTAGGTACTATTTGGGTTTGAATTAGGTGCAGGGAATGCTCGGTCGGACATGGACGAGCTATGTCAGAATATTCGGGTCAAGGTACACGCGGAATTATCCATATTCTATTCCCCTAGACTAAGAGTATAAGTGCGCCCCCCTAGATTAGAGAAGATATCTTATGTTCACACTATTTATCGCACCCTAAGGGCGTCCTTTTAAATCCTAGAAGCCCTAGGTTTTATAGTACTGGCTGGCCAGAGATATACCTAGATAGGGCATAATAGGTATTATATTAGCGTCGCGGTAACGCTTAAGTGACTTCCCCTATATCTTTACCTACTTATTAAGCTTTTTAAGGGTATTCCTAGACATCTAGATATACTTAGTATACTTATTATAGATATTAGTCTAGCACATAATAAGATACTAGGGAGTATCGTAGTAGATGTTGTTATAGGCCTTATAAGGCGTAGCACTATATAATAGTTATTTACGGCTTTTAGTAATAATAGTAGCCTACGATATTTATACGACGTTAACGCCTTTAAGGTATTCGTCGAATTAGAGCTTTAGTATCTTCTAAAAGTTAATTGCCGTTTTATAAGAGTATTACCTATTAGTCGTTAAATCCGTAGTCTATATAAACGTATACCCTATAATTATAACGACTTAGATAGCCTAGAAGTTAGTATAGTCGGGTAGGTTAGGTTTCTATAGAGGGAATACCGGGTTACTAGGGTCTAAATATCGCTAAACGTTATTAAATATAGCTACTAATTTATAGCGGCGGCTCTAAAGCTCCTAGTCCTTATAGATATAATAGACTATAGGGCTCGTCTTATTTATCTTGCCGAAGGTGCGTTACTAAAGTAGTTATTTTAGTAGGATTATAAATAGTTCTCGGTTTACTATAGCTTTGCCGGCTAGTATAGCCGTTAAACGGTAGTAGAATAGGTAAAAGAATATACCGTAACTTAGTAAGTAAGACTCTTAATTATTAAATATAGTATAACTAGAACCGTTAAAATATAGTTAAAATCTAGGGGTTAAAATCGTCGATTTATTAAGATAATTATATACAGTTATATTACCTAGAGGACTAGTAGGGAACTACTGCCACCGTTTTATCTATAGTAGAAATTCTATAGGTGTCTATTCGCCCGGATTACCGAGGTTATAACTATAAGAGACTACGGTTTATTTAATATCCAACACAGGACTATTAGGGAACTACTAGTACCGTGATATCTATAGTGAAAATTCTGCAGATATCCACCTAGATTACCGAGGTTACATTGCTCGGGGAATTCCGTGCCTGTTACGGAACCGTAAAAACTACGGTCTGTGTCTGTTTACAGTGGGTGAGTAATAATTTGGGTATATTTGATAGATCCAGTGATTCGTTACTTTTGCAAGATAACATGGTTTTGCCCTGATAGAAAAGTGTTCCCCAAAAGCTTCGAAACATTCTACTTTGGGTTATCCCGAAACTTTTGCTCACTTACTGTAACAGTCTGTGCGACAGACAATTCATTCAAAAAAGGCCGATACAGGAGACGCGTTCTATTAGGTCAAATAGCCTATTAGTCGCGATGACCTCTATCTCTTCTAGTGCCCGCCAAAGCCAAACTTGCTAATAAGGTTATTTAATGCCTCTCAATTAAAAGCTAAGTCAGTTAAAAAACAAACCCAGCTGGCATATATAATCCTCATCTGCTGCTCAACTGGGATGTCTTGACTTTTTTTTTCTTTTTAAAGAAATAAGATAGCACGTGGGGATATTTCAGTTCACGAGCAGGCGGCAAGCTTGTCTCCTCCTCCCTTGTCCCTTGTCCCTGGGTCAATCACTGCGGCCATCACAGCAACACGGAGAAGAAAAAAGAAAAGGGAAAAAAGAAGAAAAAAACCTAACCACCACGACCACGCCGACCACCACCACGAGCCCGACCACTTCGGACCTCCCGGCCCCGACCTCGACCCCCCTCTCGGATCCGAGAAAACCGGGGAGCAACCACAGTCTCACCCACCCTCAACGCACTCCAAAACCTCCTCATCGTCATCACGGGATTCCAACCCCGCCTTTGCGCCATGGTACGCAATGGAACATGCACATGGCAGTACCACCTGTACCGCCGAGGTCTGCTCGGACGACCACCACCAGGCGGGCGGGCGACCCAAAAACGCTGAAACGCCTCGAAACGCTCTCCCTAGAAGCTTTCCAGGCTCTCCTCGTCGCGGATCCCAAAGATGACGCGCAGACGATGGCTGACCATCACGTCGCGCAAATGAACGAGACGCAAGTATCGTCTAAGCCATGCCCCCTCGTCCCAAACGAACCGGGTCGTCCCCGCGCCCTCGTCGTCCCCCGACACGCGTTTTTCGACGACAAACTCGTCAATCACGCGCGCCCAGCCCTTCTCCATCGCGTTTTGGTGCCGGCGCACCCAAGCCGCGAAACCCGCATCCGAGAAGCCGTACCAGTGTTCGAAGCGCGGGATGAGCCGCTCGAGCCGTATCATGACGTTTCTCTCCTCCGCGGGCGTCCAGGGAACGCGCGCCGATCGGGGTAGCTCGGGCCAGGGGAAGAAGAGCGCGGTGAGCATCTGGTCTTTGTATGTCCAGGGGTCGTCGGTTGGCATGGGGTTGACGCGGAACTCCTCTGCCCACCTGAAGCCCATTGGTGCCATTGGGTCGATGAAGGGCGGGGGCTCTTGCGTTCTCAGACTTCTGGGTAAGGGGGGGATACGGGCGAGGATGAGCGCATGCCACGTCTCTTCGGGAGGCGAGGTAGTTGCTGGCTCGGCGCTGTTGAAGCTGAGGATCCCGTGGTTTGAAATTAAATCCATGGTGGCTTGCTCTGATGTCGTGAGGTTATTTGCTTTTTTTGGCGGTTTCCTAGAATTCGGGCATATATATCAGCTGGGACTGCTTCGACGAAGACGAGGCAGCTGAGGGCACCAGGGCAATGAAGTGGGAAGACATACTCGGAAATTATGTAGACAAGGCAAATTGTCTCAACTGCCAACTACCAAGGGTGAAAGGTTGACAACCAGGAAATGGCCAAAATGGAGATTCTTCAGAAACACTTCTGGCAGACGAGTTGAAGAAAAGAAAAGGCAATGTAGTAGGCAAAAGAGGGTGGTTCAGAGGTATTATATATACTCCAGGGAGGCTCCCGGGTAGAATGAGTTTTCCATAAGGTCAGTCACGGGTCACAAGAGATATAGTCACCTGGTTAGTATTCTCGGCAACTCGTAGGGACAATTTGTGAAGGTACAGGCGACTCGTCAGAACGAATTATAAGACTCTTGAGAAAATTCATAGAGGTGGTCCATCATGGCCGTGCCATTTCACACCTGGGGACTATGAGAGTTAAATCTTCTTTAAGGTTTCTGCAAGGGAACAAGGTGTGAGGCGTCCCACCATTAACGTAAAGAAAAAATTATGATATTGATATTACTGTTGCTGTGGACTGAGGGTGATGGTGTAATCTTTTCCTTCCATACCGGCGAGGTATCCTTAGGTATCCTACCTATTCTTAGAAGCTTGCAAACCCAACCTTACCAAAACGCCCACCCCCCCCGGACCACAGACCTAGGATTATAGGACAGCCTCCCGTCAAACGCGCTCCCCGATACAGGCCAACATCAGCAGTCGATAGTCGCCGCTTGTCTCGCCATGAATGCGCTTCGCCAACGTATTGCCGTATTTTTGTTGGTACGCAGCCACGACGTTTGCCAGGAAGTTCTTGTCCCAATGGAAGCGTACGACGCGGCTGACGAGGAGGTGGTCCTTAGTTCCCAATCCCTTCATGGAGTCTTCGAGCAACTCGGTTGCGTGCATGTACTTGTCCATGCCATGGCGGAGCTGGTAGAGGAGCGCATCTTCCATGTGGCCAGAGAATTCCTGAAAACACAATGGTTAGTAATAAGAAACGACAAAAAAAAAAAAAAAAGAAGAGGAAAAAAAAAAAAGGCCATACAGATTTGATGACCTGCTCCAAGCTCTTCATAAACTTCCGCCCATAAGCATGGGCAATGGCGCGGATCTGGTTGTCATTGCGCGAAGTGAGGATGCTGCACACAATCATCTCATCCGTGCCCAGCTTCCCCTCGGTGGCGCGATACAAATCCATCACATCGTTCTCCACCTGGGCCGGATCCACCGGCGCCGCGTCCTCGGCCCTTGTCGCGCTCAGGACCATATCGAAGTGACGCTTCGTCTTCATGCTCAGGTCGCCGCGGACGTCCTCTTCCAAGCTCCGGCGGAAAGCCGTGCTGTACGCGTCCTTGATGGCCCTCAGGTCGGCGTTGGAGCGGCCCAGCAGGATGTCGTTGAGGACCAGCTCCTTGGTGCCCGGCCCGTCGAGCGCGGCGCGCAGGTTCTGCACGTCGGACCAGAGCGGCCCGCGGACGATGGAGACGAGGCCCTCGCGGAACCAGCCGCTCGTTTCCGACTTGATGTCCGCTTCGAGGTTGCGTCGGAACTGTCGCTCGAACGAGGCGTTGATTTCCATGATCTGGAGCGGGTCCCTGGTGGCGAGGCAGCGGATGAGGTTTTTTTCGTCGGTGCCGAAGCCTTTCATGGCAGCGCGTGCCGCTGCGGCGTCGGGGTCGGCGTTCCATTGGATGGGCTGTCGAGGAGAGTAGCCGATCGATGGCGGGGTCGGCGGAACTGGAGGGCCGGACGGTGGTGCGCCGTATTGTGGGTATTGTTGGGTTGGAGGAGGCTGAGGAGTACCATAGTAACCCGGCGGTTGAGGTGCAGGCGAGGGCTGACCGTAATTCTGGGGCTGGTTGTACGGAGTGGTGGGAGGGGGTCCTCCATACTGACCAGGAGGCGGGCCAGGGGGTGGATAGCCGTGGGCATGTGGTTGGGCTGGAGGAGGAGCTCCGTACGGAGAGGGGGGATGGGCCCCTTGTTGATAGCCTTGGTTAGAAGGATAGGCTCCTTGTTGGTAGCTCTGAGTAGGAGGATATTGGCCCTGTTGGGGCGGGTCTGAGCGGCTGTTAGCTGTGCGGAGTTTGAGGTTTAGAGTAGGGACAAGGTCAGGGTGACGCACAAGGCCCGTAGCCCTGGTTCGGATATGGATAGGACATAGCAGAGGACTCGGGAGTCGGGACTCCGGGAGTGAGAGTCTGCCGGAGTGAAAGGTATAGAATATAGATATGTTGAGAGACCTCGTCGAATAATCGAGCGAAATGAGCGACGAGAGTGAGAGACGAGAGTGAGCGACGAGAGAGGGAAATGTGCTGGCGAGATGTGGCTGAAGATATGTTGTTTACGAGATGACGCCAGCCAGAGGGAGGGCTTGCTGAAGGTTAAGTAATAAGTACCTTAGTATGCTGCCGTTATGTTTCCGACTGTGGAGGCGAATGGACGGAGAAGGTTGCTGATTAGAATTTAGTGTAGAACTGGGACCCTAAAGGCTAAGGTTGGTGGCGTACGAGGCATCAGATGCGAGGTGTTCAGGTTTGTATCGTGGCTGCGGCATGGACCCGGGCGGCTGAGCACAACGTCATGGTAGCTTTGCCAAGGGACTACCCTATTACGGAGTAGAACAGTAAGTAGTTGGGTGCGACCGTGTAATACCTAGCTAGGTAGGTCGGTAGAGGAGGGTTGGACCGGTTGCTCGAGAACGGATCGGAGCTGACGTGTTGGGGTTTGGTACGATTTTGAATCGTTTCACGGTTCACCGGAGCACTTTTTTCCCCCGTGAGTTTGGAACTGCTTTTGAGGATTCGTTACGTGGCTATGTGACGTTCAACTGTTCAACTGAACCGAAATCGAAGGAGTGAAATGTCAAGTTTGGTGGGACGGACTCTGATGGTGCTGGACGGACTGAGGGGCCAAGGGGGGGTGGGGACGAGCCACTCAAGCTAAGCCACTGGGCCTGCGCGCTGGGATTGGCGTCACAAGCCGACACAGCCACCGTAATATGTACTTCGTAGTCCGCCTCAACACCCCGGTCCAGTTGGTGGCTGGTGAGTCAACTCACAGACATACCGTAAGCCACTCGGGTCATAAAGTGCCTGTACGAAGTACCAAGTAACTTGATGACTACCCCACTCGACCATGCCTGTCACGTGATGGTATGGACGCCAGGGGTAGCTCGTCCATTTACGGATGCTTTGAGCACTCCGTCCAAGGAGGAAAAAAGACCCCAACCACCAACATTTCCCCATCACGAAATCCCATAATTACCAGCCATCCGCAATTCGAGCAACACCAGAATGGATCTCCCAGCCCCGACTACCGCACATATTAACCATGGCCCTCCCATCGGGTTCCTGCATGCTCACCTTTCACCAATTCTCTCCAAATTGTTCAATGATCGACAAGGCGACGACGGATCGACCGACTCCAATTCGCAGTTGCTGCATCCTGCCATGATCCCTCCCTGAGCCGTCTGCCCAATCCCGACCATCGACCCTTCCCAATATTCAACTCGGTTTTTTTTAAAGACTGCTTTGAAAACAAAACAATCTTCAAAGCAGTCTTCCTCGGCCTTATTGGCCTCTGTCGAAATGCGCTTGCTCCCGTCTTCTTCGCTCGTCCTGGCTCTCTCTGCACAGGCCATAGCTCACCCATTCCTCCCCGGCCTGCTCCGCGCGAGAGACGGGAACCACGACGGTACGAAGACGACTGCTACCACCACCCGAGCCGGATATTCCGTCGTTCCCATCGATGGCGGGTGTTCGGGCCCGGACTGCGATGCGCCTACCGTGACTGTCACCAGGTCTACTGCTTCGACGTCCTTGCCGTCGTCCATCGACATCAGCTTCACTTCCGTCATCACCACGCGCACGCGCATCCCTGTCGTGCCCATTGACGGCGCCCCTACGACTGTTATCGTCTATGATCCGACATTAAGTCATTCCTCGACCTCTTCCTCTTCTTCCTCTTCCGACATTGCGAGCAGCACATCCACGAACCCTCCTATAATTTCCCAGCCTCCATCGCCCAGTTCCTCCGAGGCCGTCTCCTCTCTCTCATCAGCGGTGTCTTCCGAATCCTCGATCCTTCCATCTCTTCTCGATCCGACACCCTCTGCGTCTGCGGCTCCGGACGACCCCCCCGACACGGACCCAACTGGACCGATCTCGTCGACTTCCGAGCCACCCGCATCCTCCTCCAGTGTGGAGCACGAGCCTACCATTTCCGTATCCACATCCGTCGAATGGGGCTCAGAACCTCCCCTGCCGACTTCCATGTCATCGGAATTCAGCTCGCGGCCATCATCCTTTGCATCATCCTTTGTATGGTCGGAGGTTTCGCCCACCGTATCCAGTGACCCCTCATCCTCTCCCATACCTACCAGCTTCACCGACTTTCCGACGACGCTTATCACCTCCGTGTCGAGCATTACCGATTTTTCCAGTGCCCAGCCCTCCTTGTCTAGCCAGAGTTTCGACAACGGCCTGTGGCACAGCTCCAAATATCCTTCTTGGAACGGCACTAATAATCGCTATTTCAAATGAGTTGAACATTGTTTGTGGGTGGGACGAAGACCTTGGGCACCAAACGACATAGAAAAAGAGGCAATGATGGGTCATTATTTATAGGGTCTGGAAATCTGCATTGAGAGCGCGGCGCACTTGATTTTGTTTTATTGGGTTTTTCTTTCTTTTCCCACAGGACATATTGTCAAGGGATCAAACACGCCGATCATGGTTATGCATTACAGAACATGATAAACGCAGATCAATCGGTGAACCTGGGCAGGCTGCATTCTGGATTCTGCTATTACAAAAGCAGGCTCACTGACCATACAGTATACTATACTATTGACAGCCTATGTAGATACAATGGGTAGCACAATTGACTCTCGGTATCTCCCTCTATCCCGGGATATCCCATCTCCAGCTCGCTTTCTCAGGTGATCTATCGTAATATTATCTCGCGCATATTACTCTCTCATCAACAAAGCAACAAGACCGACACGGACCTCACATCAGACTGCTTCGCTCAACGTCTCCAGTCTCAGGCATAATCATCCGCCGACAGTCAGGAGTCAGGTTATGCATCTTTGCCAACATACGGCTAATCAATCCTTTGTTCGTGCCACTGGGCATTTCAGCACCTACGTCAATAAACACTTCAGTCAAATTTGACGATTCTCCCATCGGCATAGCCGCACAGAAGTGACAGTAAATTCATTCTTCCGCCTCGCCAGAGAAGTGGTTCAGGGTCAGTCATAAGGGTGAACATCCTGACGCCCGCCCATTTTCTCTCCCACTTGCGAGAGACATATAAGAACCATTGCACGACTACTGACCGGATGACCGGTTATCCAGAGATGTAAGGCGGAAACCACAAGACCTTACACAGGTTTGGGCGAAACAGAAAAATTGCACCTGAACCTGTCATCGTGATGTTCTGACTGACATCAAGTCTTGCTTACATGTAATTACCCTGCTTCCTCTCCTTCCGCCGATCATCAACGCCACTCATCCTCGCTCAACACCATTCTTTTTCCGCATCTCGCAAAGCCGAACAGAAACGAAGTCGTCGCCAAATGGCAGCTCCCCCCCTCCCCGGCCCAGACGGCCCCAGTTTCCTCCCAGACCTGACTCTACCCTACGACAACCTGAACGGCAACGACAACAACAACAACAACAACAACAACAACAACAACAACCTATCCACAACCCTCACCGTCATCCCGATGCCGCCGCAGACGCCCATCTCGGTAGCCACCCCGATCCTCATCTTCACGGGCTCCATCGCCGCGCTCGTGGCTCTGGGCTGCCTCGCCGGCCGGATCAACAGGAGACGTCTTGCGAAGCGGGAGCGGCAGAGACGGACACGCGCCGCCGCCGCCGCCGCGACCGCGAGGGGGTATCAGGGTGCGGGGGAGGCTCAGGCGGGGGGTTCGAAAGGGGGTGTTTCGAAGGACAAGGTCGGCGGCGGCGCGCGGGTTGAGGTTTGGGAGGTTGGAGAGCTGGCGTCGCGGTCTAGCGTTGATAATGTGGTCTAGTGGTTGGAGTCGTTCATTCGTTACATTCGTTCGTTCATACTTTCTTGTCAAGCTATTGGTTTTGGTTGAAAGACGCGGTATCTAATGTCGGAAACTGTTCGGAACTTGGCATCATAGCATCATACGTCATTCCTTCGGACCCATCTTAAAAGTTGGGACCAGCTTTTCGTGCTTCACAGTCTTGAACGCTCAACGACCATGGGGGGTCCGAAGCGGTTCGGGGCCCGAGATTGGGGGGACTAAAAATAGGAATGGACTGGCGGTCCAAGCTTATGTATGTACTTTGTACACATACAACGTACATACGCCCAAGATCTCCTAAGATCTAGTATGTACTCCTATTCCTGATTGGGTATGGTTAGGGTGGAGAGAAATTGGGGATCGTCGAGGGGCGTACTCGGATGAGAGATTCCGTGATGGAGTCGTCTCGTCTCGTCTGTAGGCCTGGTGGGTTGTCCTTCATTTGGGACCGATGTGTGGATAGAGTCAGCCAACTGGTTGTTTCTACCTGCACGATTTGGTTGAGACGACCGGAGCCGTTGGCCAATGTCGAGTTCAGTTCGTGTTTTCGTAGTGCTGGTCCCAAGTAGAAGAGCAAGGCGCTGAGGAGATCCGATGACAGTTTTGGGATGGTATCTGAAGATTAACCAGAGATAGGACGAGCTAGCTACAACTTCGAAGATATTTCTTGGCCAAAGGGGCATAGTTTTATGATTCGGTGCATCAAGGACCAATGGTCAGCTTATCGTTCTAGTATCCCCAGCCGTCCCTCGTATTAAATTAAGTATAATTAAATACCTTGGATTTTCCCTTGTTGACAACATTATCACTACGGCATGTCATTGACTGATATTCCCCTTTTTCAATTGTGTTGCCGTTGACCCCAGGCCAATTCCTTGGCCGAGAACGCCCCTGAATTACCACTTAATTTGAAGGCTGTCGTCGGGAGAGAGAGATGACCTGAAGCCCCCAGTGCCCTCAAAGAACCAACCAAGTGAAGTGGTGAAGGCTGAATACGGATAGATCGTAGGAATATTCGGCAGGTGCCGGTCTCGCTTCAAAATAATTTCCCATGCTCACGGTTCACCGGCGATGCTGTCTCGTCTTGTTTGTCTTGTTTGTTGACAGTTTAATTTTGACGAGTCCCGCCACCGCCAACCAACGACAGGATGGGACTGGCTGGGCTAACCCTGTTCTCCTGTTCCCCTGAAGGGCCCTGACCACGACAGCAAGCACTCGGACCATTTAACTGAACAGGAACAGCAGCGAAATGAGAGCATCTAGTTGACAGGAAGAGGCGGCGGTGGTTTCTTTTACCTTTTTTCCCCCCTTCTTTTGTTTCTTCCTCTTTCGTTCCTGTTTCTCCCCATTCCATTTGTGACAGACAACGCCAACACACGTCAAAGTGTTTCAGCTTCACCTTTTGGCCTACCGTGCCCTACCAGTTCTGCTGTCTGCTTTTTGTTTCATATCCTTCGGCGTTGGCGACTTGATAGCCACAGATTCGGAGACGACGAAGACGAAAGAAAACCGACCTCCGACCGGACCAGTGATCCCAAGATTCCCCAATGACGGCGGCGGATCGACACGGGAGGATCTGACAAAGCAAGGAACTGCCGACGACCAACCCTCCTAGCCAGCCAGACGGCGTGCGTCGATCTGTCTCGGGGAGGTGAACTGTGGACCAAGGACCAAGGACCAAGGAACAGAAGAAGAGAACAAGAAGAAGCAGAAGGAGAAATCCACTTCTTCCTTCGTCCACTTGGTACCAGATCAGCGGTCGGTTCACTGGTCTTTTAGGGGCTCCCTCCGACATTTGACGCAGGAGTGCGTAGTACGGTGTCAGCTCTGCTGCTTTCCCCTGAAGTGATAGGGCGCTGAAGGGGAGTGCTAAGGGGTAAGGGGGCGACGTTGGGGGGGAAGCAGGGAAGCTTAGCGCTGCGCGGTTACCTACGAAGTACGTTGTACATAAGGTATTCGTACATAGGGCCACTGTAACCCTCATCCGTATGGTGCGTACCCTCGCGAGGCATGGTACCCAGAAGTATAGCGGGGCACTGACTCCTTCCGACAGTGAGTAACACCGTATCTAGATACCTCACCTCCCACAACATTACCACTCACTGGAAAGTAGATGCCACTCTCAGGTACATCGGTGGACCCGGCACTAAGCAAACTGTACTTACGCCGTACATGGAACGGATGCAGGATACAGATTACGGCGTATTCATAAGGTACCTAAGGTACGAACACAATGGCTTCCCGACGTGGCCGAAGCCCTCGAGGCAACGACGCCTACAATTCTCACAACACCATTCCGCTGCTTCCTCTGGCACTTGTCCAAGTTCACACCGACATCACCACCGACGAGACTCACGTCGACCTTCCCCTACGGTCCAAGGGGTCCGACGTTGATCTGAAAGCCACCATTACGACCACCATTACCGCTGGTGATTCGGCCTCCGACGACTTTATCACCACGCGCGTCGACGACGAGAACACGACACGCAAGTACGAGATCCGACGTGGTGTCGCCCAGCGCGTGTACGAGGAGGAGGACGAGTCTCAACAAGAGGTGCAGGATCGACACCTTTATTATCCAGGCTTCGAGTAAGTGCATCCATCCATTGCGAAGAATTAAATTTATTTTAAAAGCTGCACATTACCCGCTCATGATGCCTGTCGATTGACCCTTCGAACTCATCCTTCACAGCGACGACAGAAGCTCCTCCTCTCGGGGTTCTACGACAGCGTCTTTCCCTCCTCCCAAACGCCAGAAACGAAACCGATATCGATACACCCAATATCTACACCCGAGCTTCACTAAATTTATCAATATTGATTTAGCCGACGTCCGTCAGTCTACGAACCGCATGAACACCGCGGGCGTTTGGCGGCCGACCTCGACGGTCTATGCGCCGCAGAGTGCTAGTCAGGGACCACCGCACATGAACGGCTACTATGGCGCTGCACCGGTCACTATGGTCAACGCCGACGGCGTTTCGCCTCCTAGCTCGCCCGAGCTCAATCCTGACGACGGGTAAGTTCTAAGGCGGCCCTTTGCTCTTTTTTTTGTTCTTCTTTTTTCTTCTTCTTTTTTCCCCCGGAACATTGTCCCTCGATGCTGTTGCGGGCTTGTACCCTGTGATAATGGCCCGATCGGTGAATTGACTTTGTCGACATGTGCAGCCGACCATTGAACGAGGACGATGTCTCACCGATTGACGAAATGCCGGACATGTCTCAACTCGCAATCGCCCAGAGACACTATCGGCTGTACATGGAAGCGCAGGAGCGACAGGATTTGGAGGAACGAGAGCAACGATACCAGGAGATGCTGCAGAAACAGCAACGACAGAAGCAGCAGCAGCAGCAGAAGCAGAAGCAACAAGAGACTGACGAGCAACACCAACAACCCCAAGAACAACGGAAAACGTCGCCCCGCACGAGGAAATCCCAAAGACCCGACCGGCCTGCATCGCCGCGCCAGCGGAGCAACATCCCCATGTTGCGTCGCGAGCGTCGTAGAAACCAGGACGCCATCGGGACCCGCCGGTCGAGCGAAGCGAACGTGATGAGCGAGCCTACGTCGGGAACTCCCGGGCGCGCGGGCCACGATCAGGGGCACGCTAGCGACTTGTCTAGTGTCCCAGCACGCACGCCACCGCCTCAACCGCAACAGCAACAGCAACAGCAACAGCAACAGCAACAGCAACAATCCCGCTCGTTGGGTGATCGCATCCGAGGAAATACTACCCGCCCTGCTGCTACATCTCGTTCGCCTGCTCCCACCGGAACATCACCGTTATCCTCCATCGACAACCGTCCGGGATGGCGTGGTGCCAGCGGTCGCACTCCTATCGTCGAGCCTGTTCGAGACAACCCGGTCGTGGCGCCGCCGCTTTCCATCCCCCGTAAGAGTAGCAAGCGCATCACTGCTGCCGCCACCAAGGCCAAGGCATGGGCAGCCACCACAGCCACTACCACCTCAACCACCAACAGCACCACCAGCACACCAACCCTTGATCGACCGTCGCACTCCCCATTGTGGCACTCACCATTGGACAGGACCTCGACCCCGTTATCCCCCGTAAGCCCCTCCGATTCTGAAACGTCCATGGCCACAACGGCGCCCACACCAACCATCCGGACCCTGGTTCCTGAGACGCTGCGCCATCGCCATCGCAATTACCCCCCATTATCCGCACCTACGAATACCCGTACCCTTCTCGCATCCGACAATGCCCTGGTGGTTGATCCGGGCAGCCCACAGTCGCACCCCGGTAACAACGACAAGGCCCTCCGCAGGAAACCTCCCCCACCCAACTCTCTTACCACTTCACCCCAGCACAACAGGCACGCTCCTCACGAGTCCGTCTCGTCCAGCGTTTATTCCACCCAGCCTTCGCCTCCCGCCGTCGATCGCTATCGCGATCGCAGCCACGAACCCGAACCCGAGCACGAGCCTGACACTTGGGTGCAGCCGGCGTCGCGATTCAGCTACACCACCTACGCCACGTCCACCAACACCGGCTCGCCCCGCGACTCGATTGACTCGGACCTCCCTCCTATGCCTGTTCAGGTGGTCGAATCCGTCATGGAGCGCAGACGACCCGTCCCGTCCCGCGAGGGAATGAGCGACAACCCGGTTGTCATTACTATGGGGTCGCCTTACATCGGCGGTCGTTCTGAAGGGAAGAAGGCGACGACGGCCCAAACCACCTCTTCTCCCTCTCCCTCTCTCTCTCCCTCTCCCTCTCCTTCTCCTTCCCCCGTCGCCGCTCCTACCGCCGCCATCGCCCCCGCCGCCCTCAACGGCGACCGTCGCCAGTCGATCCTCTCCCTAAGCAAAGCCCTCCCTCCAGCCCCACCCGAGCTGCTATCCGTCAACGACCGCGTGGCGCACCTCAACGCGCGGCTGCAGGCGCTCGGGAACCGGCGCATCAACATCAACATCGCCATCCGGCAGATGACGGAGCTGATGCCGACCGACAACCTGCTGGCGAGCGAGGAGGTGCTGCGCAAGCGCGAGGCGGAGAAGCGCAAGGTGGAGGCCTTCAAGGTGGAGCTCGCCGACGTGCAGCGCGAGGAGTACGAGATTGGGTTGAAGTTGCACCGGGCTTACAAGCGGATGGACCAGTCTGCGGAGTATGAGCCTACGACGTTGTGGGTGAGGCGCATTACGAAGTAAGGGCTGTGCCGGCGGGTCGTTGACTTGACGGTCGGCATGGGGAGGTTTTTTCCTTCTTCTCTCTTCGTATTATGTTTTTTTTTTTTTTTTTTTGTTTTTTTTTGCCTCGTTTTCGGAGACGACATTGGGCGAGCGGATAGTGAGTGAGTAGGCGGTTGTGTGTTGATGCGATGTGAAGATATACGACGTACCACTATAGGCGATTAGCGCAGTTCGTATTTGATACCAATTTGATGGGCTTTTTGTGTGTTTATTCATGTCTGACTTTGACTGGTTGAAGATATCATTGATGTCTCTCTTTTGACTTGCAGCCGGGTGCTTGGTCACTGGTTCCTGCATCCGTTGGAGACAAATGGTATCCGTAGCAAATGCAAGATGTGTCTGTGTGTGTATATGTGAGAGATGGTTTCACTCTCACGCATCACCCCAATACCACGTAGCCGTTACGACGGCCGACGGTCAATTTCTCTAGGTGATGCGGTGTAAGTGGCACGATGCCCAGTGCCCAATGGTGGCTGTCCACGTCCTAGAATCCACGGCGGGTGGATTTTGACATTGTGATTTTGTTGGGCATCAACAGACGGACGTCTTTCCACCTTTAGTCCTACTTTTGGCTTGAACTTCTCTGCATGCATCTCTTTCTTGTGAGGTTAGGTATCTACAATCATTTGATGAGATCGACAGGGGTGGACACCGTGGAATGCGGGATGGTTGTCCGGTCGGGACGTGTGTTAGTGGTTGACTCGGATGTTGGGCTGCGTGGATCTTGCTCCCTTTTCACTGTCAATTATTGCACTAAATCGTCTTCTTTAGTCACTTCATGTTCCTTCTTGACTAGCTTGTGCTCCGTGAATGGTGTCACTGTCTGGAATGTTCCTCCTGGACAATCTCAACTCACCATTTGATATATCCCACAAGGCGAGAGTCGAGACGTCGACCCCCTGAATCAAGAGTCAAGACATGACATCTTACTGCCTCCGTGCCTCTGCCTCACACACACGCCCGGCAAAGAAAATGGCGATACGAAACACATCACAACTCAGACCTCTTCTCATTCTTTCCCTCGTGCTTGCCTTCTTCCTCCCACTGTCTCTGGCAACCCAGACGCCAAACCACCCAGGTCTTCTGGGTAGGTCATATGCATCCACTCTACCAGCATCATCGCCAGCCACTCCAGCCGCATCATCCCTACCGACCTCACTACCGACCTCGTCCGAGCTCGAGAACGCACCCGAACGAAACCGCCAGCTTGCGCGCCGTCAGCAGGCAGAAGGCGCGCCTTGCCCCGACGAGGAAGGCCGATGGAACTGCATGACGACGAGATGGCAGCGTTGCGCCGCAGGACACTGGAGTCCCGTCATGGACATGTCCGAGGGGACCGTGTGCGAGCCGTCTGGGTTGACGTACGACTTTCGAATTCTGCATGAGGGGGACGCTGGGGGTGCTGCCACGAGCGATGCTGCGCCTAGCGGGGCTGGGGCATCCGGGGGTGGGCCTAGAGGGTCTCTCATGGCGGGTATTCGGTCTTTGTATCTTGTTTCGCTTGTCTGTGGGGTTGTGGGAGTTTGGTATGATTTGGGGCTAGGTTCTTGGTGGTAAGGGGGGTGGGAAGGGGTGAGATGGGTGTCAGGAAAAGGGGGCTGGACAGATTCAGGGGTTCAGGATACCGCCAAGAAATTCTTCAACGATTAGTCCTAAACAGGGATTCAGGGCCTCGTTTGCTCCAGTGGAATCAAAATCAAGAAGAAACAAGAAAGGCCAGTTTCATGCAAGCGTTCCTTCTCGGGGCTGCCCTTACTGAGTATATGTGATCTTACTTTATATATAATCCACAATCAATATGAACTAATGTATGGACATGAGGACAGTAGCCCCTGGACAAATATGTACAAATTTGGCTTCCCATATCGGTCATCGAGAGCTGAAATCTACCGTTGTTTCCTGTGTAATATTTATACCCGTCGTATTCCGCGTCGTCCGTGAGGGAGGCTGACCACCGGTGACAGTAACGGCATGGGCGCGCGGCAGGCCCGCCTCCTCAAGCGACTCGAGACTGCTGTTCTCCACATCGCTTTTTCTATGGCCGCCAGCGGCACGGCCGTCACCCAGATGATCCCGGCGATTCGGATTCCCAGACCACAGCTCCGCTTCGTCTTCGTCCGCCGACGTCCATCCATGTGTCTTCTTGAAGCCACCCTCGTCCTCGACGTCATCGGAGGTGTTGTCGCGCGAGAGGCTGTGCAGCTCGTAAGACCTCTCCTGCATCCCCCGCCGCTGCTGCTTCGTCTCATCCCCCATCGAGTTGCCGAGGTTGCCACCCATGCCGTGGGAGTGTGACATCTTGCTGGCCTTGCCGCCTGAGCCGGAGAGGCTCGAGCGGAGAAGGGCGGGCAGGTAGCGCATCACGAAGGGTTTCAGGGCCGGCGCGGCGGCGCACAGGATGCCGACGTTCACTTCGCCGAAGGACCAGTAGAACTGCTCCACTGCTTCCCAGGTGTAGTCTGGGCTGGCCATCAGGGGTGGGAGGATGACGGTGCGACGGATGGCAATGGCGCAGACTCTGTTGAAGGAAAACCGAACCATGTCAACATGGCTCTTTGCATCTTTACAGCGCACCGGGAATGGGTGTTGTTGATAAGAAAAGAAAAGAAGAAAAAAAAAAGGGGGGGAAAAAAAAGGAAATCAACAGAAAACTCAACTCAACTCACAGCACACCCGTCGCAAACAAGAGCAACAACGACAGCTTCTGTCTCCTCGCCATCTGCAGGGGCGCCACCACGGGGATAGGCAATGCCAGGGTGCACACATCCATAACAATGTTGGCGACGCTCAACACCATGTAGGACGTCAGCCTGTCGACGCACGTAGGGTTGGGGACGGTGATGTCCCAGCTAGCCCTGATTGGGGTGCAGCTGAAGTGAAGATGCTGATCAGAACGTAGGCGACGGAGTAGGCGCTGATGGCGCCCATGAGGGCCCAGACGAGCAGGCGGAACCATCTCGCGGGCGACAGTCGGAGGTAGAAGGCGAGGATGGACAGTTTGGAGAAGCTGACGCTCAGGGAGTAGGTTATCGTGGCGCAGACGGTATACTGTTGTGTTGTCGTCAGTTCGACTTGACTTTTCCAGGATTCCACGGCGGTTCTCGCGAGAGACGTACGAGGAGGAACCAAGGCGAGTAATCAGATAAAGGAACATCCCACATGTGGTTGCCCAAGCCGAGTGTTGTCACTACATGTACGGACAAGGCCATTGTGTTAGCAGGCCTCTTGTCGTCTCTCCTTGGCCTTATAGGGCCTGTTGTTGCTCCGCTGGCATCGATCGGGGAGGGTATACAAGTACGGACGTTGTATGAAGAATGCGAAGCGTGAGATGGAAAATATGAGAGATAATAGAGCAAGATCTGGTCAAAGTTAGTGAGCCCCCTACTGGACGTGCTCTGTTCGGGCTTAGGCGGCCGGCGAACGGTGTTGGCTGGGCTTACAATCATCAACACTGACGGTGTTTCGAACAACGTGCGTCCTGGTAAAGAAACGAAGGGCAACAATGACGCCGGCCGCAACTGTGACAACGGCACCAAAGGCGATCAAAGCCGGTGCCAGTGTTTCCCGATCGCTTCCGTACCTCCTGGTCTGGCCCGGAGGGGGGTCGACCAGGTATGCATCGTCTCTCGGCGTCAAATGCCATGGCCGAGGCTCCCTTTCATAAATAGAGAACATGTTGGAGAGTATAATACAGTGGTGGACAGAAACAGAGAAAGAAAACTGACAAAAGGGGAGAAGTATGAATAATAATCAAAAAGGGAGAGAGGTCGAGTAGTTGAGCGTGTCGTGGCTCTCGGCTATCGAGAGCGGGATGACAACTGACATATAATTACTGGATGAAGGCACAACAAGTGCAGGGATTGACTGGGAGAGGAGCAAGTTTTCCGTCTGCCAGGGCCTACCCCTGATGGAATGCACATGAGAGCCGGATTGTATCTCAAGGTTTTGTCTATGATCGTCAAGCAACCTACCTGATATTGAGATCATTATCCACCGACCTGGTTGCCGTTTTCTTCTTTCCTTTCAGAGGATCGGAGACCTTGTCACGGCACTTGACTATCTACTCTGTATCCGTACTTGTGTGGTCATATCAGTTTCAGCCCTTCAAGATATAATATCCCGGAAGAGGCTCCTGTTTTGTTGTGGTCTGATTAACAAGGATCGAGGTATGGACTCGGGGTAGTGAGAATCGAGATAACTAACCTGGTTGCTATACCACATATGAAGCTGCATCTGCCCTTCTTTAATCTGTTTCTGCTTCGGCCATAATCCCGTCGCTGTGGTTATTAGAAAAGAGAAACGAGATGAAGAATACCGAGGGAGCGGAAATACACGTAGAAAAAGGGGCACAATGGGCCCAGGGGAAGCCGTTGGCCGTGGGGCATCAAGCCGCACGATGCATCCTTTCCGGCGAAGAAATTATAATGTTTGACGAGCACCGTCTTGATATAGTTATCGAGATTGAAGTTCTTTATCTGCTGCATACATGTAGTCAATGCACGAGGGCTCCGGCTGAAGAACGGGGGCGCAAGACGCCGAGTCGCAGGCGGCAGAATCGCCGATCACACCCGCCCCCCGCGTAATGAATCAGACTCCTCAGCCAAGAACAAACAAACCAGTGTCACAAACAGGGGCAGACATCAATGATATCGAGAAAACATGGCATACTATCTGGCGAGAATGGACGCAGACATGGGTCGCTAGCATCACACCTTTGCATTCATGTACACTACAGACGCGCGAAAGCCGCCATAAGTTCATTACCACGGGCGTACAGTCGTACTTATTAGGCCCCCCTGACCTCCTCCACAATACCAGGGGTTTCCCTCTCTGTTTATTGAACTGCTTCCCTTTTTTGTGCGAGCACAGACGATCCCTCCAGGTCTATCGAGGACACATCTCCAACTCTCAGCCCAGCCCGATATTATCCCTATTCTTCCGATCACCACCATCATGGCCGACCCGTACCCCTTCAAGGACAAAGTCATCACCGTTACGGGCGCAAGCCGGGGCACCGGGCTCGCCCTCGTTCGGTACTTGCTCGTCACGGGGGCTACCGTGTCCGGATGCGCGACGTCCGAGGAGAACCTGGCCAAGGCCATGGCCGGTATCGAGCAGGATCTCCCCGAGCATAAAGAGCGGGTCTGGTTCAAGGCCGTCGACATCAGCAAGCCGGCCATGGTCAAGGCATGGATCGAGGAGACTGTATCGAAATTCGGAAAGCTTGACGGCTGTGCGAATGTTGCCGGTATGTTATAACTTGTAACTTATGCCCTGACTCTCCTTGCCCATCGTGCACTGATTCCCCCCACCTCCAAGCTTTTGTCTCACCTGGCTAACTAATGAATCGATAGCCAGGGAGCAGCGGAAGATCTACCCGATGACTGACCTCGACGCCGACTATTTCAACGACCTGATCAACATCAACGTCTCGGGGCTGTTCAACTGTCTCAAGGAGGAGATGAAACACATCAAAGACGGCGGGAGCATCGTCAACTGTGGTAGCGTCACCAGTCAATACGCATCGGCAGGCGTGGCAGCCTACGTGGCAGCCAAACACGCCGTCATCGGCCTCACCAAGGTCGCCGCCTTTGAGGGTGCACCCCGCAAAGTACGGGTGAATGCACTCTGCCCGTACGTCCTACCATGTCCAAGGAAAACCCCCCCGTCTGCGTCTAGTTTTTGAGCTGGAAAGACTAACTAACAGATCGTCGACTCGTGACTGGTGAGGACAGGGGTTGTATCGACACGGAGATGATGGCAGAGCCATTTGATAGCCCGCTGGGCCAGTTTACTCTCACGGCGGATAATGTCCCCATTCTCCTGAAGGGTCGGCTGGCCGAGACTCGCGAGATTGCTGCCTCGATAGCCTTCTTACTTGGAGACGAAAGTAGGTATGTGACCAAGGCGACTTGGTTTGTCGACGGTGGTTGGACCGAGGGTTCCTACAGTGTGTAGGCAGAAAGTAGATGTAGGATGAGTATTCGTAGCAATTGAGTCCAGGACTCGAGATGGCCATCTGAAAATCAAACATTGAATTCAACAACCAGCCCCACGAGCCCCCTAGTCCTGTGCTGGGACGGCTCGCTCCAGCCAAGACACCCAAACAAGTTACAAGACTGCCAACCGACGACGCCAACGACGCCAACGACGAAACATCCCCCCCAATCGGAAAAGGGTATGAAGAATTTCCGATTGCTCCACTGCGGGCCGACAGGGGCGTCCGGGGAACGGCACGTCTTCCGTGTCGCGGGATGGACTGATCCCTGTTATCTGTATGGGCCGCGGGCGCGCAGATGGAATCATGGACCAACAACCTAGGTATTTCATAGTTATCGCTTATGATGTACCGCTACCCTTGTCGACTGGGACAAAATCTGCCCCAGCAAGAACTCTTCTACCACTATTTTGTCTCTTCATGGTTCAGAGGCCCTCCTGGATCGTCGCCGGTCAAGGTTCTTTTGCTGGGTTGTCTGTGTCCTACTGCTCCCTGTGGGCCGCCTGTTATCTATTCACGAGGGTTCGTAACAGGACATCGGCAAGCTGTTGTTCTTACTGTTCTTTATTCTCCACGAACTAGGACAGGAGTCCAGTTGGGGGGGCAGATGTGGCTCCGACAACCCGACCGGGACCGGAGTTGACGTCCGGGACCCACTTTGCGCCCCGGCTCCGATCCGAGCCTGGGACGCCGTACTGACCGCCTGGAAGCTAAGATACAATTATATGTACAGTGTACAACCATCTCGACCGGGACCATTCCCTCCCGTCCTCCCGTCTCCCGAGTCTCATTCCTCTTTCCTTCCCCCATTCAGTGCCGTGCCCCATGGCTCGGCATCCCGCACCTTCACGCGGTGTACTTCAGCGAGTAGATACCACGCTCAATGCTGTTGACGAGCAGGTACCCGCTAGGGAGGTAAGGGTAGACGGACCAAGCACCGTTGAAGCTAACCTCGCCGCCGCCCGGGGCGTCGTCATCCTCGGGACGGACATCGAAGTAGCCAATCTCGGTGAACCCGGCGCCGCTATCATCGTCAAGAATAGACCGGGTATCGACGATACGGAGACCCGAACCATAGTTGCTCTGGTACGCAATGCCGTCAATGATGTACTGGTTATGGTCGATAGCGCGGACGGGGCTCTTGTAGACGCCGCGGAAGACGGGCCAAGTGAGGTCGGTGACGTCGACGATATACGTGGTGGTATGGCCGTCGGCCGCCTCGCCGTTACCGTAGTCCTCGTCCAGCTCGTCGTCGAGGAGGAGGTAACGGTGGTCGTCGGTGGCCAACCAGCCCTGGTGGGTGTAGGTGGCGCCGACGTAGGTGGTGCGGGACAGCTGCACGGGCATGGCGCGGCGGGTGACGTCGACGATGGTGAGGGCGTCCTCGTTGTAGTTGAAGCAGATCTCGCGGCCGTGGAACTGCTGCATGGGCCCGCGGTAGATGACGCACTGGGCGTCGTGGGTGTAGCCGTCGCCGCTGACGCAGCCGGCGTCCTGCGGGCGGGCCGGGTTGGACACGTCGACCATCCAGAGACCGCCGCGGCAGCGGAGGTTGGTGGCGGTGCCGACGGCGAAGATGGTCTCCGTCTCCTCGTTGGCCACGATGTTGTGGCTGCTGCCGAAGCCGGCGAAGCGGGCCGTCAGGTCGCGTGCCGGGCTGAAGCTGACCGGGCTCGCCGGGTCGACGGCGAGGAGCTTCCGGAGGTCGAAGATCTGGAGGCCGTGGTCGGGGGCCTCGGAACCGATGTAGGCGAAGTTGCCGATGACCTTGATATCGCGCCAGGTGGAGGCGACGGTCTGCGTGCCCAGGCGGCCGATATATTGGAGGCTGCCGTCGGAGAGGACCTCGACGAAGGCAGTGCCGTCGGTCTGGCCGACAAGACCGAACTCTCGGCCGTTGGCAGCGACCCAGCCTATAGATTACCGCAAGTCAGCTTTCCCGTACTTTGAAGCGAACATGAAGAGACAAGGTGAGAGAGATCCAATGTCAAACATACCCCAGACATCATTCCCCACGCGGGTGCGGCTGTGCATATCCTGGTGCCGAAGGAAGCCCTTGAGGTCGACGTTGTTGCACTTGTACTCGCCAGCGGTGCCGTTGACACAGGGAGTGGGACCCATACGTTGGTAGGCGTTGATGTCGTAGGCACCGACCGCGGCGTCGTGCTCGAATTGGGCGATCTTCTTGGACCGGAGGGTGGACATGCTCACGGCGTTGGGGGCATTGCTGGCGTAAAGGACGGGAGCGGGGCCGGGGGCATTCACGGGGATCCTGGCCGCGGCGGCGCTACCGGCCAAAGAGGCGAGGAGGACGGAGGCGGTGACCTTCATGTTGACAATAGACCACGAACTATTGTGTTGAGAGAGAGGATCTTGGGGGACAAAAGATCAAATGGGAAAGAAGCCAGCAAAGTGCACCCACGGGGAAGTCTGGTGGTAGCAGCAGCTTGGGAGATGATGGACATCCCAATTCCACTCAGGGGAGATCGGCGTATATATAATGACTCTCAGACTCTCTGACTCTCTCAGTCTCTCAGTCTCGAGTCTCTGACACGTGCAACGCAATTGATCGGCTTATACCAAGACCTTGGACAGCTCCGCAGCTTCCCCAACTGCACCGAATCCACCGATGGAATGATTGAGATTCTTCCATACAGGTGACAGCATACTGTCGGACTGTCCCAACAAATGTCAAAAGGGGCAGGTGTTAAAGGGATGCGTCATGCGGCTGGTGGTCGCACAGCAGAAGATGGATGGGAGGGTTACAATGGCTGGAATTAAGTGTAGGAGCTAGGAATGAGGATCGTCAAGGAAACGGCCCCAAGTTCCCAACTAGTTCAGCGCCGTGGTTCCGAGCTTGGGTCGTAGCTATGGTAGTATTGGGACTAGATGGGATGATCACTGAGCAACGAGTCATTGGCTCGTTCGACATGTAGAAGCTGTCACAACCAACTGATAACATGAACATGAACGAAAAGGAGTGGCGAAGAATCGCGGGGACTTGGACCACACAGCTTCGGAGTGGAGGATGTTAGCGGTTAGCCCAGCCTGTTAGGGACGCCGGGGACAGACAGCCAAGCTCACGTGCACGATGCGTGCGCGTCGTATGCAAGTTGTATGATGATCTTGTCCGTAGGACCGTAGAGGCTTCAGATATCTTCTCTTCAGGGGACCGTTCTGCCTGGCGGCCCGGCTACAAGAGACTACAAGAGACGAGACCTCCGTCACGGTTCGGTGCTTGTGGTGTAACTGGTTACTGGTTGCTGGTGTTCATTCACTGTTCACTACGGAGAGAAGATAATTGCCATGTCCCTGCCTGTTGGATCTTGGCCCCGATAACTCGGCGCGACTGCGTAGAACAGAGCTGCTAGCCTCTAGGTGTAGTAGGTGGAAGCATCTCGATTGACCCCGGCTGGTTCGTTCAAGTCGGAAGGAGAAACAGACTGCGAATCGCATCGAGAAGGTCGACTTCTTCCCCTGACGCCACTTACAGGCTTACAGTTAAGGTTACAGCCACTTGATCGCCACCACATCACCGTTTCCCCCTTTTCCACGGACCACGGTTCCATTGACCCCACCCAGCTTATTACCAAGTACGGAAGGAAGCCCGCGGACACCGCCATTGCATGTGGGCACTGAAATCTTGGAGCTATTATCCCGGGGGCCAGAGATACAAGAACCTTGGCAGCATCTGGGGATGGCGGCGTGTCCGGTGAGTTGACTGGGTGGACGCTTCCAACGATTCAGGGGTTTCCTCCTGTTCGCCCCTGTTCGGCAGTTGATGATCAATGCCGAAACTAGCAGGTCCTTTGATCACTACCCGAACCGGCCCAACCAATGGGCCTACAACGTATGTACTCGGGTCCCTGTCACTTGAGATAGGATAATTAGGTAGGGGTATAATTGGGGACTACGTTGTATTCAGCCATGTGATAGGGTGGGACAGCTATACGTGTAGCTGTCAGCGTTGCATTCCCCATATTACATCCTCGTCCTATATTATCCTTCACATGTAAGACCATGTGAGACATATTAGCCAGCAGTCTCAATGTTATTTATCTTGGACCACATGCAATGATGCAACAACCAAACATCTTGTCGCAGACACACGTACATACCACCCACATGTCTTACAAATGCCGTTGATGCTCGCGGTTCTCTCGTGCTGTTTTGACGGGCAGCAGGAGTGGTAAAGTGCATGTGCTTATATGATCTACAGGCCACAATTTACAAAGGCACGACTCCCACAAAGACTCGCACACAATATATTCCTAAAGCCCCGGACGTCCCAAGTGATATTTCTAATATTCTATTACCCCACGTCTCAGCACTTCTCTCTCGGCTTCCACCCAACTCGGAACCCCCTCGCCAGAACGACAAACGCAGCGCCGAGGAGAGCCGAAACAGCCGCCCAGGCCTGCGCACCAGTGAAGCTGCCGCCGCTCGCCGACTGCAGCGCACCACCGATAGGCGGGCCCGTAAGCGACGCCACCGACAGAATGCTGAAGCACATGCCCAACCGGGTGCCCACCGTGTCGAGCCGCCTGGTGATGCTGGCCACCGTCGTCGGCATGAGACTCTGCACGGCGCCCGACACGAGACCGCAGACGGCGGTGAAGGCGTAGAGCCCCGGGATGTCGCTGACGGCGAGCCAACACGTGATGACGGTGGCAATACAAATCATCGACATGGACATGACGTTCAAGGGTCCGATGCGGTCCGAGAGCATGGGCACGAGGATGCGGGCGGGGAGGCCTGCGCCGTTGACGATCACGACGAGGAAGGCCGCGTCGCCGTACGAGAGGCCCAGGCTTTCGATTCCGAAGGATGCAATCTAAAACAAGCACATTTACAATTTAACTTGGTACATGTACTCACAGGTAGAAGATCGAAAAGACTTACATAGTAGAAGGTATAGTAATTGGCCCAACAAAAGAAGAACAGCGCAGCAACGTACGCAACGTACACCCCTTCACCAAAGGCCGACCAGTCGATGACGGGACCAGAGCGGCGAGGCGGCAGTCTCGTCCTCATCAGGGCCAGCGCCAGACCGAAGCACGCCAGGTTCACGAACCCCAGCGCCCTCGCTGTCCAGGCGAAGCCCACGCGGGGGATCAGCTGCTGCACAATCACGGGATACACGATCCCGCCCATCGAGTTGCCCGTCGTAGCCAGCCCGATAGCCAAGCCCCTCCGCTTGCCGAACCAGGTGGCCACGAGCGCCATGCTCGGGGTGAAGAGGATCCCCGCGCCCACGCCCGAGAGGACGCCCTGCGTCAGCATCAGGTGCCAGTACTTGGGCGAGTCGCCGTCGGAGGCGGCGCTCATGGCGAACATGCCCGTGAGCTGCAGCGCGGCGCCGATGGCGAAGGTGGGCCGGAAGTAGCCCGCGTCGAGCAGGCGGCCGGTGAAGGCGCCGATGGCGGTGGTGAGGCAGGCCTGCACGGAGCCGATCCACGAGATGGACGAGGGCGAGTGCGTGGGGAGGGCGGTGGCGGTGTAGTAGGATTGGAAGGAGCCGAAGGAGTTGAGGTAGCCCCAGGTCGCGAAGAGGACTAGCCAGCCTGCGGCGACTTGGGTCCAGGCTCGTAGGCCGCCGTCGGGCGGGGGCGGGAGCGGGGACGAGAGGGTGGAGTTGGAGCGGGTTCGGGTGGTGGCCGTGGCACTGGTGGGACTTGAGGCTAGGCGGCCGAGGGCCGTGCCGTATCCGTCGTCCTCGGCCTCTTCGCTATCGGCGGCGCCGCGGCGTGTGCGTGGGCTGGCATCGGGGGTTTGGACCGTTTGGTGTTTCGAATCTTGGGTCTGGGCCGTCTGGCTGCCTGTGGCTCCCGATGGGTCGCTGGTAGGAGGCAGCGGGAGCTTTTGCAGGTCGTGGTCTACACAAGTCGGAACCTTGGGGCTGCAGGAAGGGTCCATGTCGTGACCTTGGGTGTCACTATCAGCCCCTTTCGGATCCGACTCGGGCATCGTCGGGTGTTTTTTCTGGATATCCGACGCCATGGTATCCGGTGTGCAGTGTCACGACTCACACCGATGCGGCATTCCCGATTCCCGAAAGTCATGTCCGTTGTCGAGACACAAAGAAAGGAAGAAAGACAAGAGAAAGTCCGAGCGACAATCGGCTTACGGGGGTCCTGCGGGCTTTTTTTCAAGACCATACTCAGAACTTGTTAGCCTCTAGGTTTTGCCGATGAAAATCTCCGACTTGGTGGACATAGGTGGGGCTCGGCCCCGATCTTCGGGTCAAGTCCGGGTCCGGGTATCCGGTAAGCCAGGACACGGTCGGGGCTTCGGTCAGTTCGGTGAAGGTAAGGTGGAGGTGAAGGTGAATAGGTAGGTAACAGATGGCAGACCAGATAAATCTTGCTCCTTGTATAGACTATAGAGTCTCTCTGTACTGGAGTCGAGTCTTTACGTTTCAATTACTATAAGAGTATAGAGGTCCTTTTTAATTTCCCCTTTACTTTTCCCTTTTTTTCCCCTTTCGGTTTTTCTTCTTTTTTTCTGTTGTTCTTCCCTATTCAGTGCCCATCTATATTCTTTTTCCTTCTGGTTTTATTTTATTTTCAAAAAAAAAAAAAAAAAGAAGAAGAAAAAAATAAGTGAAATAAAGAATTGCCGTATCGACCGTATTCGATCGACATGCCATGTGCATTTTTCGCCCGGTCGTCATGCTCGTCGCGCTGGCGATCAACCAGGGAAATTCACGTGTAGTCTGCCACGGCTGTGAAGATCACTTCAAGAGACAATCCCGACGTCGATCAATGGCGGTGCACCAACCCATGCTCTTGGGATTGGGACTCGATATCTTGCACTCCTAAGCTCCCCACATGAATTATGCCTGGCGCGATAAATACGCCGAGTAGAGGGCACAGGGCACTGTTTCTTCAACAAGAGCACGTCACAGTTGGCCTTAAGATTCGCAGAGTGTGAAGGGAATGCAGGTGGAGTAGGAGTTTTGACGGAAAGGCACTCGCCTTGATTCCAGATGTCTCCATCGTGAACATGAAGACACTTATACGGTTGAGTGAACTCTTCCCACAAGTTCCATCCGTCAGCACTGCGGATAGAGAATTCAGAGATTGTCTAATCCCAGCTGAGGTAAACTGGTATACCGTATGAACCGGCTTAGGAATCAGAATGTGATGGTGATGAACTAACAAGCATGTTGTCGGGCAAGCTGTAACTTGCAACCGATGCTTGCTGCCTCCAGGTAACTTACAAGTTTAACCAGGTAATTATGGTCGCCGAAGGGTGGGGGGCACGGCTCGTAGAGATACCAGACTTAACCGGGTATTCTGTATTCTGGGGTAGAACCTGGAGGTATGCAAGGTCTCCGGGGTTTGCGGGGTCCTGCATGTTCATAACGAAGAGTCGTCGACTCGTCGACTCCCCCGGACGAAGCAGAGGAAAGTTGAAACAATTGAACACGAACAAGCTGGATTCAGCGGTCTGACCGTTGACGCGGAGGTCTCTAAGACGTGCTCTAACAGGCCAACACCCCGTGACCAGTTCCCTGAACCCCTCCGCGTCATTACGCCGGCAAATATGATACATGCAGTAATTGTACGCTGGGAGACAATACGTACGCAGTATGTAGGGTACAACTAGACAAACAACTGCAGTCTGCCGCTCTGCCGCCACCAATGCCATCGGCCGGCTCCTCCGTCTTCTAGGCCTCTCGAGGAAGCATTCCGTGCATGTGGTTAGCACAGCTCCAGATGCGGTAACCGTAGACTGTAGTGCGCTATGATGAAGAACTGGGAGCGCCCTGGTTCCCGGAGACTAATACATATACGGACAGGATTCACGATCCGAGTCACCAAGTTGCTGGTTGGGGATATGGAATGCGACGTTCCTCAATATCCAAATCGGGAGTGTGTAACGAAAGGGTATGTCTTGATTGGCAGACACTCCCCATGTTTTAAAAGGACGGGTCACGGCTATATAGCCAAAAAGCGGACATTTATGCACGTTATATGTGCTCCGAAGTCTGTGCCCTGAAATCGAATTCACCCGGCGTCACGCGAATTACGTTGTACCCTTTGAAGCAGGGTGGAATCGATCTCCCATGCTCGGCAGATGAACCGGATCGACGTGGAGGCCCGTCGCTCACATACAGAGCACAGGGCAAAGAAGATCAACAATCTTGCCTCGACGACATTCTGCTGATCCCCTTTGTTGAGCGAGTCTTCCCCAGCGTTGCATCCATATACTGTATAAGCCTGTAAGGTGGCTTGAGAAATTACACCATGGTTCATTTAGCCAACAAAACGCGGAGCCGAGGCCCGTGGGCGGCGGGCGCAAGTTACGACGGCAACATCGCTCGAGATCGAAGCAAAGGGTCAAAGGCCAAACTCATGCACCCCATGCGTTTATCCAGGGACCTTGTTACCTTGCCAGTTGCCACCATCACATCTGCCGACTTCTATTCTGTCCGGTGGGATTCCGTCATGTTTAGCCGTCTGGCGGTAATTCAAGAAAGGGGGAAGACCATGCCCCAAATGGAACCGAATGGACAATGCATGGTCGGCAATGCCCAGGGCGCGGCCCACCAAAGGAAATCACGGAGTCTGCCCTCCGAGAAAGTGGATGGGCCATAGAACCAGGTGATAATTTACCCACCGCATCTTGATTGCCGCGCCAATCCCAAAGGGATCCTGGTCGTGGAGATGCGAAGCCTGATGTGATGTGGTGAGGCTCTCGTGTAAGTCCTGACTCCTGACTTCTATTTGAATCCCCGGACCACCCGCCTCCAGATTCCAGAGAGAACCGGTCTGGTCTCTTTGTTGCTGCACTGCCCATCAACGCTCCCTTTATACGCGGCAGCTTTGCAACGGACAATCACAATGTACGCCAAGGTCTTCCTTGCCGTCCTTCTCGGCTCCCAGGCCGTCAACGGCCAGCTCGCGCGGCTCGCTCGCGCTGCCGGCCTCGAGTTCTTCGGCACTTGCGTTGGAGAAGGCAACACCAATGACCAGCAATACATGAGCATCCTCCGGGATCTCGACGAGTTCGACCAGATCGTCCCCGAGAACGGTCAGAAGTGGGACAGCCTTCAGCCTCAGCGCGGACGGTTCGACTACTCTCGCGGCGATATCGTAAGTATAACTTATCATACTCTGTGCTGGCTTTGGTTCGACTGACGCTGACCGTCCCCCTAGGTCGCCAACCTCGCGAGGCAGAACGGCCAGCTCCTCCGCTGCCACACCCTCACCTGGCACTCGCAGCTGCCGGCCTGGGTTCGTGATGGCAGCTGGAACCGTCAGACCCTGACCGAGGTCATCGAGACCCATATCGCCAACGTCCTGCGCCACTATCAGGGCCAGTGCTACCACTGGGACGTCGTCAACGAGGCTGCCGACGACAACGGCAACTGGAGGAACAGCGTCTTCTACCGCGTCCTGAACAGCGACTTCCTCCCCATCTCCTTCTTTGCCGCCCGCCGTGCGGACCCCAGCACCAAGCTGTACGTTTTGCCCTCTCCCCTCTCCACTCTTCCCTCTCCCCTTTCCTCTCCCCTTTCCTCTCTCCCCTTTCCTCTCTCCCCTTTCCTCTCCCCTTTCCTCTCTCCCCCCTTCTTCCTCTTGACCCCTGAAACCACCAAGCTCTCAACCGCTGACAACATGAACGCCAAAAGGTACTACAACGACTACAACTTGGAGTACAACGACCGCAAGACCGACATCACCGTCGAGATGGTCAATATCATCCAGCGCGCCGGTGCCCCCATTGACGGCGTCGGCTTCCAGGGCCATCTGATTGTCGGCTCCACTCCCAGCCGCCAGCAGCTCGCCACCGTCCTCCGCCGCTTCACCGCCCTCGGCGTCGAGGTCGCCTACACCGAGGTCGACATCCGCCACGCCCGCATGCCCCCCAACCAGCAGGCCCTCGTCACCCAGGGCAACGACTACGCCAACGTCCTCGGCTCCTGCCTCGACGTCCAGGGCTGCATCGGCTTCACCGTCTGGGGCTTCACCGACAAGTACAGCTGGATCCCCAGCACCTTCCCCGGCGAGGGCGACGCCCTGCTCTACAACAGCAACTTCGGCAAGAAGCCCGCATGGACCTCCGTCTCGTCCCTCCTCGCCGCCGCTGCTACCGGCATTCCCCCTCCTCCTCCTCCTCCTCCTCCTCCTCCTCCTTCCGGCAGCTGCTCTGGCATGTGGGGCCAGTGCGGCGGTCAGGGATGGAATGGCCCAACCTGCTGCGCGCAGGGTACTTGCCAGCAGCAGAACCCTTGGTACTCGCAGTGCCTGTAAAGGATTACCACTGTCGGGCACGATCTTCCGTCGTGAAGGCTCTCTCTAGTTGTGTTGCTGTGGCTGTGGTTGGGCTGAGTTGGGCTTCCCCCGTCTCGCGAGGACTTCGGTCTTGGTGACAGGGGGCTTGTCTTCATGGACTTTTGGTATATACAGATAGATGCATGCATGCGCCGCACATATGCATTGTTCGTTGAGATTCCCCCCCCTTTTAGTCTTCTCCAATCAAGTCAACTTGAAGGCACTGAAGAGAGAATAGCCGCCATGTGATTTGTGTGTGAAATATCCGTTCTGTTGCCGGGTTGAAACTGTGAATGCATGTGTGTTTTTGTACGCTGATCTGCAGATATTGGCTGTCAGCCTGTCATTCTTTCTTTCCAATGGTCTGTCTGTCCGTCCTCTAATTAATCCGAGAGAATCATACCGAGATTAGGGGAATTATCATAAATAAATGAAATAAAATGCCAAACAAAGAAAATCAAAGTCGAGGAAAACGCCAAACAATGCCTCCGTATATTCCCTGTATGCCATGTCCTCCGTTCCAAGCCGGGAAATAATCATAATCCCGACCATTCAAGATCTTCTCCTTCGTTTCGTCATTTGACCTTCCCAGTAGAGATATTAATCTCAACTCCCTGACTCCAAACCCTCCTCACCCGTCGAATATGCTCAATCCTTTCACAAGGGCTCCCCGCGACCAAGACCAAATCGGCCCTCAGCCCGGGCCGAATCTCGCCCCTATCGGCCAGCCCGAAATGCCGCGCCGCCAGCGCCGTCGCCCCCCTCAGCGCCTCCACGGGGGTCAGCCCGGCATCGACCAGCAGCTCGAGCTCCAACCACAAGCTTTCGCCATGGGGGTGCCGCAACGCCGGCGCCGTGTTCGAATCCGACCCGGCGAGGATCGGGACGCCCGCCTTGCGCAGGACCGCCACACTCGCCCGCGCGTGGTGGTAGTCGCACGGCCGCGCCCCGCGCTGCGGCAGCCGCCTGCTCATGACCTCCATCCTGCCCATCATGCTGAGCGTCGGCGTCGCCGCCCCGCCCCGCCGCGCCAGCTTCTGCGCCGCGTCGAGGGCGAGCGTCCTGTCGGCGGGGACGTGGGCCAGGACGTCGAACCCCGCGCTTTGGCAACGGACGTAGCCGTCGTAGTGCGTCGCTCGCGCTATGCTCGTCTTGCCGTTTTCCCTGGCCAGGGACGCTAGCCGGGTGAGCTGCTCCTGCGATGGGCCGGGGAGGTCGCCGTAGGCGGTGATGTGGTGCGCTCCGTCGGCGAGGCGGTCCTTGACGTGGCGCTCCACGCTGGTCGCTTCTTCTGCTCCTGCACCTGCTCCTGCTCCTGCACCTGCTCCTGCTCCTGCTCCTGCTCCTGCTTCGTCGCTGATGAAATCGGCTTCGCTCGCACGTGCCGCTGCTAGCATGCCGCGCGCAATGTCCGATGCTGCTCCGATGGCTGGCACGCCGCAGGAGCGGTAGGTCGTCGCTTTCTTCTGGTCCCGCGCCATTTCCGAGATGCTCTGAGATGTCCCCCGGGGTACGGCACCCATGTCGAGGGCCGTAGTGATGCCATGGCGCGCGAGGGTGTCGAGATCGTCTGCTTTTGTGATGCGGACGTGGCAATCGATCAACCCGGGAAGCAAAGTGTGGCCTGTTCCATCGATGACCTCCGAGATTGGTGATGCATCCGAACTTGCGCGAGTGTCGTCGCCCTCGTGCTCGTGTTTTTCTCCGAGAACGCCTCCGTCGATGACGACCGAGCAGGGTGGGTAGAGCCGATTCCCGTCGAAGACGAGGACGTTGGTGATGGTGACCTTCTTGGTCATCGTTTCTTTTCTTCGTGCGCCCTTCCGTCTCAATTCTGGACCCGCAACGCCGAGAACGCAACTCGATAAAACGTTGCGTCGGACACGGAAGGATTCAGCGTCGAAGGATCGGTAGGGGAGAGTCGAGACGTCGGGGCCACCATTCATTCTTTCGAGCATATTATATTGACGGTGAAAGAGAAAACAAACAAAACAGAGAGAAAATAGAAGAAAAAATCGATCAACACTCCATCCAATGCGGCTTTACGAAACAAAAAAATTGACGCCACCAACATGCTGCTGGAACCGTCACGCATCCGCCAGCGTTGGTCGCGTGTTCCCCCTTTCATGATGGACGGGGCCGACGGAAGAAGCCGAAGGATGATGCATTGATGCGACGAGGAACCTGTCGGAAAGTTGGACTCGAGTGGGGAGTCTGAAAGCATTTTCTTTATGGAACGTTCCGTCGAAAATGCGTGATAGGTCCTTGATTACGGCCGCAGTGCGCACTCACATCTGGACAAACATTTCCACGGGCCAGTCATAGTCGTGGCTGACCTTTAAAGGAAGCTGCCTACCCCCTGAAATGTCTTGTTTGCTGATCATCGAGGCACACAAACGCATGAATGAGCGGAAATCCGTGCCCCAAACAGACGACAATCATCATTTTTCATGTAAGCCGGGGGGGGGGGGAGGTAAAAGCGAATCACGGTCACGGCCGGTATAACAACCAATTTTGTTTTCGCAGTCGTTGAAAAGTCATGTTGTTTATTATTGATTTATTGACGGCTTCTCCCGAGCCGTTCTCTGACCGCCGGGTCTCAACTCTCAAGGGCCAAGGCTTAAGCGGTAAAGCCTTAGCCATTCGGCCCATTCCTACACATGACTACATTCAATGAACTTTGAGTCGCCTTCGTCCGACCCTGATCTCCACTTTCAGATGTCGCCCTGATTTTGACGAGCCTGCGTCGACGACACCGAAGTTGGGCGGATGTTGACAAATGACCCGAACCGAGACCGGGTCCGAGACCGGGACCGAGACCGAGACCGAGACCGAGGCCGCGTGGAAAACCACGCTCCGACCGCATCGGTGGCCCTTAGATGTCCGGAATCTTCATGGGGCCGGCCCTGTGTCTCATTAGAGTCAGCTCCTTGCTTCTCCTTCTCCTTCTTCTTCTTCTTCTTCTTCCAAGAATCCACATCGAGCACTTTACGAAGTGACGAGACAGCCGAACTGCACTGTGGTCCTAGGATTACCCGACACACTCCACATCCACTCTTGACTGACCGGTCGTCATGTGATTCAAACGCCGGGAACGATTCATAGGTGCGTGCCCGGGTGGTTTCCGAGGTCAGTGGACGTCGCGATCCGTCGGATGCCTCGCTCTGTGTCGCGGCCATCATGTTGCTCTCTTCAATGGACCGGGTGTCGAGAGACTGCATGTGAGGTTCCATATCACCTCTCGTCTCTCCTGCCTCCGCCTCGTCTGGTCGGGATGTCGTAAGACCCATCTCCATGATTCGTGAAGTACGCGGTGGGTTTGTTTTCTGGATTGCAATCGAAGTAAGAGAGAGGTTTAGTGGGCAGAGAGATGTCTTTATATGGTATTTCGGGATGCTCATTTCTAGATTTGTGGTATGAAACAGCGAGTATGATATTCTCGTCGAATGTCATCTTCAACGATGTTTGGAAACATGAGGATGAGTTCAGCTCGAACAACGGGTTTCAATATGCTAGACCATATCAAGCATATGCAGACGTTCTATGACAAGGCAGAGACACTGCATGCAAAAAAGCTACATTGTCAGTTATAGTCTTTGACATTGAACTGTCAGTGGTTCAAGCGAAACACTGAGCTTACACCACGGCCTCGTAGTCATTCAGTTACCCAGGAGCATTCTCGGTGGAGGCGGCTGTCTGGCTCATATCCTACAGACTCAAGGTATAATAAGACTCCAAGACGAACCCAAGCCATCAACTGTGAAGACTATGTGTCGGGTTCACTGGGTCGAAACGTTCCAGCTGCCACCTCACGCTAAAAGAAGTCCATCAAATAATCACATAATAAGAGTTATGAACTAGCTGCCTCTGATAGAATACGAAGGCCTACCTCAGAGATTATTGTTCTCGTACACAGTAGTCTGTTGCTGATATTGCTCTGTGGCTACTACGTTCGCTTCATTCCGTTTACTGGCAGTAAGACCCCCTATAAATGATACGCAAGAAAAAATATATATAGTTAAACAAAAGTACTAGCAAGCTTTACACTTAAGAATCTCCTCTCTTAACAACGCCAGCGACCCCTAGCCTGAGAGAATATTTAGAGAGGCAATAGAATATAGAAGAGGCGGGTAACAAATAATCTAAGAATAGTCCCCGTTTATATATCAACCCCGATATAATTGACTATTTATTACGGCTTAAATACTCTTTCTTTACTCCTTACTAGAAGACCTTTAATAGAGTTCACTAGCCAGCCCTACTGCTTTCTATTTTAAGCCTAAACGGCCGGCTCTAATAGGGTTTGCTAAGGCCTAGTAGCTGTGTGTTCTATACCAGAATTGATAATCCCACTCCATGTTGTACTTTGATCGGCGTGTTCTTGTGTTCTTTGGGCCCTGGTTGCATCGTACCCAGCCTCTAATTACCAAGCCCTTGGTCTGGAAAGTCATGGTCACGCCAGGTAAATTCATTGAGTCGTTCGGTCCAGCTCCGCGGTCTTATTGTAATCAATACGTTATACATGCTTTATGCATAACATGCCGATGTTGTAGTGGCATAAGATGTCTATGGCTCTTGCCATATGGCCCGTATCACTGCACTTAGACATCTTGGCCAATTCCCAAACGGTGTATCTGGACAGAGAGAACGGACATATCCGTTTTACGTTTGTCAGCCACTGCTATAGGTTGGTTTTCGGTTTGTGGAAGAGATTATTGGGACGCCAGTGTCATTGCCAATTAGTCCCCGTTTTCATACTGACATTACCACCAAATGATTCGTCGATTCCGATACGTCCTGCTTAGCCGCTCGGACACTATAGACTGTTAGTATTTATATTAAAAGAATTAGCCAAAAAAACAACAGGGAAACAAGAGGCCTCGGTGTTCGGCGGATACAATCTACGGAATACGAGATACCATTGGTGTACTGAAAGTCTGTGCTGCATCTACACTACTAAGGCTACTAAGGTAGTCGATTTCCCACTCGACCCGCCGCTCAACCAGCACGGTCGAATTCGTCCCGCACGTTCGTCAAAAAAGCACTCGAACACTCACCCATATATAACCTTACTTGAAATTTATGCTTCTAAGTTTCAAGGGTCGTCGGGAACATACTCTGTAGGCATCTTCACTCCCAATTTGGTCTCATATGACAATGCGAGAAGCTTTCTTCTCCCACACGTTATCGGGTTATCGGGCTTGGCAGAGAGCGTTCGTCGCGGAGTCGCGGTGTACGAATAGGTACCTAGCGTGGCTAGGTAGGCACCTACAGTACGTTGTACATTGTACTTGTACTGTAGCAAAAGTCCTCCCACTTTCCGTTCAGCCACACCACCTGCTAAAGGTGGATAAGCGTGGCCGCGATCGTTCCCGAGACTAGCGTGGTCGCGTGGAAGCCCGGACTTTACGCTTTCGGAGAATCAGCCTAATCGACTCGATTCATCGAGTTGCTCGTTGCACGCATAATTGCCAACCGTACTATAATACCTATTCTATTTCTTCGTAGCCGTAGCTTACATGCACCTAATGATATATGCCTAACAAACTGCAATTTTCCTCAGATATGTAACGGCAATCCCCGGACCAAAAGAAGATCTCCGGAGTTGGGTGTTACGGAGAAAGCACATCACTTGCGTTCTAAACTTCTATCCATCTGGTCTGGTCTGGTCCGCTTAACCACCACAAGCCAAACCAGCCAATGAGCTGTGTAGGTCTTTGCGGAGCCAGTTCCGTTTGGCAGGGATCGTCTCTTCTAAGTACGGGTACAAATTCACGGAGGTCCGTATCAACGTACAAGTTACATCGTAATTATGGTGACGGGAGATTTAGAGACTCAGCAGGTGGGGCGGTTCCGTTCGCTTTTCATCGCTAACGAATTAGTAGATGAACACAACTTGCCCATTTTCTACCTACCTGCGATCTGCGGTATGGCTACTTTGTCGCTCAACTACCTATGTCATTGTCAACTTGATGGGTTAGTCCCCTTGTGAGAGTTTCATGAAAGAAAGCCTGGCTAGAGTCCTATAGGCTATCCGCGAAGATTCTAAATCGTTCCATTTTTCGCAACTCGTTCACTTGCTAAATTGACAGCAGACAGCTCGTGAGTCGTCCTACGGGTCAACCATGTCTCAGAATACGGCTTTGGGAGCAAGGAGCACATGCCTCCGAGCCTCCCAAGCTTCACCTGTAGGCCCCCGCTTTAGATCAAGTGTTCTCTTCGAATGTTGTGGCGTTCATTCCTTTTCAAGCATAATGCCATGACCTGATTTGTCCAGTCACTATCATGTCGGTACCGGGGTGTCAATCGGACCGTTCGGATGTCAAATCAACCGGGAATTGGGCCCGGGGGGGGGGGGGGCAACTGCGGCCGGCAATCATCCCAAGGGCTACCGCCGGAACAAGGACTGACATCTCGTCGAGGACTTGCTTCACGGCTCCCTATTCGATGTAGCTGCGTCTGGTTCCGGACGACGCTCCCATGACTAGATACGGATGTACTGGAAACTGCTCTGCCTTGAACCTAAGTCCTAGACTGGTAAGGTCAGCACTCGGATTTCTGGAATCCCTGAAGTTGTGGCTTAAGAACCCGACGGCCCCCATCGTTCTTGATGCATCAGAGGGGGCTTGGATGTTGATGTCAGGTAGAGGTAGGCTAAATGCCGGGACAACTGTGTAGATGTCGGGAGGCTGAATCCTTCGGGCATCGCCTGAGCTGTTGAATTCCGTTTGATGTCATACAAATCAAGTGATGTGGGATAAGACGGGGGTTCCGAACCCTTGACCCCGAGTGGCTCTCCAAACAGCGGCCCAGTTTCCGCTCCGTGATGTAATTAGTTGAGTAGATGAGAAAGGGGCTTATGATTTCTAGGCTTCGCGTTGAAGTGCTCAACTGCAAAGGTAGAGCCTGAACAAACATGTATGGTATTTCCATGACCATGTATCAAATCAAGACATGTCGGTGAGCCCGAGATTCGACGATGAACGCGGCCTAGGAGAAAGCGGATGGGCGGGCTGACAGAAGCAGAAGATAAGCCTTCTGAAGTTCTGCATGAACCCGTCATCAGGGACAGGTTAATATAAATAGCCTAAATGCGACAGCCCCATGTATATGACCTTTAAGACCCATGATTTTCCCCAGGTTTCCCTACCCTTTCTGGTATCGGAAGAAATGCCGAGACCCAAATGAGGATGGACTGGAACGGCTTCGACGAAACCACTGCACCCGTGGGGCGTCATGGTCGACCGCGGATCCCCTTGAGTCGTCAAACGGTCTAGCGGAATGTAACTATAGCACGGTTAACAAACTTTTCTCTGAGATGGCTATCTCGTGATTCATGGATAATCTCTGCAGTCCCCGTGACAATCTCAGTGCCAAAACACCCAACCCGAAAGGAGTCAAGGGCCCAATTTCCAAACCTCACAGGAGTCCATACTTTCGTAGCTTGACCTGAGGGGGGCGAAACATAAATACAAAGCCCGGGGCAGTATCCATATTCCTTTTTGATGTCGTGATCATCAGGGACGTTCCACTCGACAAGTCAACATTCTCCCTAGAACCCGTGTTTGATATCTCGCCCGGACGTATCATCTCCCCAACCCGGAAGAAGAAAAGAAGAAAAGAGCCCATCATGCAGCTCCCTACCGAGAAGCTCGCCGCTCTCCTCCTCGCCGTCCAGCCCTTCCTGGGCATGGGCTCGGCCCTCGCCCTCGAGCCCCGCCAGGGTGGGTGCCCCCAGATTCACATCTTCGGCGCCCGTGAGACCACCGTCTCTCCGGGCTATGGCTCCGCCGGCTCCGTGGTGGACTCCATTCGCGCGGCTTTCCCCGGCGCCACCTCCGAGGCCATCACCTACCCTGCCTGCGGCGGCCAGTCGAGCTGCGGTGGCATCTCGTACGGCGACTCGGCCAGGCAAGGCACCGCTGCCGTCGCCCAGGCCGTAAACAGCTTCCATCAGAGGTGCCCCAACAGCCAGATCGTCCTGGTCGGCTACTCTCAGGTTTGTTTTCCCTTCTTTTTTTTTCATTTTTTTTCCCCGCCTCGCGGACATATCCATGGACATTGAGGCAATATGCCTCCTGTTTGGCCTGCGCACAACTAACAAGAGCGGCTAGGGTGGTCAAATCATGGACAACGCCCTCTGCGGCGGCACCGATCCCGGCTCGGGCATCACCAACCCCGCCGTCCCCATCAACGCCAGCGCCGTCAACGCCATCAAGGCCGCCATCTTCATGGGCAGCCCGCGGTACCGCAACGGCCTGGCAGGCAACGTGGGCACCTGCACGGCCCAAGGCGTGAGTTCTTTCCTCCCTCCCTTTTCTCGTGCCCCTGATTGCATCGCATACGGCACACGGCACATGGCACACGGTACTAACGACAAAGACAGTTCGCCTCCCGCCCCGCCGGCTTCGTCTGCCCTTCGGCCGATAAGCTGCGCAACTACTGCGACGCCCAGGACCCGTACTGCTGCACGGGCAACGACGCGAACCACCACCAGGCCTACGGCCGCATCTACGGCCAGGACGCCCTGACCTTCGTCCGGGGCAGGCTGAGCAGCGGTGGCTCGCCTCCTCCTACCAACCCTCCTCCTACCAATCCCCCTCCTACCAACCCTCCCCCTACCAACCCACCCCCTACTAACCCTCCCCCTACTAACCCTCCCCCTACTAACCCTCCCCCTACTAACCCTCCTCCTTCCTCTGGCTGCTCTAGCATGTGGGGCCAGTGCGGCGGTCAGGGATGGAACGGCCCGACCTGCTGCTCGCAGGGTACTTGCAGGGAGCAGAACCCCTGGTACTCTCAGTGCCTGTAAGACTTATACGCGAGAAGGTCGTTTGAGCATGGAACGGGAACGTCCTGGGGATTTCATTTGCAGCAGTTGCTCTCTTTCCTGGCTCCGGGAGGCGGCTCAGGCAGTCAGGTTTCCGGACTTCGTTTTAGCTGGCGGGGATAACGTCGCGAGTTGAACCCACCTACAGGCAAAGTTCTCTCATCAATCAAACGATATACTTGAATATATGGGTTGATCATGTGCAAAAGACGGACGGACGTGTGTACCTTACCTCGTGTTGCGAATTCTGCCAATGGAGGAACAAGTCCCGGGCCGAAGAGGACCCCATGGTTCTGATCAGACGAGCTTGTGGTTCCCATGCTTATAAAAAGACAAGCCTAGACCGACCACTCGGCCAAACCTTTCGCATGTATCTCCAAAGTATCGAGCAACGGGACCTTGACATTCTCAGGCGTCAAGACGAACTGCAAGTCAGTGCAAGCAAGCACGACAGCCTCAGCACCCTGAGCAACCAACTCGTCAACAACCCGCGTTATCAACCCGGTAATCTCGGGCGTCACCTTCCCCACAGCCAGTTCTCCAAAGACAGCCGCGTCGATGGCCACCCTGTCCTCCTGACGCGGGAGCAGGACCTCAACGCCCGCCCGCTCCGCCAGCCTACTCGTGATGAAATCGCCATCCATGACCGCCTTGGTGGCGAGCAGCGCGACCTTCCGGAACCCGCGTCCCCGGAGGGCGTCGGCGGTGTAGTCGGCGATGTGACGGGTAGGCCGACGGCGGCTTCGAGCCGGGGCGCGACTTTGTGGCCGATGTTGCAGCCGATGGCGATGCCGTCTGCGCCGGCGGCTTCGAGGTGCGCGGCTGCGGCCATGAATTTGGCGGCTATGCCGTCCCAGTCGTTGGCTGCGAAGAGGCGGGACGTGTCGGCGTAGTTGAAGGAGTGGAGGATGAGGGAGGCTGCGTTGACGCCGCCTCGGAGACGTTGTACGTGGGCGTTGATCTGGGTGTAGTAGATGGTGGTTGAATGGTAGGACATGCCCCCTAGGAGGCCGATGGTCTTCATTTTTCTTTTTCTTTTTTGTGCCGTGACCGTAGAATCTGGTCTCTTGGTAGGTGATAAAGGGATAGTTGGCGTTCCTGGGAGCATCCGAAAATCATTGGTTTATGATGGTGATGTGGCTGGAGGATATATCCGCCCTTAGTCCAGCCACGGTTGGACCATGTCAGCAATAGGGCGTGAGAGGAGACATCTAGAATCCGCCCACTTCAGCTGGCTGCTGTCAAGGGAGGTGTTTTGTAGGCTGTAGCTCTGCTGTTTATATCCTCAGCGTTGCGTTGCTATCGGTCTCGTTGGCATTATTCGGGTTTCTGGGAGAGGATATAACCGTGTTCTATCATGTTTAGGGCGTTTAGGGCATGGTCAAAAGATATGAAAAGGAGATAAATAAAATGGTGAAAATGGTACCCGTGCCACGCCCTATTTATATTGGTTTGTTGGAACTTACTAGCCTATAAGCTGGTGCTGGATAGTTATATCGCCAGGATAGTTAAATCGCCACTTTTTGGAAGCTATTTATAATAACCGCGTTTTTATCTATAATAATAACCTCTTTTAACGTTTTTTAATATAGAATCTCGTGTCGTTATAGCTTTTAAATTTATAAAGTAATTCCCTGACGCTAAAGTCGTAACGGTGGCGCGTCACTTCGAAATCCCCCGATATAAGCTCCGGTCTCGCCTTTAGGGCCGCCCTGCTTAAACTAGCCGCAGATTACCTAATTCGAAGCTTTTAAAGCTAGAAGAAAAAGCCCTATACCGTTATATCGACCGCCTTAATAGTATTAACTTTACCGTTCGACCCGAGTTTATTACTAATACTATAAACACGGTTTTATAGGCGCGTTACGATAAAGAAGACTACCCCGCCCTTACTATTAGTCGATAATAGGTTACGCGGTTTATTTAACGGTATAGCTACTTTAAAAGGAAGTAAAAGAAGATAGATACGAACTATTAGACTACTAAGGATTCCGAACGGGTTCTTCAATACTTTAACTAATTATAGGACGTTATATAGGAAAACGGAATCCTACCGGAATATATCTAGAATTATAGCGGCTTATCAAAAGTTGTTCATGTATTAAGGCCGAAAACTTAGTTTATTCGAACTAAGGAAGGAAAGGAGGAAAGGAAAAGTCTGCGCGGTGTATAGGCGGCTAAGTACATAAGTACAGATAGGATCGTATAGGCCTTACGAGGAGGTCTATACTTCTTAGTCCCGGCCACTGCCGGGGATTATTCCGCGGGCTATAGCCCGTAATAGACCCCCTCCCCCCCCGGGAGGGCGGCGAGGTCGCGGTCGTATCGGGATTATACCGTCATAACTTCGTATTACCCTAGCCTCGCTACGTATAATCTAAAAATAGCCTCCTTTATTCGATTCTATTAAAGGCTCCTTCGAAAGGAGGCAATCCGTAGTAGCCAAGATCCTTTTAAGACTAAAATAATATAAAGGAGCCCTTATATAGCGGTGCTATTATAAGCTCCTCGCCGGCGTGCATGCTCGTTATAAATAATATACCTGCCGAATATATAACCGGGGGTCGTTCCTTCTACATAAATAGCCTAGGAAGGGTAGTAAAATAAACCTCCTATTATTCCTCGGTTTTTACTATTTTTTTCCCCTCTATAGCTTCCTTTTACCTAATTTCTTTTTAATTAAATTTTCTATACTATAAGTAGCCCCGAGATACTTCGTAGGTCCTATAATAGTATCACTAATATCGCCGAGTAATAGCTTATCTCCTAGGCTGCGTATCTCCTCGTTATAATGAGTTAGCATGCCCCTCGCCTATAGTTTAGTGCCGTAGCTAACCGTTAGCAGATATCTAACTTCGCCTCCCCTAATAAGCGCCCTTATAAAGGTAATAGTAATAACGATATAAGTTCGCGGTCCTTATTATTACGGGTTACGAGGTTAGCCGTAACTAATAATAAGTAGACTCCGACCCCCCCTCCCAAGAAACGTTAAGCACCTAAGAACCCTTTAGGACCGCGCCGTATCGCCCCTTACTTATAGTACGCTACTCGGTAGTGTAAATAAGAATATAGTATTAAGTATTACTACTAATCGGGCCTTAGCACGGCCCGCGCTAACGCTAAGTGCTACGAGTATTCCTGCTATACTTATAAGTGCTCGGAGGTAAGTATACCGGTTATACATATAGTAACCGCGACTAATAAGTAATATAGCTCCCCCCTACCGTTTACAACGCCGCTAACACTCTACAGAATACCGTATATACTATAAATAAAGATTCCGATAATAAGGATATAAGTTCGCCTCTGCCCTTTATATAATATCCTTAGTGCTAATTCTTCTATATAGAGTCGCCGTTAATTCTAGGATATATTGTCTTGCGTCTTGCGCATCTCAAAAAGGGTCCCCCTTTGGGTCTCTTGGCCTCTTGGTCTCTTGGCCTCTTGGTCTCTTGGCCTCATGGTCTCTTGGTCTCTTGGTCTCTTGGCCTCTTGATTGTGAAGAGCTGTCTGGGGGTTATCCAAAGCTACGAAAACAACAGGTTTAGTTTAATAAGAAAGTAAACGTCAAAATTGGCAGTTTCTACGACCCAAAGAATCGGCTTCGTTAATGGGCTTCCTTTCGGAGCATTCGGATCGAACATCTGCTAGCAAACCGGACCATATGTCTCTCGCTCTAGTCTCGCCTGCGCAATACAACCGTTGTCTTGCGTGTCGTCATGCCTCCGCCTCTCGCACTTGTTCTAGACCGCGACGTTGTCTGCGACGTTGTCTAGTGTCACTATTCAGTACCCGTAATCGACGAATCGGGTTTTGTAGCTCTCTGGCGCCAACCGGTCCGTTGTCCGCCACGACGACTTCGTGCACCGGTGAACTCTCAATCAGAGGTCCTATCGTCAGCGGGCCGCGTGGGTGTGGTTTGGTGTATAATATAAAATAACGAACGCCCGACTTCCCGCCGCTTCCGGCTAGAACTCGGTAGTGTAGAGCTCTTCTCTTTTTTCAACCTTTTTTTTTCAAGCACGCATAGGTCGACACGCGGTCGAGATTGCATAGTCGTTTGTTCGTTTCGTTTCTGGAGAAGTCGAATAGAGTGATAATAATGGCCAACTCCATTTAATTGCCAGCAGTTAGTATAACCTCACTTGGCACCAACAACCGTTACTTTGTATGTCGGAATGATCGTGTGCGGGTTTTTTTTTCCTCTTCCCCCGTCATCCACATATTCTACCAGGCATAAATGATCATCTTCAACGACTTTGTTTCCTCCCGTCTCATCATCTATGGAGAGAGACTCCGTCGCGAAAAGTAATGTTAAACCTCGATAGGGGCGGAAAACCAACTCGAAGCTGTCTTAACGGACACAAGAAACCTATATTCCAATCGCTATATAGAGCATCAAAGTCTTCATCGAGTAAACAGATAACCAATAAGGTACCTAAGGTAGTTTAAGGTAGTGTGCGCATTCTTAACGGTATCCGGTGGCTAGCGGGTACCTACCGGATCCGTGAAGAACCAACCTCCACGAGGGCAATAATGTAATATAGTAGGTATCATAAAGCAAAGATCCCGTATCATGGGGTCGACCTTTGATAGGTACAACGTAGTATCTAACACACTGTTCAGATATATATACTCACAGAACACGGCTAAAACAAAGAATTTCGTCACAGGATAATACGGTTTCAGAGAGAGAGAGAGAACAAAAAAAGAAAAAAAAGGGCCACCCCCTGACGCTCGAGAACAGCCTGAATGGCTCTCGTTTCATGGTTAAAATAGGGAATTTCCAAATCAATACCGTCGCATTTATATCACGCGAGATATAGGAGGTAGAGCTTTTACTAGGATATATCTTTTCATTCCGCCTTTATACCTTTAAGCTGCATAATTCCAGCCCCCCTTACGGGATATAAATAAACCCTTCCTTCTCTCTAAGAGTGTATAAACACACTAACAGAGAACTATAATAACTAAAGAAATAACCCTAGGAAAAACAATTAGAAGATATAATAATAATATTTTGCTGGTTCTTCGCAACCTAGTACAATAAACCCCTATATATATATATATATGTGTGTGTGTATATTTATAAAAGCCCCTTAATGTAGAACGACTAGCAATGGAAAGCCGAACGATAATACGCTAAGGGCTATCATTACTAGTTAACTTCTCTAAGATAGAAGCCTATAACAGCTTAGTAACGTAAGCTAAAATTTAGTCCTAGCAGCTTTATAGCGTAGACGTATCCTGTTCTAGACCCTATAGCAGTATAAATACCTATAGTCTACTATTAACGGTCCTTCTAGTCGCTACTCTATATAAACGTTCCGTATCTTTATTACGTTCCCTTTTCCTTCTCTCCTAAAGGCCCTAGGGGCCTTAGGCATATATAGAATAATCGCCCTGGAGAATAGGGAAGGGGTTAGTCTACCCGTTAGGTAGGAAAGAGGCCGTATTCTTGCCTATTCTTACCCTAGGCTTGGATAGGGGGGATAGAGTGAACGAGATATAATATAGTATTTTATAATAACCCCGACGCCAGGCAACACTTTTAGTGCTACCCGGTTTTATTTTTAAAAGTAACCAATATTGCCTATAATATGTGGGGGTTTTAATATTGCCGAGGGTTGAAAATCAGATAAAAGTAAGTCGATAATAGGGCGAGGAAAAAACAATATAGTAATAGAAAGAGAAAAAAAGATATAACGTCACGTACTATAGTTAACACCAGGCTTCTTAGTTGTAAGGCTAATACAAGGCTCGCTATATTCGCATTTCGGCGGTATCCTCTTCCCTAGCTAAGGTCTTAACTAGGACTCCTTCGCTTAAATAGGGTCGAATACCTTCTCGGCGGATTTAATCGCGGAGTTCGATAGCTACGTCGACGATAAGATTTCCTGCTTACTCGATAAACTATATATCGCGTCCGTCGAGGTCTTAGGTGTATCGCTTGTATTAATTTAGGAATACCTGCTTCCTATTAGGGATATATTCGTTAGTATTAAGAGTGACTCTAATATACTTGTCTTAGACGGCACGGTTACCGTGCATAAAACGATATTAGTTTATTTCGGCTTAAAGAAGCCTTTTAAAGTGCTTTAGGCGGAACTACCTCTATTTCTTTTAATACTTAGCTCGCTCTTATTCGTTTTAGTCCTTTTAAACGTTCTTTTAGGCTAGGATAGTAGTTCTATAGGCCTCTTTAATAAGGACTTTATCTCGGGCCTTTTAGTTATAACTATACTTTAAGATAAGAGAGAACTATTTATAGTTAGGAGCTCTTCTAGCGTTATTAAGAGTATAGTTTCTTATATCCGTATATCTAGAGTCTCGAGTGCGTCTCTTGTTCTCTTTATTCCGAAATCCGTCGAACCATCGGTGGAGTTGGCCGGTTTAAGTGTTTTCGGGGTCGACGACGTAGTAGACGGTTGTTTTATAAATATATCTTGAATACTACGTCGCCGGTTAAACTCGGTTATAAGTTTTGTAGATAGGGGGAGGAGATCCCTTTATAACTATTCTCTTAGTCTCCTTCCTTCTCGAAATATCCCCTAAGGGTATATTAAATCGAGGAGATAAGCCTCCCCGTTACTAACCTTAACTATATCTCCTAATATAGTATAGACTAGGCAGTAATCCGACCCGTGTAACCCTTTCTAAATATTAGCGTCGATAAATAACTCTTTAATACCTGCTAAGCATAGTATATAGTCGATACGGCTACCGTTATTAGCCGGACGGGTATTCTTCTTCGTATCCTAATAAGTAAATATACCCTAGCAGCGTGGATAAAACCACTGGTATAGGTCCTAAAGAATAGGTTCCTCCTATCCCTCCTCGCGCTCTCCGATAACGGATCTCTTAAAAATAAGCTAATTAAAAAGATATCGTACCGGCATAGCCATCTAATTATTAACCGTTAGCCCTTCTTTCCGGAGATCCTTAGCAATATTTAACGTATCTATTTCGGAAAGTATAATATTTAGATCACCGGTTAAGATAACTTACTTTCCAGTAGCGATTAGATTTCGGACCCTAATATCCAGGGTATTAAGAAAACCGATCCGGAAAGCATTATGGGACGTATCACGGTTCGTAGGACTATACGTTCTAATTAAGATAAACGCGGAGAACTTAAGGATTACGTAGCGACCCTCGGAATTAAGAAAAGCCTTATTAATTTTATCTAAAGCTAGCCAGGTTATAGGTAGCCCCCGATCTACTAGGTATCGGGGAGATCACAGTACTTTACCGACGAGTTAGGAGGGCAGAGAATACCCGTGATTCCTTCTTCCGCCCGGATAAGGCAGCACTTTAGAGTTCGCGTATAGATAATAACTCCCGAGTAACCTTTCCGAGGGTTTTAGATACCGCCTATAATCTAGTATTTAGGGTAGGACGGGAAATAATAACTCACCCCTTTTATATTTTAGGAGACTAAAGAATATATCCTAGCTAGAGATAAGGACTATATTATCTCTAAGGTCTTTCCGCTAGATCTTAGTCTCCTGCATAATAATAATATCGGCCTCTAAGACATCGAATATTCCCTGCGAATGTGTCAGACGCAGAACGCTAGTAAGGGAAGGCGGGGTCGGGTCTATAGACCTAAAATATCCGTTTCTCCATCTATAGCTAGTACCCGAACGGGTTTCTAAGCCAAATCAGCCGGATATTAAGAAGCATACTCCTTTAAAGTGACTAACCGTATACCGTTAACTTAAATTAACGTTAGTAACTAAACTCCTATATGAACAGTTTATAACCGTCGTAGCAGAAGACTCACCGTTCCAGGTCATAATTCGTAGAGATATCTTTGAAAACCTAGCTTAGATAAGTAACTCTTGGTTCTGACGCAAGAATATATATTAGGATATATATTATCTGCTAGCTATGCCTCACATTCCTTCAACGCCTACTCCTAAGGCGGCGGAGAGGGTGTATAGAGTATAGCGATGCATAGGCGCCGCCGTTAGCACTAGCAGCTTCTTGGACTGTATATGGAGCTCTTTCCCTAAATAGAGCTTTCTAATATAAGTTCCTCCTAGGCAACTCAAGCTATTAATATACGCTAGAGATTTTAATATCGACTGTATAAAAAACGATGTTAAATATAACGCGACGTTGTCGCTCTATAAAACAAGACGTTGGCAACGCGAACCTTTGCCGCGAGGTCATATAATATATCGTTCAGGGCTTTTCTCTATTCTCTGAATCCGCACTAGGTAGTAAGCCGGATTTATCACGTAATCCTCTTATAAAACCTAAGCCCACGGAGACGTCCCGGAAAATGGCTGCCTTAATTGCAAGGCAGAGTGACGTTCCCATAGCCGAGCTTATTATGACCTGATCTTAACTAGCTGCCTCACGACACACCGAATCACAACCCTCAATTAACAACCTCCCCGGACATCGACGATAACGAAAAAAAGATAAAATAGTCCTCTAGCGATAGCTTGTCCGCGCTACCCCGCGCTATATCGCCTAGCTATAAGCTACGGCTTAGCGCCGCCTGGCCAGCACCGAAAATACCTTTATCTGCAAGCGCTAGTATACTAAGGAGTATACCACCAGTACCACTAGTTAGTGTTTCTTCCTTTTTTTTTCTTTCTCCTCCCCGACGTCCCTCTCGATATTGCTGTATTTCTCGGTGCTAATAATCAACCTAGAGCTCTGGCGTAAGATCTCGGTCTAGTACGGCTCCCCCTTTCCTTCTAGTCCCGCTACTCTAAGGGATTTCCTCTAGTATCCGATTATCTAAAAAAGATAGCGTTATTCTATAAGCCCTATCAAGTATCGTTTATTTCTTTAGGGTTTAATTGTATTCGGGGGAGAGGGAAGCGACTAGATACAAGTGGAGTAATAGAAAATTAATCTAGCTAACCAATAAACGGCCAATAAAATAGCGCCTATATTCCCGCCGTCTCTATAGCCAGCTAGAACGCTTACCGGCTCTAGAACGAGTAGTATTAGGAGTATTAGTCGTACCTCCCTCCTCTAGAGGAGCGTACGAAGTACCCTTACTAGAATATCCGCACTACGAACTTCGCCTAGGGCGATAGTGATAAAGTAAGCAAATCTTAATTAATATCGTTACGCGGCATAGGCTAATATAA